GATGATGGTGGAAAACTATTGTTGTGTGCCATGTTGTGAGGCAAATACAGTTCATTGAACTACGGGCTAATAAACCCTTGAAAGGACCTTGTCCACCCCCGCACATTCCCCAGGTATTGTGACATGCCTAGAGTTGTGTCCCACGCGCCACTCACCTCTCACATATATAGCATCAATAATATTCCTTAAAAAAAAGTTTATTTCACTCATACGAAATGGGCCGCCTCATTTTCCTCTTGTACGTACACTTTATATATCCATCACACCTTTCACACCGATCTATCACCCTATTCTAACACGCTGGTCAAACACCGCACTGAACGCCGAGGGGTATGTCATCTCAATTTCCTAGAAGTCAAACAAAGCGTCTTTTATGTCCACCCAACCAGAGGACGACGTGAAAGTCTACGCTCCAAGCAAGGAATCCTTAGAGAACACATGGCAAATACACCACCAAAATAATTTCTAGTTGAAACTCTGACAAATTCACTCACCGTAAACCCCCTGGAAATCAGTTCGGATGTCGAAGTGTAAGGTGGTCAGGAGAAATTCCGTAAAATGGTGTAATTTCCCATATTGATTTTTATTCACGAGAGAAAATACATAAGCCTATTTTCAAACAACACCCTCCACTTTTAATGTGTGTACTCTGTAGATGGCTGGAATTATTATGTGCGCGTGGAATGAAATATCCAAAAGGACTAATGTCTTCCTCAATTTGTAATTAACTTCAGTCACGGATGAATATCACTCTCTTCTCAACCTCTTTTTCTTACAATCTCTCTTGGTGTCCCAAAAACCAAAGGAGACATTTATAGGAAAATTTCTCCCGTCCCATGCAATCATTCTGTCTTTCTCCTCTCTCACTCACCACTAATTATCACGAATTTCTCTTACACCTTTCACCATTCATTGTGTCCTGTTCATCGTACACCTCACTGACACCCTCTCCTTTAATTATTGAGCAGTTGGAGGTGTACTTAATGACCTAAATATACGAGAAACGTGTAAAACAGGTAACGATAAACTAAAAATCCCCAAATAGCTGGATATTCAACCAACACAGACTATTTAATGTAACACGAATTACATCCACAACTGCGTAAAGAACAGCTAAATCGTGTTAAGGGATTGAGAATCAAAAAGCCAAGCATGAAATGTGTTCAGAGACATGAGAATGGTCTTATTTTTAGAAATATAATTTAGCTTTACACATTGAGAGAGAAAATCTAATAACATCTGCTAATATTTGTAAATCAGATTGTTTCCTAAATTTCATTTCGCCAGGAAATCTTATTACACCATTTTGGGTTGATGAGAAAGGATAATGCCAAGATAATTGTCTCATTTCGCTCCAAGACCAAGCAAACTAAAGAATATATATTGCGAGTAAGGGAAGAAAATCTACCCGGAAATATTGAAATGCTCGCTCAATGTGAATAAATCATGATAAATGATGTAATTTGAGTTATGTTCTCTCAATTGAGCCTGGAGCGCTTGAAGGCAAGTTCCACTAAATACCGCAATTGACCTCTCACCTTCCGCATAGGCCATTCCAAGCACTGAATGCGCGTTTTTTAGCTCAACATTCTACCAATCTGTCCTTGACCTCATGTAGAGTACATTAATTTTCCACGAGAACACTCGAAACTTGGCTGGCAGACGAAGAAAAAAGAGGGATTTTCCTGATTCCTACAATAGATTTCTTTACCATACCCACAATTTATTGACCATCTTTGTTGATATAAACATCATTTCATAGAGGAATGCATTGAGTATCATCATAAATATAATTCTTATTGAGATTCTGCGTTTGCACTCAAATCGCCTGACAAAAGTCACTCATGCTCGTAAATCAATTGATGCTTTCATGGAATGAATTCTAATACCAATCTCAACTACACGAATACACCATTGCAAACACAAATGGAAAAGCCCCATTGCACATCTCTCCTTCTATCGCGCCACATCTCGCCCCGCTGGAGAGAGACAGCAGAAAAAATGCGATAGAATGTATCTATCTTAAGAGAGATACCCTCTATTTTGCCAAGAGACACTTTCCACCCACGCAATTTCCCACACTGAATGCGAGAAAACGTGATTGTTCTCCAAAGGCACTTTTCATCTTGTCCCATCTTCAATTTTCACCCAGTGAAAATCCACCATTTGTGTCTCAAGATTTACACAGATTCGTGACTACAAATTTATTTTGTCATTTAGTGAGAGAAGTCTAGCATCCACCCTCGCGAAAACACCAAAATCCTCCACCAACTCAGCACTTTCCGCTATGTCGCGCTAATTGCAAACAAGCCGAGGCGGAGGACATAGAAAAGAAAAATCATGACGACATTCATCTCATATGACTGCCTCTCACTGCTTTTCCTCCTCGCCATCGTCACTTGATGATTTTTCAGACACTCGTCTTTCTCACACTATCACTCATATCGCAAATGTCAATGAGAAGTTCATTGCTCTCTTTGCATCTCCTTCCCATTGTCAACACCATCAACGCAGAAACTCGTCCCATTTTTATCAGGAAAAGCGACCGAGAGAGTGATCTGGGCATGGAGGAGAAGCGAAGAGGAGGAAACGAGCCAGTGATAAGCTCGGCAAGGCTGGCGATAGCACGGATTCTCGAATGAAGGTATTTTAGCACTTACTCCAGTGCGTAGAAAACAATAACACATAGGCTAAACGCATGGGCGTAGCCAGGATTCGCTTAAAAAACAACTTTTGGCTGTTGCTAGTCGTTCAGTGGCTCAAATTCCAAGATCTCATAATGGTTAAATATCTCACTGTGACTTATCTAGATTGGTATGAAGCTTTTTATAGGTGAAGAATAACCTCTCAGATGAATTGCAGCAACTGTGGCTTCTTGCAAAGGAATCACCTTCTCGAGAGAGCCATAAAATGCTCCTCAATGGCGAATGGAGAGAGAATGTGGGGCTCATTGTGATCGACGCGAGGCGGCAGTGTGATAAGAAAATGTGTGTTTGTGTCTCACTCCCGAGCCCACCAGTGATTACCCCCTTCGCCGCCCATCCCAGTGTCTCAGACGAGTGCGCGTGGTTGGAGCATCCACACACAGCTCGCTGTGCGTGCAATTAATGGTGACGGAAGAGCCCCAGCGGATGATGCAGAAACCATAAATTGATCTATACACGCGCTTCATACGCCAGCCGGAAAGTGTCAACGCCGTCGTATGCAAAGCATGAGCATAATATTCTTCGCTCCATCGAAAATTCTTGAATCTCATTCTTCACTCTTTTTTTCTCCCTCACACACTCACCGCACCACATCTCAAGCACGCCGCACACTCTCCATAAACATAAACTTGAGACATTCTTAACCTACCACAAATTGCTGCATATGGGATTGTTTTGTGTGTACTAAATCATTTGCAAGAGACGCGAAGAGGAAAAAGTCAACATGAAGAATTTTCGAAGAAAATTCTCAAATGTTAAAAATAGCCTACAAAGTAATCAAGATCACTCTATTTTATGGCAAACAACCATTTTATGGCAGACTCTCCTTTTTTTGCTCACAACAAAGTATTGAGCGGAGCTTGAACTCCCATTTTCTCAGCTTGTTGTATCAGAGATCTAACACGCAAGAATGAAAATTGGATAGAAAAGTGATCATTAAATTGCACTGTTTACTCTATACGAAAATTCCTGTGTATGATTTCAGAGTGTGATCAACAAACCCACCACGTCTAGATACTAGAATAGAAAGACACTGGTCTTTTCTTTTTAAATATTTACATATTTTCGCCAGGAAAATGTTTGGTGGAATTTCAAAAATAATATCAATATATGTTTCCGTCGAGAATTTTATACCATTTTCGTTGATGATGTTAACAGCTTTAAAGCGAAAAAAAAATCCTCACTTTAATCCCGATCATCATGTTGGAAAAAGGCACAATTCTTCCCCAAGTGTTTGTCCCTAAATCCACTTCACACTGGCAAACATGAGGATTTTCCTCATTGAAAAAAAAAAAATTCCCAGAGATAATCGTAACACACAAATCATAATAGATGATGTGGAAGAATCAAAGTGATATCGCCTGCCATGAAAGGAATTTTCCAATAAAGCAATAATTCTCTTTTTCAATTGCTTCCCTCTCTCGCCCACTTAATCGCTTCGCCTCCCCCCAAATATTTGCTCGTTCTCCCCTCGCGACACTCGCCATTGTGGCGTGAAATAATACACAATAATTATATAAAATTGATAAGCAGAAGAAATTGTGTCAAGAGGTTGCCCGCAAGCTGATAAGGGAGAAAATTTATTGTTCTGTGTAGTCAATAAATAATTAAATTGTAATGAGTGCAACTGAAAGTGTTTGCCGAGAATTGACTCTCTTTCTCTCGCTCTCTCGCTCCTCATCGTCACGCCGCCAGAGGAGCCGAACATCCATGAGTTCTGGGAAATGAGAGGTGAACGTGGAGTTTCCCGAAAAGAAAACACCAATTCCATTGAAAATGACGCAATGAGGTGGTTAAACTCAAATGGCCTCCGAATACTACAAAAATACCTCGCCACTACTTCCGACAGATTCAGCCGCAGAGAGTGGCGCTTTTCCACCCCGCGGAGGCCCAACTCGCGAGCGCGCCACCCCAGGAAAATCAATAACCCTTTCCCGCGCGCCTCACTTTTCCCGCCCAGGACATCCGGATCGCCGGCTGATGAACCCCTCCTGTTCTCTCCTGTCCAGCGACACGTGGCCGTGGGAGCCCGGCGACCGCGATGAGGCCAGTCAGTGCATTTTTTCCACATGACTTGGAGGGGACTGGGCGAGGATTCGTGGTCAAAATAGGCGAGAGAGCAAAAATAAATGCACGAAAAGTCCCATCGCCAAACACACAACCACTTCCCCTCCGACACTGCTCGAACCTGGGTCAGTCGAGCAGTTCTAGCAGTTCCATAGCAATATTGATTGGTTCACAGACTTTTCCCATTTGCCCAATTTACACACATTTCCCATGCCAGCGCGTACTCACATTGCTTCTGACGATGCCGTCCTGCCTGGGAAAGACGTCTGCGGGACTGCGTCTCCAGGAGATGCCCTGAGGCGATCACTGCGGCTTTTCTAGTGCACTGCCCTATTTACTTTCACCAACCTCTCTGCACACCAATGTGTACGCGGGTCTTTTCACTTTCATTCCACTCAGGCTGGCGGATTGGACACGTGAACGATCAGAGTCACTGGCGGAGACGCATTCCACACGGAAAATACACACACTGGGACGAATTGAAATAATTCCATCAAATTTTGCGTTGTCGCGCAAAAACCACCGAAAACTGACCGTGCCTGTCAACAGTGGGGTTGCCACACGCGCGCAGCAGTGGGATTCCAATGTGCTGCCCCACTTTTGCCCACCAAATCCCCTCTTCGTCGCCTATGCCGAATACACCGCATTATTCGTTCCACGCCGGACACTATTCGCTTTTAAAGGGAACTTTAAAGATCTCTTTTCAATTGCCTCATTTACAGCGCAGAGTCTCTTGCTGAGATGTCTCTAAATCCTTGAGAAATTGACCACTGAAGAACTTCAAAAAATTGCTTACTTTTTTCAACATTTTATTCAGTAATTTCACATCTATACATATTTACACCATTTGTATGATGAATTTAGTGTTTTCTTGACATAATTTCTAATTCACGTAATACTTTTTCTCATGTATTCACTAATAAATACATCTCTAGGATACACTTCAGTAGTAAGAGAAGAACTGTGTTAATTATCCCATACCATAGTTTTTTAAAATGTGTTTTCTTTTTCTCAATATAATCCTTTACAGTTACAATGCTTTTCATCTACATTTATATTTATATAACATTATGTTTTTTTTCCTTTTATTTCTCTCAGAATACACAATGCAATGCAAGTACATCATAAATGTTTTTTTTCTTCTTATCTTCTTCTTCTGCAATGAACATCTGACAACGTGACAAACGGTAGCATTCTATGCTCCGAAAAAGGGCATCAAATCAAACAATTGGAAGTGGAAGGTAATTTCAACAATTGCGACAAGGTATGAAGGTGTTTTTGCAAAACTCGAGATGATCGTCAGGTGGTCGCGAAGAATATCACTGATTTTGCAAGAGGAATAGACCAAGAAAAAATAAAATGAAATCAAATAAAAAGAGACTAACATCAAATTGTGCAAAAACAAAACCTTGAAGTCCTCACAATTGAATCACACAATCATCGAATTGCTTTGAAAATCTGGCAGCAAAGTCCGGGAAGATTCCGATGGAAGTCGAGCCAGCTCAGGCTCGTCATCTTCACACCGACACTTTGGTGACTGCAAAGCAAGATGCTGCCGACAATTGCGTGAGCCAATTGATGAGGTTCAAACTCAAAAGAATGGCAGCTTCGTCAATTTCGGAGTGTCTCTCCGTCATTTCTTACTCCCTTCCACTTATTCTGGGGCAAAATTTGGGGGAATGTTTGGATTGTTAACAGGCGAAAAAGATGATGGGATAATTTTGACTGCGGCCTTTGGGGCGCGCGCCTTCTTAATCCGTGAATTTACGATTGGCGTTGCGGCCGAACAGTGCAGTGCGCACGGCCGGCAGCAACTGGGCCGAAATGAGCTCCAAGCGGGACTCGAGGGTGTTGGGCACCCGGATGCGTCCGTTGAGGGCGGACAGCTCGATGCCGCCGCACGCGTCCGCCGGCAGGAAGTTCTCCGTGTCCAGCGTCACCACGACGTCCTTGCCGATCTTGTCCTTGTACTCCTCCACGCAGCGCGGCAGGACGCTCTGCACGATATTCTGATCCACTTGGCGCGTCTTTGCGATGACATGCGGCTCCATGAGCTGCATTGAGACGAAGAAAAGGACACTCTGAGTATCTTATCTAGTTGGGGAGCGCAGAAATTCTTACTTGGAACAATCCCTGAACAATGAGCGTGCGAAGAACCTCAGCGTAACGGCCCTGATCTTTCGTGACCTCACCCAGACGTCGTCTTGCCTCGTCCAGCAAGTTCCTCACGTGATCCTCACGCACTTTGAGCACCTGAAATTGAAACCAGTCAGATGGAGAGCCTGAAACACTTGCCCGGGACCATCGAATCTCACCTTCAGACGAGCCTGATTGAGCATATTGGAGGATTGGATCTTCTTTTGGAGCTCCACTTGCTTCTCCTTCTTCTCGTAGTACTCCATGATCTTGAGACGCTGCTGCTGGACAAGACGTCCCTTCTCAATGTTGAACTCCTCCTCGGCCTTCGCATCGATCTCTTCAGCCTTCTCGTTGGCCTCCTGCTCGATGAAGGCCATCATGTGCTTGATCTGCAATCACAGAACATCCCAAAAACTCAGTATTTTCCTTTCGAATCCAATTTCCCATTTCGGATCACTGGCGGCAAAGCCGATAAGACTCGAGAGTTCAGAGGGTATTTGAGAGCACGAGATTCCACTCACACGAAAACCAGTATGGAGAACATGGCGAAAAGTCACATGACTCCAATGAAAAATACCCACATTTTCCCATCTTTCGCCAATTTTCACTGGATTTTCCGCGCGAAATCCGTAAAAGGACTTCTGAAAAGCATTTTTGTGCATAATTTAGGGACATTTGTCTAGAAATGATTGAGGAATCGAGATGAAAAGAGCGATAGTGACATCCGCCTATCATTGAATTCACATGACGTTGAGTTATGTGATCCTTATCACCGCCCCAACTGAGAAATCAACAGGGAGAAATGCATTCCTAATCTACGCACATCGCCCAGGACATGAGTGCAACTCATATCCACCCCCAAAAGCTACAGAAATAAGGTTTTCCGGAGGATTCTCTTGGGCGAACGAGGTCATTCGTGGCATGGAAAAAACCCCCTAAAAATAGTAAATTTTCACCTGTTTCTGGACATCTGCGTCGCTAAGAGCCATCTTCGCGCCTTGTTCACTGCGGGATTATCACTAAAAATCGTAAAACACTAGATTATTCGGCTAATAATCTTACTCTACGCCTCCACCTTGTGAGGAAAATTCACAAATGTCCAAGGTGATCATATGATTTGAGTCCCAAAGCACGCATACGCTCACACGAAGCATATACATGCAGGACAAAACGCACACTCGCGCACCAAAGTCGATGGATTTTTGGGAAATCGACCAACTCTTCGACTCAACTGTACGAGAAACCAATAAACTTCTGTCGGCACTGGAGAACTGGAGAAGAATTTGTGAGCAAAGGAACCAGTGACGCCATTCTGATAAGACTGAGAAAGCGTGTATTTTCAGGCAAATCGCGAGATTCTCTCTTCTATTTATATCACAAGTTAAGGAAGTGGTGAAGAAGAACACGCTGAGCGTAAAGATTCAAGAGGAAAGGTAAGAAATTTCGTGAAAAATATGGCCCGTCGTAGGCGCGTGGAAGTGTGAAAGAGCTCTAAATACCTTAGACTTCCATCAAATGAAGAAACAAAATTAATAAATTACGTGCAATTATCCAATATCTTCCAGGATGAACGTCGATTTATGCAATATGCTGCTCGAGTCTTTATCCCCATTCAAGGCATCTTCTAGCAACGACCCTGTGCAAGCCAAGCTGAAAGCCCGAATCAATTGGAACCATTGGAAGTTCTGCTTTCTAAATATGGTAAAGGCGTCAGGGATGACAGGTGAAAAGGAGCTGAAGGCACTCCTGCTTCACTGCGGCGGCGTTGAATTGCAGAAAATCTTCTATGATTTGCCTGGAGCAGAGATGGAGGACAATCCGAGAGCTCTGAACGAGCCTTACAAGGTGGCGCTTGAGATGCTGGACGATTACTTCACGCCAAAGTGGTCCATGGCATTTGAGAGGCATCTCTTCCATAAACTCAGGCGTAACCGAAGGGAGAAATTCTCAAGTTATGTTCTCAGGGTCGAGGGTCAAGCAAGTTATTGCAATTTTGGCTGTCTGGAAGCAAAGCAAATTGCAATCATGGATAAGCTTCTTCTGGATGCTCCGCAAAATATGATAAAGCGAGAAATACTTCTGAAGAAAGACATGAATTCTGGTGATGTTTTTGCATATGCAAGATATTATGAGGCAATAATCAAGACTAGAGCTCAATAAACAAAAAAAAGTATTGCAGTATGCTGCCGATCAAAGTCTAGATTTTTAATGAATCGATGAACTTTTCGATTCAATTGTCAGCTCATGAACAGATAAGAACGTGAGCACGCTAAAGAGAAGGTAGACGCCATTGCGAGAATACGGAAGAGAATCGTTTTTCAATGCAATTTCTAATAATCTCTCTTCTGTAAATATCACAAGTTACGGAATAGTGAAGCGAAAAACGTTGGTAGTGTGAAGGTGTGAAGAATTGGTAAGGAGTATCCTCTAAGAACTTAGTGTGAAGAGATGCTAAAGTGCCACCAGGTGGCAAGGGGTCCCAAACCTGAGAAATATAGTGTTGTGTTTCAGACTGTATTCGGGAAATATGGACATCGACTTGCTGCTGAAACGCTTACCTCACTTCGAGACATGTGATGGAGATTCTTCTGAAGAGCGACGGGATAAATGGTACATGTGGAAGAGGGCGTTTGAAAACGTGATGACCGCGATAGGAGAGGAAGACGAAAACAGGCTGAAAGCATTTCTGGTAATTTATGGTGGATCTGAGTTGAGGAGAATCTACACCCTACTATCCCCGCTTACAATGGAGACGAATGAGGAGGATCCTGGATCTGCGGATGGGCCTTATAAAACTACGCTTAAGATGTTCGATAATTTTTTAACCCGAAGAGATCCATGAGATTTGAGAGGAATGTCTTCCATTATCTCAGGCCATATCCAAATGAGAAGCTCTCAAGTTTCACCCATAGGCTGCAAACTCAAGCGAGGTACTGCAATTTTGGTTCTCCGGAAGCAAATCACATTGCTGTTATAGACAAGATTATCATGAATGCACCGCAACATTTGAAGCAGGCGCTCTTGGAGAAAGATATGACCCTCCACGAGATGATAATGTATGTACGCCTTGATGAGGAGAAATGCGCCGGCATATAAAAAAGAGATCAATAAAGTCAAGCCGCGGGAGGGCTAGTTTGTCCCAGTCCGTGGCGGATTTGTCTCACTTCTTTCGGCATTCGGTTCGCAACCGCACTTCTGGGTGTTCGATGAAAAATCTACTAGAATCCGCTAGATCTGCAGACTTTTCAGTGGCGACACCATATCCGGAAGCCGAAAAGTCTACCGAAGGTATTGTTGTCTCGCTCACACCACAAGTATGGCTGCCATTGTTTAGAGGTTGGAGAATATAGGCAAATTTTTGTGGATTCACCCGAAATTCGAGGCGGAAAAGCGACCCTTTGTGCTGAAATTGATGTGAAAAGGTGTGATAAGAGTGTGGCTAGTGTCTCGCAGTTGTGGAAAGCGCAGAAATCCGTGGCAAAAGGAAGTTAACTTGCCGAAAAAGTTGTGTTTTATTTCTCTTGTGTGTGATTTTTTGCTCCCCCTACTGGGAAACTCTTCTTCGAGTGACGACGGAATTTTCGACTGCAGCCAAAATTGATATTTAATTAATTTTGCTGTGAGAACCCAGGCGCTCTGTTGCGACGCGGCGAAGAGTGAAAATTCAGTTGCCAATACAATTGTATGCTCTATCGTGCATTTATTTGCAATATTCACATCGTGAATGCTGTAAAGTTATGAAGCTTTGAGTTTTCATTCACATTACTACTATTGAATGGTTGTTTTCATCTTCAGTCATTATTTAGGTGAGAATACACGGGGGAACTGTCTGTGCTGGGGATGCGCCCTTGGGGAACGCGCTGGGCGGCCGCGGAGGGCTGCAGAGGCCAGTTTTCGAGGCCCTTTGACAGCTGCCCGACAGCGACCTCCCCATTGGTCGCCTTCCTCTCGTCACTTGCTTTGTTTATTCGCAATTTGTGCGTCTCTGCAGAGCGATTTGGCGAGAACGCTTCTGGGCTGATCGGTGTGTGACCATTCTCGCCGTCTTCTCGTTCAAGGTTATGGCAAACTTAAACTTTCAACAGCCTCCTAGAAGTATAGCGAGCGCCTCTCTAACAGGACGAAGCACAGGGAGTTTCGGTGCGAATTCCCTGTCCGGCCATGTTACTCCGACGTCGGGAATGTTTCCACCGGGCAGCGGGGCGAGCAGCTACGGACAGTCCCAGCCGCCCCAATTGTCGCCCAACCGGAGTGCGCAGCAGCAACTGTCAAGTGCCAGTGTCGGAGGCGTTCCGCCCCAGATGTCCAACTCGAGTCGCTCCAGCCTCTTTGGACAGCGCTCCTTCGCGGACCGGCGAGCGATGGCGGGACTCGGAGGACCCATGGTAAGAGCACCATCGCAAGATCTGCTCTCAAGTCCTGATTGCGCTCTGTCGCTCCTGCAGTCAAACATGGGGTCTTTTATGCAATCATCACGTGGCTATGGATCGCAGAGTGGCTCTGGTCTCAACAGCTTCCATAGTGTCTTTGGCGGAGCCGGAAGGGACGCGGGGACGCCTCCTCTGCTGGACTTGTCTGAGTTCCCATCGCTCACCAACTCGAGAGGCCAGTCGGACGGCGGATCACAGCAGTCGAGCGGTGCTCTGCAGCCACCCGGAAGCAAGCCCTATGGTGAGTTCACAGGAACTCCTTTTGCGGGAGAGGAAAAGTTCATTTTTTTTATCCTGTCAGTGGAAATCTTAGGCTTTCATGCCGAACGAAGGGAAAAATCTAGTTTGTCTAGTCGAAGTGTTTATCACTTTTCCTATTTATTTGCAATAGCGCACTTTTATTGCAATCCCTCGCCAAAAATCCCGAACAGAATTAGTTACTAAATTTATTGGAAACTAAAACAATCTAGGGGATATTTTGGTTCCTGTTACTCACTGAACTATAAGAAGATAAATAACTTGAGATAATTATGTAGTACCTGTGCTGTCGGTGTTTGCGATTTACTAATGCAAAATTGTCGTTTCAGAATTTTTTTACAAATCCGAAGAAGCAGGTACTATATAATTAATTACTCTATTACAATACAATGCTTTGGTTTTGGGCTCTGATGAGGAGTGAAAGTGTGCAGTCAAAAACTGCTTGCCTGTAGTTTTTTTTTTCCTGTAAAAATTGGGGTGAATTTGCAACGGAAGAAGTGTCTCTAATCCTCTTCTCTTTCTCTCTCTCTCTCTCTTTGTCTGATAGTTGGAATGGTGAAACAGCCGACGTCGGAGCAGAGTGAGTTCCAGATGTCCAGCGAGGATTTTCCCGCGCTGCCAGGCACTCAGGTGGTGGATGGAGGGGCTATTGGCGGTGGACCTGGCGGCATTCTGGCGCCCGGCGGAGTGGACATGAGTGGCGAGAAGAGTCTGCTGCGTGAGGGTGTCCAGAGTGGGCAGACTGGCGCCGCGGGCATGGGAATGGAGCTGCAGAGTGAATCGCTGGTGGGTGGCGTGACGGAGAAGGCGATGAAGCGGGGCGTCCAGACGTCCCCGGACGGCAAGGTGACTAACATCCCGGCGAGTATGGTGAACAATCAGTTTGGCATGGTGGGCCTCCTCACGTTCATCCGGGCGGCGGAGTCCGATCCCAATCTCGTGTCACTGGCTATGGGTCAAGACCTGACGACGCTTGGTCTCAATCTCAATTCACCTGAGAATCTGTATCCCGCCTTTGGGGGTCCATTTTCGGATCAGCCCTGTCGGTGAGTTTTTTGGCTTTACAACACGCCATCGAGGAAGGATTTTAATGAGAGTGTTCTTGTGTGATTTTACAGGCCGCAGGACATAGACTTCCACGTACCACCTGAATACCTGGTGAACATGTCAATTCGAGACAAGCTCGCCCAGCCAGTACTGAAAAAATACAAAGACGACTTACTCTTTTTTCTCTTCTACACAAACGTGGGTGATGTTATGCAACTGGCCGCCGCCGCTGAACTGTAAGTTCACAACCCCTTTGCAAATCCCCAAACGCTTTAGTGACTAACGATTTTTCTTCTTTCCATCGATGCAGCCACAGCAGAGATTGGCGATATCATATAGAGGAGAAGGTGTGGATTTCGCGTCTTCCCGGCATGAATCACTATGACAAGAACGGCACAACGGAACGAGGCACGTACTACTACTTCGATGCCCAAAATTGGCGGCGAGTAGTGAAGGATTTGCAAATTGACACGGGGAAGCTGGACAAGTGTCCCAACTTGAATGCAATTGTGAACCTCAGCGGACAGCCTGTGTAGAGGTTCGACTTTCCCGGATTGCAGCAGTTGATGATAATGATGATGTGTGGACATGTGAAGGCAAAAGCTGGACGACGTCCGGAGGGACGTTGGGTGTAAAGATGAATTTCCTTTTTCTTTATTTTTCTCATTTCTTCACACACACTCAAAAACAAACACACACATACACGCAGGATACAACAAAATCTACTCCCCGCCCGCAGATTATACAAAATTACACAGTTTTAAGTGACAGAAATTTCGGGAGCTACATAAAGAGAGCAAAAAATCTTTTAGAACAGTCTTGATTTCTTTTTCCGTGAGAAGGAACATAAATAGAGAAAAGAATTCAGAGGTAAAAGAAAAAAGTAATATATGAACTCGGTATTTTCTTACAGAATGTAATTCTCCAAAAAAAAGCGCACTAATTGGTGGATAAAGAGATCTTCAAATTACAATATAAAATAGTACATTTTTCCTAATGAAAGAGTCGTGAGAACATTTTCATTTGACTTTGTACACTGGCTAAATGTGTGTGAATAATGACGATAATTTTGTGACATGATAGAAGATGAATTAAAGAGGAAAGCAGAAAAGTTTTACAAATAGAACGATTTATTATTTCACGAAAGCAGGACTTCCAAAATTAATATTAATTTTCCTGAAGATTCGCCGTTACTTTTCGAATGGCGAGTGGCGAAAATTGCGACGCGGGTTGCCAGATTCACTGAAGCGCCCAGAGGTGAATTTTGCTGTGGTTCAAGCTTTCTTGTCGGAAAAGTATGCTAAAATTTCCACTTTAGTGCTGTAGAAAGTATCAAATATCATAAGTGCAGGGAGAAGGAACTGCCTGGAGCATTCCGTGCCATAGAAGAGTGCCTTTGTAGTGCCGCTGAAGGAGAGTTATGAGAGGTTTCTGTGATATAACCTACAATTGTCGCTGGGATTTCGTTTGTGCATCACAATTTTGAGAGAACGTTAGGAAAATGGGAATAATGAATCCGCCTGAAATGAGTGTGTTTCAGGGCGCCTCCAGCATTCAGGTTGCCAATAATAATACAATAGATGAGGAGGAAGAGGAGGAACAGGAGAGGAGGCGACATAACTTGGAAATTCAGGAAGCTCTGGATGTGATGTTTGAAGATGAGCACCCGGACGAGTCTGGACAGTTTGTTCACCCACCGTCTGGTCAGGGGGTAGCGAGGGGTGACTGGCTGAACAGTCATCCCATGCAGCAGGACCATTATTCCGGAGGAGACGAAGGTCAGTTGGCGCGCGTGTTCGAAATCAATGCCCAAGAGACATATCAGCTGAAAAACACCCTGGCCAATGAAGTGAAGGTGCGTGACCAGGAGATTGACAAGCTGCAGAAGTGTCTGGCCATTGCGAATGCCGAGAAGGAGCGTGCCATAATGACACGGTCGCAGACCAACGAATTGCTGATCGAGAGCAAGGCCAAGTGCTCAGAGTTGAACTCCACCGTGGCCAGACTCCAATCGAATGTGCAGGAGCTGCAGAAGAAGAATTCAGACATGCTGGTGGAGATTGAGAACACGAATCGCATGCTCAAGGATTCAGAGATGCAGCTCCGACTCGCAGAGAATAACGCTCTGCGCCGAAAGGAGCAACTTCGGGACTCGGATAGGAGGAATGCTGAGGTGGAACTGCTGCAGCAGCAGGTGAATGGCCTGCTGAAGAAGGTGGATGATCGTGAGATGAGCTTGAGCACGATGGAGAAGAAGTACAGGGAATTGGAGAGGAGTCGCGAGGCGCTGCTTGTGGACAAGACGGACACGATAAATGATCTCATGCGCTCGCTGGGGGAGACTCAGGAGCAGTGCAATGATCTCCTGAGTCGTCCCGATCTCAGCCATGAGAATTTCCAGTTGAGACAAAGTGTGGCAGCTCTTGAGAAGCAGGCCGAAGAGATGGAGAGGCGAATCAAGAGGCTCACAAAGGAGTTGGAGGACAAGACAGAGACTCGATTTCTCGACTCGGACAAACAGCTCGTGAGCAGCACACCTCTGACGACAGACGCCAAGTATCTCAACGTGCGGCAAGAGCTTTATCGCGCCTTGGCGGATCTCAAGGAGAAGCGCGAGGATATACGGAAGTTGCAAGAGGATGTTGCTGCAAAGAGCACTGAAATTGCAACTCTAAAACAGGCAAACAATGATTCCCTGATAAAGATAGCCGAAAGCGAAAATGAGATCATGAGATTGACTGAGAAAGTGCGTCTGTATGAGAATGAATCGGAGGAGAATTGGAAGATGAAAGAGGAGGGATTGTCCGAGGTGGCCCAGAATTTCGTGAGAGAGTCTCAAATGGAGATTGAGAAGCTCAAGAATGAATATTGTTCACTCTCGTCGGCCAAGAATGATCTCGTGCGTGAATTGAATGCGCTCAAGTCGCAGGATTTCGTGAAAAATCTCGAGTGTCTCCAGGATGAGTTTGACGATGTGAAGAAGAGTCTGCAAGAGAGCGAGGATGTCATCAAGGAGAAGGATAAAGTAATTGAGAGGCAGAAATGGGAGCACGAGAAGGAGATGGCGAAGCTGAAGGAGAAATTTGAGAAAGGTAAGATGCCGCTGCTCGTTAATTGAGTTATTGTCAGCAAATTTGCAGTAATTGCCAATTGATCTGTTGCAGAGAAACTCGAATGTGTCACGAAACGGCGATCATTGAAGAATGATTCTCGTGATTGCAGCAATTGCCTCAATCAGATGGCTGATATCACGAGGCAGGAAATTGAGAATATTCAACTGCAGAAGGACTGTGCCAATTACTTGCGTGAAATCAATCATCTCAAGTCTGAACTGAAGGAATCCACGGAGACTGTGAATGACCTGCACGCGCGACTGGGACTGAAGGAGGAGCAGAATCGCGTGATTGCCGATCTGAAAGAGCAGGCGGCGAAATTTGGGGAGTACATAAAAAATTGCAGTTCCACTTCGACACCACAGAAGGTGGATTCTCGCGACGCCAGCGTCTCCACGTCGCCAGACATGGAGGGATTCAGTAATCCGGCGATGTACGATCAGTACGCCAAGGTGTACGCGGAGGAGATGAAGAAGATGGAGATGCAGTTCAGGGAGAAGGAATTGCAGGCGGAGGAGACAGTGAAAAAGCTCGTGGCCTACAGGGATGAGATGCAGAAGGTGTTCGAGGAGAAAGTTCACATGTTCAAGGTGGTGATCTTGTCGGAGAGGAAGGAGTTCGAGAGATTGATCAGTGAGAAAGAGTTTGAGAGTCAGCGCTCCACAGAGGAGCACAGCAAGATAGTCAACAAGTACAAACAGGACCTCAGTGTGCTGAAGGGCCAAGCCGAGGAGCTTCGGCACGTAGTGAAGGAGCTGAAGGAGCAGAACGAGAAGGAGAAGAATGCTGTGATGGAGCTCATGAGGGAGTGGAGTGCCGAGAAGGAGAGTGTTAAGGTGCGGGAGATGAAGATGCAGAGACTGATCGATGAGACGGCCAAGAAGTACGACTCGGCGAAGGAAAAGGCGGAAAATTATAAGAAGTACGCTGAGGCCCAGGATGTTCACATGAAGAAGGAGTCAGAGAGGATTCGGTCTTCATATGAGGCGTACAAAGTCAAGATTGACGAACGTCTGGAGGCTCTGAAGGTCTATTATGCAAAATTGGTGAGTTCAGTGGGATGTTGTTCGCAAGTTTTGCACAGTTTTAATGATTTTGATCTTTCAGACTGACGAGAAAGTAGCTAAAATTGAGGAGGAATACATGAGAAAATTGGAAATGCTCAAGAGGCCGTAAGCGGATTACTTCACACCACCTGATAAATCACTATTTTCCCTGTTGTTTTGTAAGCGAGATATTTTTGATAATATTAACATGAAGTAAGCTCTCTATTATAAATGGATTTACAAAATCACATGCGTTTCTGTGTAGTTTTCTCAAAATGTGAGCTTCATGAAGGTTATTCTAATAACAAGTGATGATTCTTCTAATTTTGTGACGCAAATGATCGCTTTTCGAAATATGGGAAATACAACATCAAGGAGATGTGACGATTGATCTGCTGAATTTTCGATGTAACAAAATAATTTTGTGATGGCAAAATAAGTGATTCAGCTATCATTAGACGAAACAATCACTCGAGGGATTCTTTTGCAGTCTCTAATACTAAATCCCAGGCGGGCAAGATAGTGGAATATCGTGATTCTCTTAATTGGGTCAATCATTTGCTTGAGGCAAAATGATAAGGAGATGTGGAGAAAAATCGTCAGCAAAGGGTCAGATTTGAAATGTTTATGAATTGTGGTGCTGACAAGCATTTGTGCGGCTGCGTGGCAATTAATTATCAGTCGACCAGGATTAAGAGAAAGACCAAGAAAATCGTACGATCAACTGCAATGCTTTGTGTATTGCTGGAATACGGTGAATAATTGCTATTTATTTACAAAAGCTCACTCCCTCCTTCTCATGCCTCTTTTCTCTCTCTCGCTCTCTCTCTGTCTCCCCTCTTATCAGCAGTGCGACGAGTGTTTTCGCACCAATACAATCACCGAACGGAACGTTCTGAGACAGGCAATAAGCTTGGTCAAACAACGGCTGGTCAGTTGAACATTTTCCGTTGACGAGGAAAGAAGCACACGGTGAAGAGTCTCCTGACAAGGGAATCAAGTGATTTGAGAACTGCAATTAGACGCTTGTCATCTCGTGCATATTACTTTCCGGAGAGAGAGAAGACACTTGAGCTAGAACTTTGGGATTCGGTGGAAGATGAATTTGTCCTTTGCTGGCTGTGGCTTCCTGGGAATTTATCACATTGGTGTGGCTATTTGTTTCAAACAGTATGCGCCTCATCTGCTGCTCGACAAAATCAGTGGTGCTTCTGCTGGCTCTCTAGCTGCCGTTGGATTACTATGCGACCTGCCGCTCAGTGAGTTTGTGCCCTCATCATGTTTGCCAAGGAATATCTGACCGCATGTCTGAGGTCAGCATTTGCAAAATAGCGCTGTGACTCTCAACAGAAGCGATTGACTCAGAATCATTGTTTTATGGCGCACTGTATTGAGCTTTTATCGTGTCTGCACTTTTTCATCGCTCTATCGCGATGGTGCGGTCCAAATTCCAAAGGTGCTCAAGTGTAATTTGCAAGATTTACGCTCTTTTTTGCCCTTGCTGATTTCCACCAAGCTTTTTGTGTGTGGGAAATATTTCAGATATCGCACAGAAAGAGCGTTGTGCTCAGTAATTACCTTCTATATCAGTTCACACGCGTTTCGAGTGTAAACCTCAGACCAATATTATTTTCTACACAGAATTTGTCAAAATGTGCAATTTCTACAGGTATACAAAGGTATGAGCTCAACTTGGGTTATCAGAAGATTTTTGCGAGACTTTCGGGGAGGGCAATTATGTATAATCTTATCGATATTGACCTTCATCGATCATTTTTTCTCACCTCATGTGGTCATGAAGCCATAAGAAAACTCGTGAGCCAACCTTCCAAAGGTTCAATTAGTCCACGTTGGTGGAAAAGCCCCCAAAGGTGGAATTTTCCTCGTTAATCTTCTCGATAAGAGGCTCTTTTCGATCGTTCTGTATTTTCAAAGAGCACATAGGAAGTGATGGTCATTTCGCAAAAAGTGGCAACGAAGAAAACTGATAAGCGAGGCAAAAAGTCATTTGTTTTCCAGCATTAGCAAAATATCAACATTGTCGCGTATTACACAAAAAGTCATTCAGCTCATTGACGCAATCATCTCACGCGAGAAATATTTCTCCACGCTGAAAAGTGGGTTTAGAAATGGCTTTAATCTCTCTAGGGTGTTTTTTTCGCCTGGGCTATTAGGATTCATTACGTTACTGATCGCAAAAGCGCGCGCGGGATTTTCTCTCGCATCTGTACGCAAATTGGTTGATGGGTTATCGCGCTTGCCCCCAAAAATCATCGCGCACATCCAACTCGGGGTGGCTCTGCGGTGGCCCCAAAGTGTGTCAGTTGAATGAAAATTTGTGTATACAACTCGGGGAGGGCACGAGAAAAGGATTGACCCACAAATGATAAGGTTTAGCGCGCGCGATAGGGGCAAAAAACTACGCAAAATTCCCACGAAAGTCGCTTACTGAGAAAAGAGAGTCTCTAAATCTCCCTTTCGCTAATTAAGTTATCACACACACGGATTCCCCCTTATCACGTTTTCTACGCGCCGTGTCTTATACATTCTGTTGAATGGAAGAGAGACACCTCAAACAGCGAAAGCACACTTACACACCCCCTTCCTTATCGCGCGTGTGCCTCGCGAGAGTCTTGAGCCGCAGAGAGTGGGTGAGAAAAAGTGTGCTGTTGGCCGATATTTTCCGATTAAGCCTCTGATTGTGGCGCAATCAGCAAGGTCAATTCCTCAAGCGAAGAGCGAGCCTTCCCTCCCAGCAGGGCATTTAAGGCGCGCCACACACCAAAAAGCCACTGTGCTACTTCTCCCCATGAGACCTCCTATTTGTCCGTTAATATTGACTCGCTGCTATCAGCGAGATATCAGAGACGAGAGAGAATTGAGAGAATATGAAGGATGGATGAGGAAAAACAACGTGACGCATCTCAAGATGTGTCGTCAATGACAATAATAAAATATTACACAAGGCATTTATTCTGTTGATTTCCCAACATATAAAGCCACACTTCCGATTTACATGCAACACTCAGGCGAGAAGATTGTTAACGAATTGCCGTCCGACACCTCCTTATCGCTCCTTTCGCGTTGGCCCAAAAAGTTGCATTTGACACGAGATGGGCAGGTTTTGCACAGATCACCGGGTAATTTTCCACTTCCGGAAGGCATGGCTAAGTCATATTTATCTTATCTGGTTGTGTTTTTGGAAGCAAATCTCAGAAATATCAGCCCATTTCCATAAAGAATTGTCCGCAAATATTTGCCACTGATTCCCTTTTCATGGTAATTTCAGTGTGACTTGAGATAATGGAAATTTTACTAGCTTAAAATAGCCTAATGAGATTTCTTCCATTAAGCACGGAATAAAAATTTTTTATTAGTTGTAAGTTTTATTTGAGACCTTGCTGTTGATGAAGTTTTAACTTTACTATTACGCAAATGAGTAGAAATGTTTTATGGATGTGAGGATAATTATATTTTTTTTCTAAATTTCTTAGAATTGCACTTTTGATAAGAAAACAAGGTCAAATGCTCATAAGAATAGATCAGCAATAACAGAGAAACGTTTGAATGTATCTTAGTTAATCTGTATGCAATGCGACTGTGAATTGCTTGGGTTTTATGGCGAAAATGACGAGCCCACCTTTCTGCTTTAGTCGGTTTTGGTCGGTTTAAAGAGTCATGGGTTGGATGACCTGCAGGTAGAGGAATTAACATAATTTTTGCCATAATTTATGACGCTTTGTGACTCAAAATTACATATTCCAGAAAGAAATGCATTATTGCACAGGCATGATGAATCAGCATAAAAAGGCTCCTGAGAGTTTTGGTGGGGAAACGTGACGAAAGATGCGTGCCTTGAAGGGAAAAGTGGGAGAAGATCTCATTGACAGTGTGATAAGAGAGCCTATGAGAAGCAAATAGCCAATATTGTCTTTAATTTTCTTTCAAAACTTGTTATTGTGTGCCTTTTTCTCTGGCTATTTGCACAATTCCATGGCGATAAGGCGCCGAGGAGAGAGACACTTTTGGGGGAGGGTGTTTGCTTAGTGATTTATTTCCCACAAAAATGCATCGAAACGTGCTGATAGTGGACAAATATTTGCTCATGCTGACAATGTCGATATTGCCTGGGAAATGAAGGATTTCTCTTGTTCTCTTTGCAGCCGAGATGACCTCAGAGATGCTGAGGATCTCAATGGTGGCGCGATCGCACAAGCTCGGCCCCTTCAGTCCGCGCTTCAACATCAACAACATCCTGCTGGAGGGTCTGCACAAATTCCTGCCCGAGGACGCCCACCTGAGAGTGAATGGACGCCTTCATGTGTCCCTGACGCGCGTATGTGATGGCCAAAATGTGATCGTGTCCCACTTCAGCAGCCGCGAGGAGCTCTTCCAGGCCCTCCTGTGCGCCTGCTTCATCCCCGTGTTCTCGGGCTTCCTGCCGCCGCGTTTCCATGGCGTGCGCTACATGGACGGCGGCTTCTCCGACAATCTGCCCACCATCAATGAGAACACCATTACAGTCAGTCCCTTCTGTGGTGAAAGTGATATTTGTCCCAGGGACAAGAGCTCGCAGCTCTTCCACGTGAGTATTTCTTTGCACACACGCCAGGACTTGAGCAGAAGTGAACTTTGAACTTCTTCCAGATCAACTTCGCCAATACGAGTATAGAATTGTCGCGAGCGAACATGAATCGCTTCTCCTACATCCTAATGCCACCCAAGGCGGAGATCCTGTCCAATATTTGTCAGCAGGGCTTCGACGACGCCCTGCGCTTCCTGCAGCGCAACAATCTCATCAACTGCAACCGATGCATCTCGGTGCAGACGCAGATCACGGTTAAGGACACGCAGGAGTACATGATGGAGGACTACGATCCTGAGTGCAAGGACTGCACGGAGCACAGGAAGCATGCTTCCAGGGCGAACCTGCCGGACACGGTGGTACACGTGCTCCAGTCGGCGATCGATTCGGCCAACAAGGGTATCGTGTCGTGGCTATTCAAGCACAAACTGCCCACAATGCTGCGAAAGATCACATCCTTCCTGCCTTCTGTGTTGCCCTCCTCACTCACAAAGTTAGTACAGGCCTTCCGGGACTCTCTCTGTCACGGCCTCATGATCATTTCTCACGTGCTTCTCTTCCTGTAGACTGAGGAGAAGACTACTAACACACACTCGCCTCGAGAAGCTCCTCATCGACCTGCCTCACAAATGGGGGTTAGTCGAACTTAACACTTTCTCCACACATTCCGTGATTAACTGGGGTGCACTGAATCCGCTTTCTATCATAATTTCACGACACTCATTCAGGGATTTTCCGGGAAATGCATATAAAGATGATGGAATAGATTGTGATTGAAGAAAGAAGATTTCTTTACCGTTTCCTTGCAGAGAAGTCTACTGGGATGATGAGGATCTTGAAGAAACTCCGCCGGAGATTCAGATTGAAAAGACCATATAGGATCGCGAGAGCTCTCCTCCACTTAACCGGCCAAATGACATTAATATAAGTTAATGCGATAAGATGAGAAAGACTTGAAAATATTTTTTAATCAACTCATGTGACATTTCCAAGAAGGTAACATTTTCTCTTCACTGTCGCTCAATTATCAATTCAATAATGCATTCTTGTCTTCTCTCTTGCAGATCAACACATTTTCACGATAATTCTTTTTCTATTCTTGTACATGACCAAGGTATTCGAGGTGGAAATCATTTTTATAGACAATTTTCTTAAGAATCTTCTGACTATGAGATTTTACAAGTCATTGAAAGTGACACAAGTTCAATGATCCTGTATTATAATGTATTAGACTGAAATAAATGAAATACAGAAAAAAGAGTGTAATCTTGGAGAAATTTGTGCGTGGGTCAATGTCAATAAACTCAAATCAACACTTACTTTTTGCCACATTCTTGGCAAGATGTGTGTATTAACCTTTACGGTTATCAAAATAATACTTTTGCGCATTTGTTTCTCCCTCGCAAGAGCAATGTTATTGCTTCACTCGCTGATAATGTCTTTAGGCAAAATACGACAGATGGAATTTCACAGTCAATCATAAAAACGAGCGTAAATATGCGAAAACAACCGAGAGAATTGATCGATTAGAAATGCAAAATAGGGGCAAAGTTGCATAAATGAACAATTTATTATGTAATTCATTTTCCAACTCCTTGCAGTTGAAACTGTATTAATAGTATCAAATAGCTGGTCATCGATGAGATCATGGAGTAGAGTAGCGTGTTGTCCACATTGAACATTCCGCAGACGGAAATCGGGCGTCTTTCCTGGAGGATTTGCAGGGAAAATCGACTGATGCTCTCCTTGAGACGATCGTCAGTTTGATGAACGGGAAATTCGTGCAGAATCTTTGCAGTTGTTGTCATCTAAAGCGAGACAAGAGAGTGACTAAAACTCTAGTATTTTCTGGTAAGTTTTCTTTCCATTTTCTAAACCTCCTTCAGAAATCTGCTTGTACATATGGGAGTCATAATCAATTCCATAGCGTTAAAGAAGTCGTTCAAAAAGACATTTAGAACAAGTTCCACTGTCATAATGTTGTCTGATAATCCAATAAGTGTTAGATACTCAAAGAATAATGGCAATAGTAATTCCAAAAACTTGTTGGTATAATAAAAAAGCAAAACCACAGATTGAAGGCGATTTAAACTAATGCTGAATTTGTTGATTTCCGTATAAAAAGGTAAAATCCCATCAATTTTGTCACTTATTCGACTAGACAAAATCATTCTCTGTGCTTCTGAAGACGTCCTTGGTAGATTTGTTATTTCATCTCTCAATTCCATGAGATAATTGTTTATCTGTGATGCAAAAAATTCTAATGTAATCACTTCATTTGCAAAATTACACCCCGTCAATGTCGTCACTATTATTGGGAATACAAAAAATAAATAAAGTAACCAATTTCTTTCATCTTCATTCGCCACATATAATATCAGAGTATAATTTGTGATAATTTTTAGCAAAAATACGGCGATAGCAATAAAAGTAACAGTAAAAAAGTAAGTTTTCCGATAGACTTTAGGCACAATTTCAGCTAATTTCTTATCATAATCCACTTTCGCGTTGAAATATGCAATAAATCCTCTTCTATTAATAATATTTAGAAATAACACAGCTATTAGAATGAAACCGTGCACAGTTGCCTGAATTAGTCCCGCGTACAATCCCAAATTGGATTTCAAAGTATTTCTGAGAAGAATAAAATATTTGAAAAGAAATATTGGATAAGTAAACACTGCTGAAATCAAAGAAAGGAGAGAAATTGAAATGGATAGAACTGATTCACTGAAAACTCTCGTCGCAGGATCGTAAGAAAAGGGTATTAATCCCATAAACTTGTTGAAATAGTAGAAAGCAGAGGTGAAAATGTAAAAGCTTGCTTTCGCCTCAAGAGCCATTCTTAAAAGCACTGAATCAACAAGCACACAAAACCAATGAACTTTCCCACTAATCGCTTAATATCTCGTGAATGAGTAAATTTAATTACGGTCACTCAATTGATACGCCATCAATCATTTTCCGACATTATCAATTGAGGACTGAAACACACCTCAAGGCTCTCTTTACCTCCTGTCGCATCCTTTCACAAATGTTGATGTACATGATAAGTGCTATCATATTACAAAAACAGTAGCTGAATCCGAAAAAGATAAACAGCGGATCGTCGTGATATTTTTCAACATATCGCGATCGAGAAATGATTTGATAGAACATCTGAGCGATGACTTCCAAGAATTTGTGAAGGAAAACAGAGATCATGGCGAAGGATTCTTTCTTAATGATCTTCAATATCTTGTCATAGATTTCGGAGTTTAATTCCTCGAGAAAGTTGAGGTCATCACTGACTTTGCAGGCTATCAACATGCAATGTGCTCTACTTTTCCTAAGCGCAGTTTCTTGCTGGTAAATATTGAGATGTTCCTTTAGAGTGTGATTGAGACACGCAATCACGAAACTGTACTGCAGAATTCGCTCAAAGAATATATTTCCGGCCGCAGCAATTTGAAAGTACAGCAAAACATAGCCAGCAATGTACAGAATGCCATCGGTTGGGTTGCGAAGCACTTTGAACATCACAACTGTGAGTGACAACATTTGATAGAAGAACAAAAAGACACAATTCAGTATCAAAAGACGAATTTTGCAATGCGCCCTTTCAACTTTCTTCACAATGCCACACTCTGTGTATTTGTTAAATCTTTCGCTGAACTGGAGAAATTCATTCGTACAGGAAACTTCCTGCTTGCAGTAGAACAATTTGTAGGATAGAAGAGCAATATTGAGCAAGTATTGTGACGATGTCTGAAAAACACACATGTGACGTGCCAAAGGATTTCCACTCGTGTTCCAGACATTGGTAAATAAGTATTCTATAACATTCGGAAAAGAAAAGAAGACGCAAAAGAGAATTGTGGCACAGTAGCAGATTTTACTGAAGGACAGCACAACTATGTTCTTCTTTGAGTTGAATGAATTCAGCGATATGCCGAAAAAGGTATTGATAATGTTGAAATAATGCATAAAAGCAGTCATTTTTTTATTCGACTACAAAGACAACTCCCGAAAAATAAACTAATCCATGCTTTCTATTCCAAAAACTGTTCAATATCAGAGAAATTCAATTAGAATGATAAAATCAACAATAATCAAATTTTTATCGGAACGATTGATAAGGATAGTAAAGATAACATTTCATATAGAACATATTGATTTTCTGAACATGAATATTACCTCTTGTTGCATCCTTTCGCACACACCAATGCATAGAAATATGGAAATAAAATTGGAAAGTGTAAAGGAATTTCCCAAGATCATAAACTGTGGTTCATTCTCAAATTCTAGTGTATCCATCTCTCGGCCAATGAAGCCATAAAATACAGGAACAATAATTTCTATAAATTTATGCAATAAAACAATAATCATGGTAAAAGATTCACTTTCAATTAATTCAAAACATGCAGCATAAATTTCACTGTTTAATTTTTGCAAATTGCTTATGTCATCACTCATTTTGCATGATACGATCATTAAATGAGCTTTGCTTCCACTTTTTGCGCGAATTAGTAAGTCTTTATACATTTTCAGTGTCTCATTTACGTGAAATATCATGGATTTGCATTGAAGTATGATCTCAAAGAATTCATTTCCCGCTACAATTATTTGAAAGTAAGAGAAGAGATACCCAAAAATGCTAAAGCATTTCAATGTATAAAAATGATTTTCATCAGTCACTTTCAGCAATATGATGGTCAGCGATATTAGTTGGACATAGAACACAACCATAAAATATATAGAAATGGATTTTGTATTATCTTTCTTCTTTACTTTAAACACTATTCCTTTGTTTTCACAAAGGGTAAAATATTCTCTAAATATTTTATATCGATTTTTCTTCAAAGCATCTCTTCTAAAAAACAAAATTTTGTATAACATCAACATTAGGCTTGAAATGAATTGGGAACATTGTTGAATTAGGCTCACAAGCCGAGATAAATTATTTTGATTCAAGTCGTATAAGTTATTCACAAAAAAAATTATTATTCGCGGAGAAAAGAGAATAATTAGAATCAATAATAAAACAGTGTAGGATATTTTTAAATACGATGTGATAAAGTATTTCTTTTGTCGATTATAGGAAGCCAAAGATACACCGAAAACTGTGTTTATAAAGTCGAAATAATTCAAATTTGCTGTCATCCTGTTCTGAACTTGGAGATGAACTGATCAATGTATTGTTGTCCCTTCAAATGTAATGTAATTTTTCAATAGTCCATTGAGAAAGATATAATCTTTGTGATTAAATATTGACAAGTTTTACATTTCCATTTGGAATTGAATCAAGAGTATCAAATAGCTGGTCATCGATGAGATCATGGAGTAGAGTAGCGTGTTGTCCACATTGAACATTCCGCAGACGGAAATCGGGCGTTTTTCCTGAAGGATTTGCAGGGAAAATCGACTGATGCTCTCCTTGAGACGATCGTCAGTTTGATGAACGGGAAATTCGTGCAGAATCTTTGCAGTTTTTGTCATCTACATTTACAGAGATTCTTTCAGTCTCAAAGAGGGTGAAAAATTTATTATATTTTGTACCTCTTTCATGAAATTTTCACAATTCAGTACAACCAGAACAATTTCAATTACACTGAAACAGTTGTTCACGAAGCTCTGAATGAACACATTGGATGCCATTGAAAAATTCGAATACCCAGCCATCGTTAGAAACTCCAAGAACACGTGAATAATAAGTTCAAAAAGTTTGTTCACGAAGTAGAAAAACAGCGTCCAAGTTTCAATTGCACAATATCTCATTGCAAGCTTTTCAATATTTGAATATACACTCGAAAGTTTATCTATCTTTTGACTGATTAAGTAGAAAAGAGATATTTTTTGCGAATGAGATAAATGAATTGGCATCATTTGCACTTGATCCAATAGTTCCAAGAGCTTCTCGTTAATTTGGAATGCATAGTAACGCAGATACAAGACTTCTGTATAGAATTTACATCCACTAAGAAAGGTAACGACGAGAGGAAAGAAAGCTATGCCTATCAGTGGTATATAAGAGTAGTTAACATATTCGTTGGTATTTACATGGACCATAATGATGTAAAATCCCAAAATTCTGCCGAAAAATACACACAGCATAGCTACAGACAATGCAAAGAAGTACACAGATTGATATTCCGTTACGATAGTAAACGAGAGGATCTCCTCGAAGGCTTTTTTAAAGTTAAGATATCTAATAATTCGCTTTCTGTTCAAAATACCAAAGAAAATTGTTACAATAAAGGAAATCCACTGAACCATCACTCTGGTAATCGTGACTGATATTCCAAAGTCACTTATGATGACTATTTGCATCTTTTGACTGATTTTCCAAAGTGCATAAGGCATGATCAAAGTATAGAATATCACGAGAATAATTGAGAACGCAAGACTTAGAGTAGATGCCTTGAAAAGCTTCTTCTTTTTGTTATAGTGAAAAGGAAAAATTCCTACAATTTTGTTTAGAAAATAAATAAATGCTGCGGCACGATTAAAGTGTACTTTTGCTTGCAGAAACATGTTCACAACTGAACTTCGTTTCACCAAAATTCTCAGACCAAAGCACAGGCTAATTACAAGAGTGTTTGAGATGCAAAAGATTAAGCACCATAATGGTTTCAATTTTGCCTAATGCAGTTAACTACGACACATTTTAATGTAGTGTTCAGACAAAATAACAAGAAGTGAAGAATTCAAAGGACAGGCAATGAATACTGGGTTCACGAGGGAAGGACTCGCGTTTATTGTGAACACAAGTCACTAATGAGCGTCGAATATGTGAAGTGAGACATTAATTATTGCGCTCTTCTCATCATACTTAACGCAAAGTACCTCTTTAGTGCCTTTTAGTAAGATGATAAACTTCGAACGGGCAGGAGTCCCTCAGTGGCTCATCCGCGCGTTTAAGATCCAAATTGCTTTTGTGCGAATAATTGCCAGGATTATAGGCCTCAGATGCACTTACTTCAGCAATAAAACCGGCCAGTTTGAACTGTCCACATTTGATAGGGCTTATTCCACAGTGATCCTAATCATATTGATTGTTGGTTTTCCGTTTGCTCTGCCTCTCGTCTATAAAGGAGCGCGCAATGTGATCCCGTCCAATTCAGTTCCTGCACTCATTGGAACTTTTTCAGTCATTTTCAATTTCATTGTCATAATCTTGATTTATCTGAAAGAAGTAGTCAATAGTAAGAAAATAATAAAGTACTTGAATGGAGTATCGCAGGAGATTGAGGAACGTTTTCTAAGGGATGCCACAATAAGGGAATTATGTGATCCACTCTTCTACTTCCTCTTTAAATTCCTCATCTGCGAAGTAGTCTTTCTCTTAACCAACGCATTTAGCATGATATCAGTGATTAAACAATTCGGCAGTTCTTTTATCTTAGTGGGAGTCTTATCAATGTATCCCTATCTCGTTCACTTCACTGTCAGCACAACCGTCTTCATAGGTTCACTAAGGCTGAAGTTTTTCTTCAGACTCCTCAATAAGAACCTCATGAATCTCGCTCGGGAAGTGCAGAAGAACAATATCGCCGAGATGAGACAGTATGAAAGAATATCATTTAGTTGCAATTTGAGTGATAAATTGGACGAATACTCACTGTACTATGAAAGTATTTCCAACGCAACTAAAGGCCTGTTGGATCTCTACTCCTTGCAATTGCTTCTTCTCATCATTAACAACTTCATTGCGACGACCTTCCAAATGTTTCTCCAGTATGTTTTCACTAGATTGATTTTCATGGGCAGACTTGAAGCAAATATCACATTAGCAAGCTTTTCAATGGTTGTCCTTATCATTGGATTCTTGGACTTTACTATGCACGGCATTGTTGGTCAACATGTGAGAGACGAAGCTAAGCGAACAGGATTAATTCTGCACAAAATACCAACTCATCAGATGGACATAAGATTCCGAAGAAGTGTGAGATTGTCGACAAAAGTCAAAAATAGCTTGAAGTAACCTAAAATCCTTCTCACTCCCTTCCAGATTGAAACTTTCTCCTTGCAAGTTCTTCATGAGAATCCCAGTCTATCCATTTGTGGTTTCTTCATTCTAGACATTGGTCTTATTTCATCAGTAAATATAATTAAATTCCATTCAAAAAGATCAATATAGTTTCAGTACAAAAGAGATTCATTTTTCACAGGTAATCGCTGGAATTTCGAGTTATGTGCTCATCCTCATTCAGTTCGATCAGGCACAGGAGGCGCCGTGAGTTGGATGTGCTATGAGATCTCCATCAGCGTCTCATCCCGGACGATTTCTCCCCTCATCAAGCCTCCATACGCCATCAGAAGTTTCTCCCAGTAGCACCTGACATCCTCCATCCTGAGATGATGCCAAATGTGCTGATATCCCGCCTCGGCAATCTTCATAGCCACATCATCGTTCTCTTTGAAGTACTCAATGAGCGACTTCAGCTCTTCACTGGTGGGATTTGACTTCACTGGAATGTAGTGGATCCACGGCCTCAGGGAGTCATAGAAGAACTCCTTCCACTCATCGCCCACGTGAAAGACGAGAGATTTGCAGAGGAAGAGATGCTTCAGGCGAAAGCTCGCCGCCACACCACGGAAATTGAATAAATACTTGTACTTGCAATGCTCCTCGAAGCTCACTTCCGATGCCGGTTCGGCATTCAGCGTGTCAGCTGGAGATTTCCATGCCTGATTCTTGGTATACTGGGCATCTGCCATTGCAGGATCCTCCCGGGAAAGCAGCACCAATGGATCACGTTCTGAAGATGTGCGCGAGCCTCTGAAGAATGCCTTGGATTCCTTCGAATGCCAGGGAAATTTCTCAGCTGTTTTTGAGATGGACTGTCGATGCTTATCCCATCGCCCAAGACCCGTAGGATAGAGGGAAATGGCTGGGCCTCCTTCCCAGAATCCCCAGGCGGGATACATGATGTCCGCGTACTCATCAGTCTTGCTGAAGGACAGCACCGGAGCAGGTTGATTCCACTGCTTGTAGATTTGAGGCCAATCTCTCACGTTTATCACCAATTCCATATTTGGCAGCCTCTTCAGGAGTGGCTTAATAAAGTACTCAACACCTGAGCATCTGGCAGGAAACATGCACTCGCGCTGACGGAAGAGCTTCCCATCCACAATCTGATATCTTGTGCCTCGATTACTCACAGCCTCCAGCATTTGGAGCGATATTCCGCCCAGGAATGGCTCCAAGTCGTTCTCCAGCTGAATCTCATGGCACGTGCAATTGCCCTGAACGCAGGGCACATAACTCTTCTCCGCCTTGCTGATAGCAGTCCATGTGGGGTCACTTTCTGGATGAGTGAGGAAGAGCAACAAGGACATTGAGAATTATCAGGAAGTAAACAATCCATGAAGACGCAATTACCTTCCAAAAATCTCACTAGTTCCGCCTTAAATACGCAATCTTCACCCTTGACGCAGTCTTCATGGAACTCACTTGACACAACACAAGCAATTGAGAGAAAAATACTGAGAAAATTCTGCATTTTCACGGGGAAAATGAGAGGCAAACGGATCGTTGCAAGATACAAAAAGAAACGCTCAGCTGACACTCTCACATAACCTCAATCCTCCCATAAAAACATAGAAAAGTGCTGGTCAGGAGGGAAATGGTGTTTTAGGGACTCTCTCATGGATTAGCTTAAGGAACAAAGTATGACGATTACAGATTACTTATCGGGATTGTCTGACAATCCCTACTTCGGTGCTGGATTCGGTTTATTCGGCATCGGAGCCGGTGCGGCGATATTACGTAAAGGCCTCCAGGGAGGTCTCATCTTCTTCCGGCGGCACTACATGATCACACTGGAGGTGCCCTGTCGAGATAAATCCTACCAGTGGCTGCTGCAGTGGATCACACAGAGGGGTGCCCGTAAGACCCAGCATCTCAGCGTTGAGACGTCTTTTGAGCAGAAGGAGACGGGCCACGTGAAGACAAAGTATGATTTCATTCCCAGCATTGGGACACATTTCATGAGATATGGCAGGACGTGGATTAAGGTGGAGCGAGCCCGCGAGCAGCACACCCTCGACCTGCACATGGGCGTGCCCTGGGAAACCGTCACTTTAACTGCTTTTGGTCGGGACAAGAATCTGTACTTTGGGATTCTCGAGGAAGGTAGGAAGAATATCTATGATTTACTCGAAAGAAAGGTAATTTATGGCTTTCTCAGCTAGGCAACTGGCGCTGAAGCACACCGAGGGAAAGACAATCATGTACACAGCGCTGGGCAGCGAGTGGCGTCCCTTTGGACATCCCAGGAAGAGAAGACCCATCACTTCGGTCGTCCTGGATAGAGGCATATCCGACAAGATTGTGGCAGATATTCAGGAGTTCATTAAAAATCCCATGTGGTACTCCGAAAGAGGGATTCCCTACCGAAGAGGATATTTGCTGTACGGACCGCCAGGCTGTGGGAAATCCAGCTTCATCACTGCCTTGGCTGGAGAGATTGAATTTGGGATTTGCGTGCTCAATCTCTCAGATCGCAGTCTGTCGGACGACAGACTGAATCACCTTCTCAGTGTGGCTCCACAGCAATCCATCATCCTGCTGGAGGACATTGATTCAGCCTTTGTCTCGCGGGAGGAAACTAAGCAGCAGAAGTCCGCCTACGAGGGGCTCAACAGAGTCACATTCAGTGGACTCCTCAACTGCTTGGACGGCGTGGCGTCCACCGAGGCGAGGATCCTCTTCATGACCACAAACTATTTGGACAGACTAGATCCGGCACTCATTCGGCCGGGAAGAGTTGACCTGAAGGAGTACGTGGGATATTGCTCGCAGTATCAACTGGAGCAGATGTATCACAGATTTTACGGCGAGGGAGAGGATCGCAGCAAAGCCCAGGAGTTCGCTGAGAAAGTCATGACTGAGAAGAAACCAGTGAGTCCTGCGCAAATCCAAGGCTACTTCATGATGCACAAGACATCGCCCCAGGACACAGTCCTGGCGAACATCCGTGAAATCTGGGAGAGTTACTAGTAAAGTTCTCGTAATTTATTTCTTCTTCTTTGCTGCCTTTCCCTTCTTACCCTTCTTCTTCTTGCGATACGGTCCCAGGCAGTTTCTCACCATCGTTCCGCGCCACCAGGCCTGAATCCTCACAGCGCTGTCCCATTTCTTCTGCTCTAAGCGACGAGCTTCATCTTCCAGACGCTTCTGTTCGAGATACTCATCAATTTCCTCCTGGTGACCATTGTAGGAATCCTGCATGTCCCTTATGCACATCTGAAGACTCTCAATTTGAATTCTAGCCAATCTCAGCTTCTCATCCAACTCCACAAGTTCCCTGTTGTATCGCTCAATCCAAAACTGAGTCATGCTTTCCAATTTATCAATCTGGTGATGACTGAACACATCCATTTCACTCATGATCCTCTCCTCTTGATTTGATTTTCTCTCGAATTCCCGGATGCTCAGCAGCAGAGTGTTATGCTCCTTGTCATACAGAGACTGAGCCTGTTCGTGGCGAGTTGCTTCCCATTTCAATACCAATCGGCATCTCATGGCGTTCTCGAGTTCACAATCCTTTTGCTGATTTTGCAAATCAATCAACTTCTCATCGCAATCCTTGAGGCGCTTCCGACAATCCTCAGAGTCCTTTCGCAGCTTCTTCTCCAGATACAGGGACAGTTTCTTGTTCTTATTGTATTCCTCAATTATTTCGTACTCTTCTCTTCCCTCCTTGTGAATCATATCGATTACGCCTCTCAGCTGAGGAAATCCTTGCATCACTGTTTCTTCCAGGGCGTATCTAAAGAAGTCAATATCTTCTTCCAATTTCATAAATATCATCCCCTTTCCAACTGCCTCCAGAGCACTGTGCACCTTTCCCGGACTCGATTTAACGCCACTTTGAATTCTCTCCCGGAAACGCTCCTGAATCGGACGCTTCTGAACCACTTTCTTCAGCGTTTTCCGTCCCCGGTTTATGATCAAGAGTGAATCTACAGAATTTTCCAAAAGAACACCTATTCCTGTCTTCAAGAGCGTCTCCATTTTCTTCCTCAACAAACAATGTTTCCATGACAATTATTCTATTTAATTTTACGTTTCTGAACACTTTTCTTCATTGTTTTACCCTTCTTTTGCCTCTTCTTTCCGACAGTTTTCTTGCCTTTCTTCCCCTTTTCTCCTTTCTTCTTTTGATTCAAAGACTTCTTGAGGGCTGTAAGTATCTCTTCCTTGGAGACTTTTTTCTTTCTGGCGATGAGAAAATGTAAGTAGAGAGCAATCTTGGATTTCTCAATGAAAAAATCGCTAATCTTGCGAGCCTTCAAGGCTTCCAGTTCATCCGAAAGTTCAAAGATCTTGTCATTATTTTCCATGCCGACGTCCACAAATTCATTAGCTTCCAGATGGATGCTGGACAGAACTTCCTCGTAATTAGAGCATTTACCGAGTATTTTGGATACATTTTCCTGTCTTTCTTTCAACCTTGTCAATTTGTTGCTCGAATCTTGATGCATCTTTTTGAGGAATCGTCTTATCAACTGTGACGCTATCACTTCTTGATCGATTTTGCTGTAGAACAACTGCAGCGAGTCTTGCAGACTTTCTTCTTCCTGCTTGCAATAAATTTTCTGTTGATCGAGGCTTGCTTTATGCAATTCCTCAATGTCCTTCCTTCGGATGTCAATAAATTTCTCCGCCTCTTCGCCGTCCTGAATGCAGCTTAACAATTGATGTGTGAGGTATCTCAAGCCGAGTATTTTGTACTGAGCCACCAGATATTTGTAGTAGAAGGTGTCTTGAGGGAAGTAGTCCAAAAACTCCTCCAAAACATTCCACAGAGCCACTACTTCGAAATTTGTGAGAATCTCCATTGGAATCCTCCTCAATTTACTTTCCAAACTAAAGTGAATGACAAAAGTAATCTTACCTGGATAACTAGGTTTAGTGGGATTTTTTATTTCATCCGAGAAAATTACATCTACGTTTTCGCCTTCTTCGGAGCACTCACGCCTCCGGACTCCGTGACGTCTTCCTCCGAGTCCTCTTCTTCTGTGTTGTTATTTTCTGCAAACGATGCGAATCATCGCATGAGGAAGACACTTCTGTCAAGAAATGCAAGATTCTTTACCTGTTTTTGATGTCTGGACAGGAGTTTCCGGCACGATTTGTTCATTCACCAATTCAGTCATGTACGCATTGGAAGATTCCTTCATTGCCTTGAGGGAACCCAACAAACTGCTTAAAGAATCCTCGGGAATACTTTCTTCAAGCGTCTTCAGCACTGTGTCACGATTCTTAGTCACATTCACTGTGATATTGGGCATTTTTTCCAGATGATTCTCAATTTGTTTACAGCCCAAACTCGTGCGGCAAAAACAACACAAACAGAACCTCAAATGCTGCACTGGCATGCCAATTCAGAATTTATACTGCCAGTAAATAACATAGAATCAGCTGTTTCTCGTCGAAATTTTTGGTCTACTCGGGATGAGGAACCACAACAAAGAGTGAAAATATCGCGAAAATTAATTTGTGAAAGTTTTTGCATGATTCCTCCTCATTCACTTGTGACTTCATGTCCGTTCTAGTCTCTTTGTGTCACCTCAAGTTCGAAATAGACGTTGCCCCCGCAATGAGCTCTGAGGAAAGTAAGTGGGGCGCTTCAATGGCGGCCAAGGTTGGTGGCAATAATTCAATGAAAATGTCTTTCACGCTTTCACAGACGCTGATGGGGCCTGTGCCATTAGCTCTGACACCACGAACACCACGCGCTCTGCTCAAATCAATCGTGGTCAGCGCCAGCCGCGCAATATCAAGGTGGAAAACTACACAAATCGCGACCTGGAGCCATCGGAGTCTTCGCGAGGACTCTTGCCAGCGAACTCTCGGGAAGTGACTCCCATGGATGATGCGCCTCCGCCAAAGACCGAGGCCTCCGATGACATCACATTCTTCTCGGGGAACCCTTTCGTGGAGGTCACAAAGGGCATCATTCACCTGTACAAGAAGAACGAGCGAACAGATGTGATGGATTGCCAATCAAAGACCCTCTGTCTTCTGGCTGTTCCGGCAATCCTCAGTTGCCACGATCTCCTCAACTTTGTGGCACCCTGCCACTCTGTCATCCAGCACGTGCGGATCATCAGAGACGGATCACCGAATCAATTCATGGTGCTTCTCGAGTGAGTTTGCTTATTTTGCATGACAATCCTGATTGTATGGAGAGTAAAATGAATCCTATATCTGCAGATTCCGCACTATTGAGTCGGCGATTGAATTTTATGAGACATACAACGGAGTGCCGTACAACAGCCTGGAGCCAGACTCTCTCTGTCACGCTGTTTGGGTGTCTAGCGTCGTGTGGGGCTTCGATGAGACTCCACCGGCGGGACACACGGAGTTGCCCACCTGTCCAGTTTGTCTAGAGCGCATGGACGAGAGTGTGGACGGCGTGCTGACAATCCTGTGCAATCACGCCTTCCACGCGAGCTGCCTGGTGAAGTGGGGCGACTCCACATGTCCCGTCTGCCGCTGCGTCCAGACGCCCGAGCTCACAGAGAGTTCTGTGTGCATGGAGTGCGAAGGAACAGAAGCGCTCTGGATCTGTCTGATCTGTGGCCACGTGGGCTGTGGCAGATATCAAGGAGGTCACGCATTCTCCCACTATCGAATGACCAATCACACGTATGCTCTGCAGCTGGGGACGAACCGAGTGTGGGATTACGTTGGTGATAACTTTGTCCATCGGCTGCTGCAGAGCAAGACAGATGGTAAATTGGTGGCCACACAGAGTCCTGAAGGCGATGGCGAGGAGAAGATTGACTCGATGCAGCTGGAATTCACGTATTTGCTCACATCTCAGTTGGATGCGCAGCGGGAGTATTACGAAGAGAAGCTGAGTCGCCTGGAGAGCCTTGTGACGAGTGAAACAGATAAGATCAAGGCTCACACAGCCCAAATTGTGGAGCAAAATGCGACTCTGGAGGGAAAAGTGAAGGATCTGACCAAGGATAAGGCGGCGCTGGAGAAGAAGCTCTCCCAGGTGACGACTAAGCTGAATGCTGTGTCCAAGGAGCTCTCAGAAGAGCGACAAATGGGAAAGGCAATGCAGACTAATCAATCTGAGTGGCAGACAAAGTGCACCAGCCTGGAGAAGCGTCTCAAGGATCTGCAAGCGGAGAAGGAAGTCACTATAACAGATCTCAAGGAGCAGATCAGAGATTTGTCGTTTTACATGGAGGCTCAGAGTCTGATTGCCAAGTCGGAGTTGCAGGAGGAAATCGCCTCGGGGTCTGTGATCATTCCGGAGAGTTCTGGGCAGAAGGGGAAGAACCGTCGGCGAAGGAATTGAGCTCAAGACCAAGTACTACTCTTGTTTATAGATTATTGGCTTTTCAGGCTTTCCAATAAAATTGATGGTCAAATTCGCTGTGTTGTCATGTATAATTTTGAGTCAAATCTTCTGCAGAGCGATTTATTTTTAAAACACTTGACCTGGAGACGAGGTACGGTCCAAAAAAAAGGTTCTTCTCAATTCAGCCTGTCAGCAATGTCCGCATCTGCTCCAATGTCAATCAGACAAATTGCTAATTTTGTGGCCAAAAGAATACGCATACGTTGGAAAATTGTGCCGGAAGTTTTAATATTCTCATTACGAATGGTACTTTTGTGTACTGTGACGTTGTTCAATCAAATTATTAAAAAGTAGGTATAATTGATGGGAACTTGTGATTCCCGTCCAAACTGTGGAGCCACTTTTGCGCCTTACTTTTGCCATCATGAGAGCCTGAGTGTGGTCTGACGGACATCCATGGGCTGAAGCTGTCTGGCTTTCATCCCAAAAGCCTTTCTGAAATTTTTGACCTCATATATTTGCACGACTAAACACTGTTTATTCCATTTTCTGGGCACTTTTTGTCGTCAGAATACAGTTCTGGATCATAAATTCGAAACTATGCTGCAAAAATTCTCATTGACACTCGTTTATCTATTACTAATGTGCTTACAATTGGGCGCAATCGTGGCAGCGTTTATGTGAAGAGCCTCAGTAAGTTCTCTCCTGTTTTTCTGATCCCAAAATTTCCCAGGGAACCTCAATTTCGGATGAGTCAGTGTGCCTTCTTGACCACACAAGACAGTCCCAATCATTTGAGCGGGAGTGTATTTTCGCAGCGGAGCCCCATTGTGTTCACAAACACACTTCCTGAGGCACACAGCCATGCTAAAATAAATTCCAAATGACCGCTAACCACCGACTTTTGAAGGATCATTATTTTTGATTTGATATGATTTGATTTAGTTGAGATTTCATCTCGTTAGGTGACACACGCTATGCAAACGCTGCTCCCGCTCCCAATTGTCTGTGCACTTCTGCGGCTCTTGCTGTTACCTCAGGAATACGTGCGAACGCGCGCTAGCATTTTCACCCAAAGTGATACATTCCATTAATGGGTTGAAATCCGTGAGAAACTCCCCTTCAAAAGCCGAGAGGACCAAATAATGCGATGTAAGTTGCCTCAAGCACGCGCTCCCGTGCAATTTTTATGTGCTCTATTGAGAAATTAACATTCTGGCGATCCGATACGCTATGCGCCATGATAATTGGAAAAGCATTGCATTTGACATTGATTTGCAAACAATAAAACCAGCTCCCATATCAATGCACTCCCGCCGTTGCCAATCATACATTATTGAAAAGGATTGCGAGATTTTTTCTCGTATGCAAAATTCCCACTTCTATGCGCCAATGTGACAAGATTGATATGAATTTTAGTTTAATCAATTGCATTATGGAGATAAAACCACATTTTACACTCCCTTACTTTGTTGCGTGAGAAATGCTAAGATAAAAAATGTGTCTACGTGAAAAGTCCGGTATTGAGAAGTTATTTGATGAATTTATCCGCCTATTGAGTGTACACAAAAATTATTAGCTATTTATCAACGAGGCAGTTTTCATCTTATGTAGACACCTGAAGCAATGCCTCAAAACCCCCCAATGCTGTGGAGGTGCTAATTTGCTAAAAATAATTGAAAGCAAAACAACTACACAGTTGAAACTGCCTGAAAAATGTGATAAGCTGTGATGAACATGTTGTTGGGTTTGCAATGATAGATTATGTGCATCGAGTGATGGACCACCGGAATCGATCTTCATGGCGAGCTGGTGGAAGAAGAGTTATCATTGAAGCACATTTGTGGTGAAAATTGAATGTACATAATCGTGAGTCAAGAGAAAAATGATCACGCGAAGAACGGTGTGAAGGAGCAGCATAAATATGACACACTTTCGCGCGCAAAAGTTCATCCTCCGTCGGTTTCGCGCGAAGTCTCTCAAATGAAAATACAGTGAATCATCATTCGCAAGAGATTAGTCACTCATGAAAGCTTTAATTTCGCATTAATGAAGAATTTTCACCAAGAGTTTCCACTTCATTATCGCATGGACTTGAAAAGGTCTTCTAGGAAGGACAGCCGAAAATGTGCATCTCTTTTGCCTTAACCTGGGAAATTCAGGTGGCCTTTTTTGCGTGATCAGAAATGCTACAATAACCTGAAGTTTTCCAAACTAATTGGACAATCTGTCGATGCCGCACAATTTCACATACGCGCATTTAAACACTCAGTGTTGAAAAAAAATACAGCTGAAATTCGAAGGTAAGGAAAAAAAATAAGGGTCAAGTTCTGTAAGACTACTTGATCCAGTGAAGCGTTACAATGCAACCTACTTCTCGTTTTATCAATGAATCTTCATCATATCACGAATTTCCATTTGTTTTCAAACATCTCAATCTTCCGTATTTGCTCTTTTTCTCGTGGCTTCCCTAAAGTTTCACTGCAACATTGTATGTGCAGCAAGCACTTGGGATTGCATTGTTCGCCTTCGAAATGTTTCAATTTCAATAATAAGAGGAACATCACAAATGAAACATTAGGTTCTTCAGCTTTAGAAAAAGATTCATTCCAATCTGGCTATTAAAAGTATTACGCAACAAAAAAAACTATTTCGCAATATTTGTAGTATTATTGTTGATTGTCTGTGAATTTATTTCAAGTCGTTTATTTTAATAATAAGGCAGAAAATTGAACAACACAATTTTCCTTTGACTTTTCATTACAAAACAAACTCAATGATTTTCCGCAGTCTGACCATAAAACTTTCTTTCGTCAGGTGTAACGGCATTTCTACAGTTTTTGTCTACTTCTCAATGGCAATTACCATCTTTTCAGACACTTTGGCCCCGGGTTCACCTATTTTGCAAAACGCGTCTAAAGTAGGTAAAACGGATAAAAGCTCTTGAAATAATCGCGAAATTTGAGCTTCGCGCACGCACATTCAGTAATAACTTGTGGAAATTTGTACTTTAGTGGCAGGAAAGAGGCACAACGGGACCAGAAGCAGCAAGAATGTTATCAAATAGTGAACCTTCTAAACGCTCTTGCATTATTTTGCATTAATAGTATTCAATTATTCATTGTCGACACTAATTACAAGTCAGGTTCATCGTATATGCAGAATTATCTCACTGTATTATCTGCCCCTCCACAGTCACTTCAGCCACATTGATCCTATCGCGGCGCTGTGTTTATGTGTACAGCCAATTCTTTCCATAATATCTTTCTCAAATATTTCTTTCCTCCACCACAAAAGCTAACTACACAATTATGATCAATTATAATTCAATGTATGCGATCTTGAAAATATTAAGTAGCTCTTTAGCAACATTGATGGATGGAGTTGACAAGACGGATTTTCTAATATCCATATCGTTTATATTGAGAATGACATTTCTCACGAGAGAGGTGGAAAATGGTCAGAGCGCGAGCGTATAATATTGATCTCGATTGTTAGCTCAATTATCGGAAACTGCAATGATACTGAATAGAAATCATTTCCGAGCATATACATATGCATGGGACGTGCAGTTAGGGAGGAATTCAAACTATCAATTAGGGAAAATGCTCAGTATTTTCCTCTGTCTTAATATGAGTCAATGTAGCGGGATTGATTGCTCTCCATTCTACACATTCTCTATAATGCATTGAAGGTGCATTTTCTTTTCCTCCTTCCACTTGCGAAAGATGCTGCATTCTCTCTCAATTCGCGAGCAATCAAAATGAGAATTGAGAGAATCAATTGGCGAATAGCGCATGACATTCAATGTATATATGCTTAACACTTTTTCAATTTTGCAAGCAAGCGCGTGGAAGATGATCGAGCAATGTTCAATAACGAAAAGAATTGTGGAAATCGCTGTGAGAACCATGAAAAACTGACTGACACGCTAATAAGAGGATATCCCACATACATATTTTCATTCTTATTCAATGTAACAGTTTTTAGTTCATTCATTCGTTTGCACTCTGCACACTGGCGAAGTGCAGAGTGCGAAGCACTCTCTCGAGCCAACAATTGCGTCACGGAAAATGCATGAAAAGCTCATCACTGGCAAAAACGATGGGAGGTTGTAATTATCCAAAAAAATGCATTTTCACGGATCAAGATTGTGAACTGTGGAAATCATTGCGAAAATGCACATGAAACTGGTTTTGTGATATTTTATTCACTTGACTCATCCCAGTCGGAAATTATACATTATTATGTTAATTGGCTTGAGTTGAGTGAAGAATAGAAAAAAAACCCCACGAAATCATTGAACTGAAATTTATATAATGAAAAATTCAAACTTCGGCTGATAAATGAAATCAGCAGCAGTGCTTCTATGGCGTCAATAACTCATATGAGAAGTTAATTGATGAGGTGTGTTTGTGCATCAGAATAGCATGCGTCTGTGCTTCTCAAATCCCATATGTTTCATCCGTCTGCTCGCAACATTCTTTCGCGCTCTTCCACCTGATCCGGTTATGTGAATTCAATGCAATTTCTATCGGAGGTGCATAAACTCCTTTTGCGTATATGAAATGATATGGAATTGTGTGCTCTTTTTCCTCCCAATTCTCAATGAACATCCGAAAAAATATGCTGTGTTTTGCCACAAACGATATGGAAAATGCTGCGCCAGTGGAGCAGTCATGAAAAACGTGCAAATCTTTAAATTAATCAAAATCAGAGACTAATCTCATAATCTGATGGCACGTAAATAAGGCGCATATATCGTACAGTTGATCAAATAAAACCGAATGTTTAATGCTCGTTGAAATTACAAATCATCCTCGCGAGATAGAGGGTGACGATTATATGGACCGCTCATCTGCCAGAGGGGCGACGGGAGCCAACTGGCAGCATCAACACAGTCTTCCCACTTTGAGAATGTATCTCTCAAGATAACACTGTGGATTTTGATAACAACAAACACATCAACTCCTCTGACTCATCCTCGCACTATCAATGGCGACCGGGGACGTGCGACGCATTCCCAATGCTAAAGATGTCCACGCGCGGGTCCAGGAAAAATCACTGTCGAAGGATGAGGACATCCGGATTCTCGAGGACACCCCTGAGACGGACTTATCACTCAAACACCGCGTCAAAGGTGGAATTTTAGACGGCAAAGGCATAGAACATAATGGCATTCTTCACTTAATTGACATATTTTGCGAAATCCAATTGTGCTACGTGATAAATATGTAAAATTGTGTGCGGAAAATATTTACTCTTTTGTAAATACACACTGAAAATAGTCCATGTGCGGGAGAACGAAAGAGCTGTAGAATTTCATGAAAATTTCACTTGATTCTGTTTCTCTTGAAGTTATTATATTTTCAAATTGATTCATGAACATTGACTATGATAAGCATCTGAATTACTTATTGGTCAAGATCAATATTTATTGATAAGTCATTGATCCAATTTTGATAAGATTTCACGAAAATTGCGTTTCTGTGGAATATCAATGCACAATCGTGGTGTTTTCTGGGAAAAAAGCACATCATATTTTGTGCACTTCATCAACAGAGAGCACAGTCATCCCAAAAGATGCTGAAACTGTCACAGAAGTAATCTCTGCAATATAATATTGTAATTGGGTTGAAAATTTCACACATAATTTCAAAACCCTCAGCGATTAAGAGATTTAAATCCGAGTACGATTAATTTACAAGGGGCATGATAATTTTTCACGACGGATATTATCTCACTGCGGATTAAGCATCATCAAAGTGCAAACTAAGCCATTCAAGTATAAAAGGTGGCAGTTTCTTAGACAATGCCCACCATTTTTGAGTGGTTTGCCTGCAAACCACTCCCCGTGTTTCCATCGCAATTGCACGTGATAATACCAAAGAAGTGATATAAGGCTTGTTGAGTGAGTATCCAGTTACGCATTAAAGGATTCCCAGTTGCCAGATCGCCCCCGAAAAAAGAGTGGATATTGTGAATCACAGAATATTCGCAGAAAGAACACAATAGCTTGGTCAAATATTTTGGATGGAAAGAAAAATTTTTCCTCACATTAGTTGGTGGTTAATGACTAAAGAGAATCGCGTCTTGTAATTTGTATTAAGTGATGAATCACTCCAATCTTGTAGGTTGTCGAAATCTTAAAAAGAAAATGTAATATTGAAAATAAATGTGTAAATTGGTTCAAATAACAATTTATTAACATTATTACGTACGCTATCACTTAACGACCTTTTGAGAATTTTTATTTATGTGATGATTTTCGCAGAAAAACGTGAAGCTTTTATTTCCTCTCGCCACCCAATCGTACATCATTGGCCTGGCTATTTGCCCCATCCCTCCATCACAGACTGCCCGCCACAGGCGAATTCTCTCTGTGTATATTTTGAAAGTTTGAGAAGTGACGAGATCACTGCCAAGTGCCAGATTTTTTCCCCTCTCTCTGCTGTCCAAGTGAGTTACAATGCAAAACAATATTTGCCCACATGAGAGAGAACAGGTAGCCTTTCCACGTAATGTAATCTGGCGAGAGGAACCGCGGAGATTAACAGTATCATGCACGCAGGACAGCTTCAGCACGCGCTGAGCACCGCGAGGCGATGATAGAGGGAAAGAGAGAGAGAGGGAGAAAGAGAGAAAAGTCAGTACTATTGACTTGTTTTAAGAGAGAAGGCTACAATGTGTGAAAATGTTAGGCACACACTCTACGCGACGATACGACGTAGTCTCGGAGCCCCACAGCTCCCCTTCTTTTGGAGAATCTCACATAACGAGGCTGTAGCAAAAAGCGCCAAACAGTTGTGAAAACTAGTCAGTTACAATCAAACTCTCCCAGGAGCAACAACCACTCACTACACTCTCTCGCAGCGGATCATTTTCTCCTTCGCGATCAAGTCAAGAGTCCTCCACCAGTGCGACTATTAATTGCAGTCTCTGGCAGCGCTTAAGTTCTAAGTGAAGCAAATTGCAAAGTGATATTAACAAGTCCGTTACATTGTTAAGTGCCTAAATGAGGATATTACTAATTCACTAAAATCATCACACTTTAGTGCTGTTTGGAGGGAAAGAAAAGAAGCGAGAGAATTAAGTTCACGCCAGGCAAGGTTGCCCCAGTGATACAAAGGAAGATTATTAATGAGAACGTTCAATTTGGCAAATTTCATGACGATTTTCGTACATTTAAGTGTGTGCTGGTAGTTTTTATGTTTAAGAACGCACCAGAGAATATATAATATTTTATTTTCACTCGCTCCCCCCTCCCTAAATCCCCGTCACAACGAACCGCGCCACCGTTCTGCTCACCTTCGTGGAGTGTTTGCTTAAAGTACAAAGGTGAATTTAAATATCTAATTAGTTATAAGTGTTTAAGAGGCAACTGTACTCTTATAAACTTGATTTTCTCTCAAAACTTGTAAATCAATCACTCATTTCCTATTTCCATGCAATTCACGCAAATCAATGTCAAAGGCGGGAAAAATGTGAAAAACCTCTTTCTTCCACATGCTTATTAACACCCATCAAGTGAGGCTTTTTCTTCTGTGCAACTCTATACACACGATTCGCTACCACCTCTATATCGTCCCCATTGAGAGTATAAGCTAAAGATATAATACTAAATTGAGGACTCTCGAGTTTAATCAATTGACAAAAATGTCGTGAACTAATTCTTCTTCTTTTCTACTCTCTATATTCACACAATTCTCAACTGCAGACGAAGTTCACGTCACACTTCCGCGCACTTTTCACAGTCAAGAAGACTTAAAGGGAAAACCTCAGCCAGCATCTTCGGCAAGTGACCTTCCACACTCATCCCGACTCTTCTCTTCTGTTCACAAAGAGGCGACACGCGCAAAAACCATATCACGGGACAGCATAGAATGGTAGAAAGTGATTCCGATACCAACACCTCAAGTAGTAAGTGCCCTAATCTGTCCACCAGTTCAGCACAGGAGATGATCGCATCCTTCCCTCCCTGTATAGATTGTAATGTAACTGACGATCGTCTAAAGAACGGCGTCGGATCCAAAGAGCTAGAGCTGAAGAGTATCTCTGCTCCGGTAAATTCTACTACACGTTCGGAACTCACACCACCCACGCTCGAGGCGTCCCACATCAAGGAGAAGAGTCTCAAGGACCCCGAGAAGGGGCACAACCTCAAGGCGGACTTCGAGGAGGCCATCGAACTCGCTGGCTATGGACGCTTCCACTACATTCTACTAGCAATATGCGGCCTGGTGAGCACGAGCGAGGAGATGGACGTCATCTCGATGTCCTTCATCCTCCCGTCGGCTCAGTGCGACCTTAACCTGAACACGCAGACCAAGGGATGGCTCAACTCTATCATCTTCATCGGGATGATGGTGGGCGCCTATGCGTGGGGCAGCGTGGCTGACTCCCTCGGCAGGAAGAAGGTGCTCATTGTCATCTCCGTGATGAATGCCATGTGCATCGTCGCGTCGTCCTTCTGCCAGACCTACGCACTCTTCATGGTGTTTCGCTTCCTCAACGGCGCTGCGTAAGTTAATGCGTATATTCGCAAAATCACCTTTATTATTGGGTTTCCCCTCTAAGTAGTCAACAGAAAAAAAATCGCACATGCATATCATTAATCTTCAAACTCTTTAAGTAAATGTGTTAAGTGAGAGAGAGAGAGAAAAAAGCACTCCCCAAAACATTTAAAAACTATGTATTGTGTGAATCCAGTCACTTTATAGGATTAAAAACTCTGTCGGCGCTTTTGCTCTCACTCAATTACAGCGCTTTTCGCGTTTTTCCTCTCAGGCGTTTATATACACATTTCCCGACATAAAAGCAGGAATTATAATTATTACTCATCACACTCGAATCACTGGGCATTTGCCCCTTAGTTGAGACACAAAGAGAACTCCCCCTCCTTAATATGTTTTGAATGAGATGCAATTATATCAAGGAAAAAAATAGGCCGATAGAGTCTTTCGTGTGTGAATATTGAAGAAAAACATTTCATTACCACTTTATAGTAGTGATACAAAAATAAGTCTCACGTGAGAATACAATCGACATTTCAATCTTTTTCTGTTCACCAAAACTCGTAAAATCCAATAATTCATATTTAATAGAATCTGCCTTCCTTCCCAATAAAGCCATTCGCCGCCTAATTTCCTCTCGAACAAAATCCGTCTCTTTCCAGATTGGGCGGGAGTGGACCGGTCATCTGGTCCTACTTCGCCGAGTTCCAGCCAAAGTCCAAACGTGGCTCCATGCTCAGCTTCATGGCGGCCTTCTGGACGCTGGGCAACCTCTTGGTTGCCGGCATGGCGTGGCTCATCATCCCGTCATCCATTGGTCTCTACACGCCCTACTTCATCTACAACTCCTGGCGCATCTTCCTGATGGTCTGCTCGCTGCCGTCATTCCTCGTGGCCGCTCTGCTGCTGTACTTGCCCGAGAGTCCCAAGTTCCTGCTGTCGCAGGGACGCAATGAGGAGGCGCTGGCCATCTTCAGGGGCATCTTTGTGACCAACACAGGCAAATCCAAGGACTTGTACCCAGTCAAAGAGTTACTCATCGACGCCAAACTGCAGACAGAGCTGGAGAGCACATCGAAACCCATCAAGGGAAAGTATGTGACAATGCTGGCGGACATCATGGACAACAGCAAGCAGCTCTTCATGTCGCCCATCCTGAGATTCACCATTATCTCCATCACCATCAACTTCACCTTCCACATCGGCTACTACGGCCTCATGATGTGGTTCCCGGAGCTCTTCAATCGCTTCGATGAGTACGCACGCAACCATCCCGGCGAGGAGGCCTCCGTGTGTCAAGTGACCAACTATGTGGTCAGTTCTGGTTCACACTCCGACGCAGGCGTCTGCTCCGCGAAGATCCCCAGCAGTGTCTTCATGGAGTCCCTCATCACCGTGGCCTCCGCCCTGCCCGCCAACATCCTCGCAGTCATCGGCATGGACCGTCTGGGCCGCAAGTTCTTCCTCGTCTTCAGTACAGTCTCGGCTGGCCTCTGCTCAGCCGGAATGTACTTTGTCTACAACAAAACGCACAACCTCATCGTGTCAGCCGTCTTCAGTGGCGTGATCTCCTGTGGAAATGCAGCCTTGGATTGTCTCATCACTGAAGTCTTCCCCACAAATCTCAGGTAAGCCCACGTCGCCTGTCTCCGACACTCAGCCTCGCAATGCAATGAACTTTCCTCCCTCTTACAGGGCCACGGGAGTTGCCATATCCATGGTGGCCGCGCGTCTAGGCGGCATCATTGGCAATGTCGTCATAGCCACCCTACTGGACATGTACTGTCCCGCCCCCACATTCATCGTGGCCTTCCTTCTTGCCGGCGGTGGCCTCATGTGTCTCTTCTTGCCTAATACAACACGCACAGCACTTTCCTGATATCGGCTCACGCACCGCAGCGCTCAATGAAAGAATTTCCTAATCTCGAATGTAGACTAGCAAATATTCACCACTTTAGAGTATTGTGCCTAGCATAGTGTTGTAAATCAAGGTTAAGATGGGTGATAGAAAGCTCAGAAGATTCATGTGTAAAACCCTAAGACAAAGCATCCAGCTAAAGTTGAATGTCTCCGCACGCTCACACGTCTACCAATTGAGTCAGCCACTCTCTCATTATCCGGTTGATTCTCCTTTCCTATACAATGCAAAATATGTTTGCATATATAATATATTTTTGGCTGACCACATTTATTCATTTCTTGATTTGTAGGTAAATGAATTACCAAGTTGTGCCATAACTAACGTAATATAATCAGCATTATTATGCGAAGTGACCCGACTTCCCGATCCCTCAGACCACCCTCCACTCTTGTCCCCAATTTCAATCACAACAAATTCTCGTTAGCACGGTAAGGGTATACCAATTAGTAGACTAGTGTAGTTTGCAGTATTTATCGCGCACAGTTGGAAATTACACAACTTTCGAAAGATATTTTGTATTTACTTCTCCACAACCTCCCTTGTATCAATTCCAATACTGTTGTATTATATTTTAAGAGTGTAATATTCCTTCTGAATAAATAAACATGAATTTATAAATGCTTTGCCTCACATTCCTCCTTTCGCATTCTGCATTTGCCTGTATTTCACCATAAACATGGAAAACTTCTCAATATCGCATTATTATTTCCACAACATTCAATAGCATTACCATCAAGGGCGACATTACATCTTTCTCCTCCACAGGTTCAATGAAGTCTGTTGTTATGTTTTCGTCAGAATCTCAACGTCTGCCTTTAGGAATGTCATCGCTTCCACAATGACTTTTTACCATGAATTGTTTATCGGTGAAATTCGTGTTATCTGCCAGAAATGGCCTAAAATTTCACGATCACTCGAGACAGCCAACCTTTTCCGCAAAGTGTAAATTGCAAACATGTGTCCTATTGTAGTGCGATCTTCAAAGCCAAACTCCAACAATTACCTCTCACGCGCTCTCATCTGATTTACAGCGTCTTTCTGTGCGTCACGGGTTTGACTAACGCCAGTGAAAGCTTTTCGTGAGGAGTTTTCATGGATCTTCTGATGGCCAATCATTTTTTAACAATAGACTTGACAGGTATGAAAAGGACGATATAAACATCAAGTACTTCATAATTCTATTCAATGAACAATTAAATTAGGTCGCAATGCAAAAAGAAGCCATAAAAGTCTCCAACGGGATTCTCATCCATTAAGACATCTTCTAAATTAACGATTAACACAAATTACGCATTACGAATTGTTTTTGTAAGAAACAACAAGCAGATAGTCTGCAAAATCCTTGTTTATAGACAACATTAATGTTTTCTATGACGTAGATTTTGGTTTTTGCAAAGACTTCCGACTCTCATCGCCATCCAACGAAGAAAAATAAATGTTCAGGTAATTTTTATAGAAGGTGATATTATTCAGCAAAGAATAATAAATCAAGACATTCTCACTTTAGGACTTGGCATTGGGTCCCCTGCGACGGCCGAAGGATTGAACGACATTCACGAAGCGACGATTGTACTGGATCCTTCGCTTGGCACGGCCAGTCTTCTTCTTTTTCTTCTCCTGCTTATCCACCTTCGGTGTCTGTCCTTTGACCTTTCCTGCAAGACGAGACAAGCCATTAGCAAGTTCATTCCTGCACAGAATCCCAACAAGCAACACTCACCGGCACGAGCCAAAGATCCGTGCACTTTACCACCGAGAAGTGGCAAGGTCAGGTCCAGTTCACAGGATGTGAGCGAAGACACGAGAGAATCATTGGTCAGGGGAGTTCCTTCGCATGTCAAGCAGATGTCTTCGCACTCCTCACTGGACAAGATTGCCAGCTTGGCCTGCAACATATCAATAAAAATCATTGTCAGCAAGAGATAAAGTAGCAAATAAAAGAAATGTGTGATAATCCTATATTGTGAATCAGTCGCATCTAGATACACAACTCAAACATATCACAATTCTATCTGGCAGCAATATATTGGAAAGTTACTAAAACACACCCGAAGGCTACATTAGCAACTTGCTGGAATTCTGCGGAGGCTTTCCGGCAACCGAGAGAGATCAAGAGCCTCCAGTGACCTTAACCTCACAAAATGTTTCACACATTTCGCCAAATATTTACCTTCAACTCGCCAATTGTATCAGAGATCTCAACATTGAGAACATGAGTTTTCTCGCCACGAATGTAGAGCTGCATGATTAGTCTGGAAATCAAAGGAAAATGATCTGAGAAAATTGTTTGACACACGTGTATTTACGGCACACAGAAAACTCCGGAATTCCCTCAACTAATAACATTTACACAATGATTTTTAACATATATCGCAAATTCGAGTAATCCTGCTCTTGTTTCGTGTAAAAAATATCCATTTCGCTTGCAAATAATAGGGAAATTTGAGAAAAATAAGAATGTCGCACCTTGTTTCTAGACACCACACATCGAAAAAGAAAGACAATATGGCGACAATATCGAAATAGTGTTGCCGCTGCGAAAAAGGCCTATTGTGCATTTTGGCGCGTCTTTCAAAAAATTCTTTGAATGTACGAGATTTATTTCCGTCAATTTTCACTTTTCTCCGTTTTTATCAGAATCTTGCTCTCCTCCTCGTCAACACTGTCGCAATGTTTCCTCTTCTTATTGACGTCACGCCTCTCTTTCTGCTTCGCATTGAACATTTTCTCAAAATCCTTCACCTGATCACTGGAAATTGTCCACTCCATCTCAGTGTGCGGCTGCTTTGTTGGATCAGTCTCATGGGAATAATCAGGCAGTTCCTGCCCGAGCTTCTTCAATACCCGCACAAGCACATTATCCACATATGTGGATATGATTAAATCTGCTTTCTTGTCCTGCAAAATAAACGGATGTTTAAAGAGATTCCCTAGATTATGAGCATTTAAGGAATTCTCACATGTTTTGTAGGTTGGAGATTGCAAATGACGAGTTTCCCTCCGAATTTCTTGTTCTTTGTTGGCAGATTTCCACTGGGAACGATTTGAAGAGTGGTCCCGAGGCAAATGTTGAGATCCGCAAGTGAAGATTGCATGTAAGACATGTCCAGATCCTTCTCAGGAAGTCCATCCTCCCAATCCAGAACTGTGTCTATAAGGCGTCCTCCGCGACACGGTCGTGAGTTCTCGCCTCCCTTGCACATGCCTCCGGTCTCCTTCTGGCCAACCGTGGGAGCCGGAGAGTTCCTCACAAATTGCTTGTGGCACTTGTTACACTCCTCCACAAACATATTCCCGTGCAGCTCGGCCAGATACTGGCGAGGCAGTCCTGAGCGCAGGTGCAATCCGTCGATATTCTGACTCACGATGTACTGAACGTGACCCGATTCCACGAGAGCCTTCAGAGCCATGTGAGTCTTCGTGGGAATGGCTTCGTCAAAAGATACATTCATGGTGGGCTTCAGTCCCTGTCGCTCCAGCGTCCACACGCCCTGAGGACTCCGGAAGTCTGGAATGCCCGCTGCTGTGCTTATTCCCGCTCCAGTGTGCACGACGACTCTCTCCGCTGCCAGGATCATCTTGGCGAGCTCATCGCACTTCTCTTTCACCGTCACCTCATCATCGAATTTCTAAAAAAAAAGCGCGCTTAGCTAAATCTTCCTAGCCTCTTGGCATTGTTCTCACCTCAGGGACTCCCAGAACTCCCTTATTTTCGTATGGCGACAGGCCATCAGCGTAATTACACGACATTTTCCTGCAACTATAATTGTTTTGTCCTTATAATCTTATTAATAATCAAAATACAGTCTGTGTGTTACAAGTTCAGAATGCAATGTATACACTGGGATACAGAAAAAGAACGCAAAAACAGAGCCGAGCAATTGTAAACAAAAGCAAATGTGGCTATATTTTGACGTTGCCGCCATGCCGAACAGCTTTTCAGAATGTTTCATGAAATTTTGCAAACCATTACTTTTCTTTTCACACGAGAAAATAGAAATTGGCAAATTTGATCACTTATTTCCATAATTAACTTACAATTTTTATCATATTTCATAGTCAGGTGTAAAATTAACGTTAACAATCAGAATCACATTAATCTAAATGATAGGCCTTTTGAAAGTTTCACAGAATTTCGTCGAACTCAAACCGCCATTGCGCCATTTGCTTCTGGCAACACGGGCTATATGGCGAAAAATTTCCACGCTCGCGCTGGCAACTCTATAGTTTCAAAGAGGCGAGAACAAAAATGGTGGTGTTTAGTGCTTGAAGTTTTGTTCCGTGTCACTGAAATTGCACCAAAATGTGCGAACAAACCAACGCGTATGATGACGGAGACATTGTGTGGGTGAAATTGAGTAATTGCTGGTGGCCGGGAGAAGTGTGCGAAGAGGCTCGGCTGCCCGCTGACTTGGTGGACTCGCTGAAGAAAAAACCCTTTGCTGTTGTGAAGTTCTTCCAGGAAGATTCCTAGTGAGTCCTTATCCCGCTTTTCTGCGTCCCCGCACGATCATAATCACTGTTGATTTGTCTCTTCCAGCGAATACGTGAAGAACATCAACAACATCTTCAAGTACCAATGCAGCCGGAAGGGCGAGTTTGTCCGGAAAGGACTGGGTGAGGCGAACTCGCGTCGGCGAGAGTTTTATCCTGTTTGCAATCACTCACGCTTGTTTCCTTGCAGATCTGCACAAATCCAATCGCAAGTACATGGAAAAGTTTCCAGCCGATGTGACGACAGCAGAGAAATTGACAGGTGGTGACTTGGAGATCGTGAAGAAGATGCAAACTTCCCCGCAAAAGAGTTCCACGTCTGCTTGGTCGGACGTGTTCTCCGATGGAAAGGCGAAGAAGGGCAAGAAGACGCCCGTACTGAGTCCCAACATTAGAGGGCGTAAGGTCACAAAGTCCCCGAAGAAGAGCATCACTCCCGTGGCAAAGACCTTTCTGGGCAAGACGCGCGAGCATGAAGTCCGCTTCCTGGGCGCCTCCACATCGGCGACGAAGGCCAGCCCGGAAGCCAGCAGCAGCGGCCTCTACAAGTGCCACGCCTGTCCCTTCTCCTGCAACCGGATAAACGTAATTGTGCTGCACTCGAAAACGCACACCAACGAGACGGCGGTTGCACAAGCAAAGTCATCGTCCAAGCCGAAGCCCATTCCCAAAGCTCTCTCCACGCCAGAGCTCGTGTCTGACGATGAAGCTTCCAAGGGGGTCCAGAAGAAGCCAAACACGCGAACGCCGGTCGTGAAACCGCCAAAGAAGCGTGGGAAGCGCAAACTCTCTGAGACAGTTGAGGAGAGCCCCACGAAGCCGGAGCGACAGGAGACAAAGCAGGCTGAAGTGAAGCAACCAATGAAGAAGCGGAAGACAGACTTGGAGTGGAAGAATGAGTTGTTGGCTGACTGGAGCGAAGATGAGGAACCCGAGGAGTCATCAGAGAGCAACTTGTCTCAGGCAAAAGAGGTGGAGGATTCAAAAGAGGAGAAGATCGAAAATCCACCGGATGCCATTCAAGTGAACACTGTGCCAGTCGTGGAGCAGAAGAAGGAGGAAGTGAAGACGCCGATAAAGTACAGAAATATTCCCAAGAAAGACAGGAGGGACATTGTCTTGGAGAGTGGAGAATTGATGGAAGTCAACAGGCCGAGTATCTCAGTTCCTGCAATTATTCCGGATCCAGTGCCTCAGAAGCCGAAGGAGGACGTGAAGACGCCTGCTCCAGAAGTGGAGGTGGTTGCCGACACCTCAAAGAGGCGATCTTCGAGGCGAAAGGCAAAAGTGTCCATCACATCAGACGAGGAGGGAAAGCTAGCGGCGGAGAACCAAGTTGCCTCATCGAAGGAGAATGATAAAGAGCCATTAGTCAGCGATACGGAGAACAATTCGCTGCAGAGTCCGCCGAAATCAATCTCTTGTTTTGATTTTCAAGAAGAGGAGGACGATATGATCGTTGATTCGATATCCAAACATCGGCAGAAGAAGTTGAACGCTGGTGAGCTGAGCGGCAGTGGGAAAAAGACGCGAGAACCTTCGCGAGAGGTTGATGAGGCGCAAGATGAGAAGCTCAACTCAGACATCGAGAGCCTGCTGAAGGCTACTATTATTCCACAAATTCCAGACACTCCCGCGACACCGAAGACGAAGGAAGGTGGTGAGCTGTCCAGGGAGATTGCGTTGCCGCCAAAGGAGAGAGGAAAGAGGATTTTCAAGTCGAAGAATCGGAGCAAGTCCAATTCTCTGGAAGTGGAGGAAGAGAAGAGGTCTTCTACGGATGAAAGGCAGGTGAAAGGTGGAGTGTCGCCGACAAAAGAGCCCACGGAGTCTGATCTGCAAATTGCCCAGACGCTGATCAATTTACCAGATCACACGCCGCCACTTAATCCGCAGAATGACACTGTTGATGGTGGGAATTCAAGGAAGAAAGATTTTGTCTTCAGTGACTGCAAGGAGACGAATGCAGCGGAAGTTCTCATGAATTTGGGTAATTTCACGGAGACTCGCTCGAAAGATAAGCAAAAGTCGCAGGATGAGGAGAAATTGTCGACGTCCAAGAATGCCAATCAATTCACTGCACAAACAATTGGTGGGAAGAAGATAAAGCTCCCAGACAATATAACGGTGACCAAAGTGGTGAAGCCTTCGCAATCCTCTCCGAATCACACAAAGAACCTGATTGAGTATGAAACACTGCCGACAACTGAGGACAAGTCGAGTGAGTTGAAGTTGAAGTTGAAGAAAGTAATACCGAAGAAACGCAAGCCAAATATCGATGGGACGGAGGAGATAATCGTGGAGAGGGTTCAGGTGAAGGAGCCCAAAGTAGTCACGGTAAGAGATATGAATTGAAAATCTTGATTTTCTAGTAATTCTTGTGTTTACACCTTTAGGTGCCTCTTCCGCCAACGTCTCCAAAGAAGATCATCAAGATAAAGTCACAGATGAAGTCTCCGGCCACTGAACTCGAGAGCAATGTTTTTGATATTTCAAATATGCCAATTGTCCTCACGGATGAGCCTCTGCCCGCGGAGGGAATCGAGAGTTACTCCATCATCATGGCAGAGTCAAAAGCGTCGAAAAGCACATCGGCGACCAGCAATGGGCGCGAACAGATCAAAATTCACTCGAAGATGCCGAAGACGGAGGAGATTGTCATCGGCAAACCGACAATTGTGAAGAGAGTGAAGCTCCTGGGCAGTCAGAAGGAACGAGGCAGCAGTCCTGAGTCCGGCAATCAGGCCCTGCAGAAGCTCACCACAGAGCGAAGACTGGTGAAATTGCCACCGAAGAAGGTGAAGGACTCTGGCTTGGATGGCATCACGGCGGAGGCAAAATTGTCGCCCACGAGCATTAGTGCAGGCAATTCGGTAGTGCTGAATGTGGGTCAGAACAAAGTGTCAGGACAACCGCTGTCGCCCACAAAGATTTTCTACCCTCGCGACAATCGCAGCACACTCGTGTCCTCGCCATCGGACATCAGCACCTCAATTGTAATATCAAAATCTCAGGTGATTCAAGCCAAGTCAGGCGGTCAGATAGTCATTACCAGCAAGGGCAAGGTGATTACGAAGCAGAGTGATCTCATCACCACGAGCACTTCGCTGTCGGGAGCGACGGAGGTGTCGTCCTCCAAGGCGAATGAGGGCGCCAAGGTGGCGACAGCGAGTGTTCCGAAGTTGGCGATAAAGTCGCCTGCGAAAATTCACGTTCAATCCCAACAAATACTCTACAGACCACCGAAGGATGTGGACAAGGCCATAGCGCAGACGGTGTACATTCAGCAGCCGGGCGAGGTGCCGGTGGAGTCGAGTAAGGGGGTGGAATCTCAGAAGAAGGTCCTGAGGCGAATCAAGAGGCCCAGGCGACTGGAGATACTTGACAGCGCCAGTCATTCGAGTACAAATACTCAAAAGTCACCACAGCAGACGATTGTGATGCATGAAGTGCCACCCTTGGCACCCATCAGCAGTGAGTCACTGGCCAGCAACTGCGTGAAGAAGATTGTGTCGACGACGACGGCGAAAGAGGATGGAGAATCTGAAATGCGACTGAAGAGCAGCACTCCTGGATCGTCTGTTAAAACTGCCAATCAAACGGTATATTTCGTTTTATTTCCTGCCAAAAGTGATTGTCTATTATTCAATGACATATTTTTCCTCATTATAGGAGAAGATCATTCTTGAGGGAACGAGTGTGAAGAAGGGAACAGCCAGTCCGGAGGGGACGCGAAATGTGTCAGCCAAGGGCAAGTCCGAGACTGTGACCTTAAGCGACAGTTCCAGCACTGCTAATGCCGAGAGCGCATCGAATATTCAGGACAGTCAGCTCCTGGCGATTCCTGGGGAGTCATTTGGAGGGCCCGCCAATTCCTTCTTCCTTTGCACACTAGACAATGGCACATTCACGCCGATCGACAATCAACCGCTCTACCTGGACGCGTCCAATCAGCTTGTTCCACAGCCACCGGAAACTGCCGCGACGTCTGGCGAGAGCGATGCCGAGCAGCAGGGACACGATGCCATAATTGAGATGCCGGAGAGTGAGCAAGTGGTTGTGGAGGGAGATCAAGTGGCAGCCGATGGTGATGCCAAATATGTGCTGAACACGGGAAGTGGCCAGCAAATCCTCTTGGATCAGCAGAGCTTGTTGGCTATCGCGGCGGGAGATGTGCCTCGCCTGGTGACGCCGGAGGGTCAGGAGTTGATCCTTCAGGGGTCAACGCAGGACATTTTGTCGTCAATCACGCTCAATCAGACAGAATTGGGGATTTTGACTGATGGCCAGCAGATAATTGTGCCGGAAGCCATGGCCAATTCGCCGAATCAGGACATCCTAGCAGCTGCCTTGGCGGGAACGGAGGTGTTCCCGCAGGACAACCTGATTGCCGAGGTGCCACAAATTCCAGCGGCTAATCCCGTGAGTAGTGAAAGCCAAGGATCCTAGTGGAATGTACATTTTAATGCTGTGATTTCTTTGCATTTTAGGCTCAAGTGTCGGAGACAAATGCAGTTTTGACTCAACCGCCGATCATGTCGACACTGGAAGTGCCCACAAAGACGGAGAATATAGCGCCCAATGTGGCTCTGGACGCTGGATTTCCGGCACAAAATCTGGACGACAGTCTGGCGGTGATTGGAGTGACTGGACACCAGACGAATGTGCCCACTTCACTGGAGTTGCCCATCACAGTGACGAATCCCGCGATTGCACCCAAAACAACGACTTCATCCATTGGTCTGACCTCGATCTACCTCCCTCCTGTGTCAAACTCTGCATCACAAATATCGCCGTCGATCCCGATCGTGGAGGAGATCTTCTCAGGTACGAGTAATGTGCTGGAATTGTACTCGACAGCCGATGATGAGGCAGTTCCGGCAAAGAGTGAGATGGCAGCCGAAGTGGAAGTGGAGACAGCGGAGAAGGACGCTTTGGATGACATAATAGAGGAGACAACGGTGGGGAGTGAGAATGCTGGTGAAGTAGATTCCATCAATGGCAACGACATTGTGCCCGTGACGCCTGAATCCATCACAAATCATGACACAAACACGCCAGAAATGCACTTCAACGATGAGGATGGGAACAGCTCACATTCGAGCGAAATTCCCATCCAACCGGATCTGATTCTGCGTCCGGAGGACTTCACGCCATCACAGGAGGATGCGAGTGAGACTGCGGTGGATAGCAATGCCTCCGGTAGCGACGTGCCGAATCTCACTGAGAATCTGACGGCAAACACTGCGACAGATGAGGAGCCCGTGAGTGAAAGTGCAGCTCTGGAGGAGAGTGCGAGTGCGGATGCGAGCTAATGGAAATGCCTCTCGAGTTAGTGCAAAAACACTGTGCAAATATGTGTAAGTCGGACAATTTCATTTCATTCACTTTTCACAGGATTAGGAGTAAGTATTTTGAGAAGTATGTTGGCGGGAAATGTAGTGCCCAAAGGGCAGATCGTTTCTTCCCATTTAGATTTTTGTTGATGAAGTATATATAGGATTTAATGATAAAGAAGAACACAAAAGGTGAATTAAGTAGATGTATCATCAGCTCTACAATATAGCTATACATATGTAAGATGTATGCTGGATTAAAAATGTAAAGAAATATTAATTGAACGAAGAAAATGTACCCTTGTGCAAAAATGCATTAACTAACAATGGAGGTTTTTTTTTTTAATTTATATGAAGGTGAAATGCATGTTAGCAAGTTTAGTATCTCTGTTTATCCGTTCAATTGTAATTTATTTCCTAAGGTTGAAAAAGATTTTGAGGGAGAAAATTAGATTTCTATTGAGTCCTACATTCATTATAATGTAGTGGGAGGAGTGGAAGTTATTTCTGTTGGAGAAACAAAAAAAAAAGATACATTATATTAAAATACCCTATGATTAACCAATTGAAATATCTCCAAAAGATAGTAAATATATGATATAGTAGTTTTATGTAACAGTCTATTTTGGTTATAAAGAATATGCATAAAATTATCCAGAATACAAGGATTATAACCATTTATAATAAAATAAACTTTAAATAAGGAACACGTGTGTGAATTCGCCTCAATACACATTTATTGTGTCAAGTTTCTTCGCACTCTCTGACTGCTTAAGATCGTCTTTGTACATTTTCCTGCTTCTGGTTGTGTGAGAAGCATTGGATATCAGCAAATCCGTGCATCCCTGCACTTGGAGACACGCATACGTGATATTCTCCTCTTGTTTGAGCTTCCTGGCCAGCTGTCTGAACAGATCCAGAACAGTCTTTGAGAATGTGGGCATGGAATCTTCGTAGACATCCAACAGAATATTCACAGCGTCGATTAACACTCGCGTGAAGCGGTAATCATTGATGTGGTGATTCAGGAAGCGAAGAAGCTGGGCGAGAGACTTGTGAGAGCGCCCAGAGAAGGCTCTGGCCAGACCCTTGCGACGGATGAGCTCCTGGATTAGTGCTACAGTCACATGGGGGTTTTTCTTCACGAAGTACGCATTGAGTGTGTAATCCAAAGCCTTGGAGTACTCATAGACTCGAAGATGCTTGTCCACTTGTGCCATACTCGGCTTTTTCTGCTCAGGAACCACTTCGTCAACGTGATCCAATCGTCCTTTTCGCACTCCACGATCGGTAGCATCAAGCTCTTGGTCCTTATCTGCTTTCTCACTCTCCATTCGTCGAATGGACACAAGACCATCCACCATGCCAGCCACGAGTGTCTCATCATCGGCTGATATTCCCATGCTGAGCACGCTGTTTGGGTAGTTGATGTTGTACACGAACTCGTAATTGGACACATCGTAGATTTTTATGTTGTGATCGAGGCTTCCGGATAGCAGGCGACGACCGTTGTTGGCCAATTTCAGGCAAGTCACTGTCTTGTGGTGCTGAGCAATGCGTGCCAAGAGTTTTCCACCAGCCATCGCGTCCCAGACTTTGATATCCGTTCCTCCGGCGGTAACAAAGACGCCGCCACTGGGCAGATAAATCACGGACTCCACGGGACTCTCGTGATTGACCTCCAAAACCTGATTGTTGGCCGTTCTCGTGTCGTACATTCTGACCATGTGATCGTATCCGCCTGATATCAGCAAATGTGGCGACACAGGACTCGTACATCCCGCTCTCACGTAGTCTGTGTGTCCTGAGAACTCGTTCACCACCTTCTCAGTGGACAAATCCCACACCTTCACCGTCTTATCGTCGGAAAAGCTGCTTATGTGGAGGGAATCTTGCACAAACGCAGCCCGATGAACAGCTCCTTTGTGTCCCTTGAACAGCCTCAAGATATTCTTGCTGGACACATCGAAGAGCTTCACTAGACCCTCTTCATCTCCCGCCACGAGCAACTTCCCATCATTCCGAAATGTTCCGCCGTACGCACTTTCCTGGAAGCGCGATAGATTCTTCACCACCAGCTTCGTGATGGGGTTGTAAATCTGCACTCGCACCGAGCACGTCACGGCAAAATAGTAGGGCTCCACTGGACTGAAGTCGATGTAGTCTATCGTGCCGAACTCCTTCACCAACACTGGAACCTGAAAACAAGACGTGCATTTGAGGTTCCACTCTCGCCTCACTCTTCAGACTGCACATGGACACTTACTCCAAGTCTCCTCCAGTAGATGTGATCAGGCGTGATCTTGGCATCTCTGCTAGCCGTGTAGTGACGCGAATTTAGGTGCTTAAATTGGGACATTGCGGAAAATAATACGGATGAACCACGCGACTCCCAAAACAAAACAAAACACGTGCGAGTGACAGCGCCACCCGAGAAAATGTACTAGATTTAGTACAACACACGTCGAAAAGCGCACATTTCTTAGTATGTAAACAATAACAATGGATGCAGAAGAGAAACGCGAAAAGTTCTTCGATAAAGCGAGAAATGTGTGTCTTTCCGTGAGTGACGGATTCAAGCATGATCTCCAGGCGTGCGTGAACTTCTTCAATAGTGAGTGTAATGTTGATTTGGAGGACTTCAAGAAGTTTCCCTGGATCTCGACATATCCAACTGTCCAGTTCCTGGCAACCGGCATAGACACCACAAGTCAGGAGGATACAGCTTTGAAATTGATCAAGGCGAAGGACGAATACAACAACAAGGGATTGCAGATTAGGAGGCAGTACACAATAGCTCAGAGTATGAGTGGAAATTTATAGGGAATTTGCCATGACAGGGAATTTACTTTTTACTGTTTCACAGAACGTCGGGAGATTCGGAAGTTGGAGAAGAGAAGAGTGTATAGCAAGAGTGTCATTCAAATGGCCAATCATCTGGACAATGACCCAGACAAGTTCTTCTCCGGTGAATACGACTGGTACTTCACGGGAGGCACGCTCGATGTTCTTCAGCATGAACTTTACGGAGCAGTGGCTTTCTGGGCTTGTGGCTCCGCACTTAACGATCTAAGTACATTTTAAAGCCTCACATATTGCAAGATTACTAAAATTGAGATGCTCTCACAGGAATTGTTCAACTGGGCTCAGATGAGAAGCGGAAAGAGATCATGGATCAAACACTGACTCTTCCTAATCCAGGCACGATATATCAAATTTCTGGATTCGCAATGGGTGAGGAAATTGGTTTAGTAATTCGTCAAAAGAATACCGTGACTATTCTCCAGTCTGAGAATTCGATCTTCAGTCTGACGAAGTGTAAAACGATTGAATCATTGCTACCATTTGTCTCGGTGTTCTTTGACAAGGAAGAAGTCGATTTTGTGTACACGATGGATGTTGAATTCTTCCTGAAGAAGTGGGATATTCGAGATGATCCCGTTGAATGTAGCGCCAAAAATCTCGCGCAGGTCAACAAATTCAGGAAGGGTGACGCAAAGAAGGCTTCTAACTGGGCCACAATACAAGACTTGAGTGCTAAGCACTTTATCTACGCCGATCAGCAGCAGTTGAAGATAAGGATAATCGATAAGGTGCAATTCAGCACAATTCAATCAGTTCGTTTAGACGATTTGGTATCCAATTGCTCAGAAATCTGCGCTGTGGCCGTCAGCAAATTCCCGAACTTGATTTATGTGGCCACAACTCATGATTGCTTTGCCTTGGATGTGAGCAAAAGTCCTTCACAGCCTTGCTTCCAGCTGAGGTGGACTCATCATCTGACCAGCCATCCAATAGTCATGAAAACCTGCCTCGTGGAAAATAACACTGAGCTGATTTTGTTGTCCAGTTTAGTCTTTGGCGACTTGAGGATTCTCTGCAATGAACGAGAAGTCTGCTCGGCAGATGAGAATGAAACCAAAATGCTTTTCCAATACAAATCTTATCATCTTCCTTACAAAATGCAGAGCATGTCGCAATTGTACGAAATCGCGCGCCTAAAAGGTAAATGCCTCAATCCCAAGATTCCCACGCTCAAGAGGATAAGTTTCTCGACATGTGGCGTGGCATTTGTCTCGGACTCCAGCGAAAGAATTAAGATTCTGACGGCCAACAGTGTAGGAGATATTTTTACACAAAATCTGACGACAAAGCTGATGAAAACCAATGATGATCTTAATGACTGCATTGAGGCCATGGAGATTCTAGAGAAGAATCTCTCAGTTGAGCGGAGACTTACTAGTTTTAAGATCACGGGAAGAGATGACCTGAAGCCCCTAAAGAGGGTTTTCCGCGGTCGCCGATTTAATCAGAGGAAGGATGCAGATGAGCTACGCAGTTCAAAAAGACGTCTGAAATGGAAGCGACGAATTGTGGAACTGAGGAAATGCACAGATGTATTGGCACAGGATTTGCTTGCAATTTGGGAGTTTTCTGACGAAGAACTTGAAGAGAGCATCATCACTGATCCTACAGAACCTCATCTCATGTCCGCGAAGGATAAAGTGGCAAAGTGGCTGAATTCCATCGAGCAGGACGTTCTTCCGGACACATTATCCTTCCCTCATGAGGGTGATTTAGCAACGCCTAAGCAAACATTGGGTGAAGCAGGAGAAGACCGCGCGCCTGTCCAGAAAACCCCCTTGAGGAAAGCAAAGAGGAAATCGCATGTGGGTGGCTTCTAGAAGAAAACGAGGAGGAAAATAAAAATGTGGGAGATTTAAAGGTCGTTTTCTCATTTACCGTGGGGCGGCGCAAGATGTGTCGACGAGTTTTTGACGGTCGACTTCGTGTGGGTATTTGACAGCCGAACGGCGGCCCGAGCACAGACTTCGGCTGTTTTTGTATGGAGGAGCAGCCATCTTTGGACTTCAGCTCAGAGAAGTGAAAAGTTGTCTATGAGAAATTCTTTTTCCCTGGCCACAGGAGCCCCGAGAGAGTGCTGTAAATAGTGAATTATTGTGTTGAAAGAAGTTTTGTGTGTGATCATAGTGTTAGAGTGCATAAATGAGCGGGGTTTAGTGAGTGTGGGCGTATGAAAAGTTGGAAAATTTTTCATAGCAGATTGTGACTGGCAAGAGTGCACAATGGCGTGCTTAAATACATTGAAGTTGGAGATAAAGACATTAGAGCAAACATTCACCAAGGCCCATGAACGATTCCAAATCCTCAATGCAAGTGTTGATGAACTAACGTGCAGATTTATCGGGAAGAATGGCAAGCGTTACGACATCCATGCCAATATTACAGTGAGTCTCTCTTTTTTCCACCATCCAGTCTGTATCTCTTCGTACCTTTTTCTCGCCCCAGTAATCTCCGCACTTGTCTACACACGTTGAAATTGCGGTGTGTTGTGTGGCGGAGTGTGGGGTCCCCGAAAAAATGCACCCGTGGTCACTGAGGTGGCCATGTTTTTATTTTCTGCATACACATCTCATTATTCAGTTCACCTGCACACACGACTCACTTTGCCTGCGCGCCTCGACCTCCGCGGGTTGACGGCTTTGCCAAAAAGCTGCACCACGGCCGCGGAGTCGGTCTGGGTCGCGAGAGTGGCTGCGGTGCGTGGACAGGGCCTCCTTGGGAGCGCATTGTCTCCTTTCGCACCCGAGAGCTTTCCGCCGAGATGTGTGTGCACGCACAACAAAGCCCGTCTAGAGTCAGGGAGTGTGATAAAAACTATTTGTGTGCCTGCCTTCTCTCTTTCTCTCTCTGTCGCCCTCTTGCGCTCACCATGTCGTCCTGCCACTCTGGCCAAGTATATCAGTCTCTTGCCTCCCGTGCTACATTCATTATGTTTATTGTATGGCACAAAAGCACGAGTGTGTGGAGAAGACGACAAATTGGAACAGAACACCCCAGATAACACGGCAGAGAAATCACGAAGAGGCGAAGAGTGAACTTGAGCTGGACTCGATTGCCTAAAAACAGTCCCAGCGAGGCAAGGAGAGTGTGTGTGGCGAAATGGCACTTTCCTTTGTCCATGCACACACTTTCTTGCATCGCCAAGAATCATGTCTTCTTCTCATCGTCGCACGCCCGCGTGGCCCAGCAATAGCGCAAAATTATTGCTCAAGGTTGAAGAAATAAATAAAAAGGAGGAGAAACTCGAAAACAAGAAAGAGTGGTCTGTAGAATTGTGAAGAATATTGTGAAATTCAATACATACTCTACAAAAAACCGAAAGAAAATCCACAAATGTCAGCATGAGAAAGAGAGAGAGACAGGGGATTACGTCGTGGAAAGGAAATTGCAATTAAATAGTGTAGTTGCGGATAAATTCTACTTTACTCTCGTGGCCAAGTAATTATTTGTTTTTTTCTTCTTTTCAAAATAATTGGTTTGCCCCATTGTCTGAAGGCGCCGCGTAGAAATTTTTTTTTCTGAATAATTAGTGCTAAACTGTTGGTTTAGTGATGTTTGTATGAAGCTCTGTGATTAGGAAAGCGATTGAAGTAGAAATAATGTATTGAGAGAGGTTCAAGATGAATCACACGATTGGATTGACACACGAGGGGTATTTATTAGCGAACCTTGATAGACATCCCCTTTTGCCACTTGGCATCTTTGAGAGATACTAGACATTGAGCAATCTTGGTTGATTGCAATTGTAATACAAAGTGCTGCTCTGGAATCTGCTACGCAACGCAATTCACAGTGTGAATTGCAAATGTTTATAGAAATGCGAAAAAGAATTCTTGAGAATGATAAATTTGTATTTTTTATGAGTTCTCTTTTGGCAATTGAAACATTTTCACACTAACTTGTGCTTAATGACATTTTTCAGTAAGCAAAGAGCCAAAAAGGCAATCACAAATTAAACAAAGTGTTTACAGTTTAGACTGCAGCAAGTTTGAATTGTTATTTAATCAGCTTTATCAACCCTTTGCAATGGGTTGAGTATCTTGGCATTGGCTTAAAACTATAAGTAATTGATATTACCTTTCTAAATTGGCTAGACACATTAATTGTATGACTGTTGGAAAATTCTGTGAATTGACCTCCCTTGGCCAACTACCCTAGAGTTCCACACGAGTGAATTCAACCTTCAGTACATCAGAAGCGTCTGAAGAATCACTCTACCAAATTACTGTCGTTAGATCTTCAAGGATTTGAAGATCTTTTCTGTTTGACAGATTCTCGTTTAAGGCCGATGAATTTAGTATGATTTTATTCATTCATTTTCATTGCTTTGATTCTTTTTAGTGCATATTTGTGTTCTCTAAATCAATCCAAATACACAAATAGCAAATATAACACACAACTAAATAGTAAATGTATAAACGTTGTGCCTTATATGTATATGTATACACCTAATGTAATGTTACTTTTTTGAACAATGAGATAATTACGTTTCATACACATGGTGAAATGAAAATATACTTCACACAGTGGTCACGAAGTTGAGAACTGAGCCCTACCATTTCCATGCGACACAATATTTACTGAATACCCTTATTTGTGACATTGGCCACATCACAAACCGTTACAGATATTTAGCAATAATTTGAAGATCCATTGATTTGACCCCAGACCAGTTTCGGGTAGAATAAATAAAGATACGTTGTATGAAGTTTACAAGAAGTAATGGCTGATTATGTGTTCTCCCTCTCTCCCTCTCTCTCTCTCGCAGGAGACCTACCCTTCAACGCCGCCAGTTTGGTTTGCCGAAAGTGAGGAGACCAGCGTGACAAATGCTGTTCAAATACTTAGCAATACACACGGAAGGGATAATCATGTCATTAATCAGGTGAGGTGTTTTTATCCCTGTGTCGGCGAGATATTGTGCGCCTGGGCGTTGTTTGCTAACGGAATTTCCCTTGGTCGCGAGAACAGGTGGGAATCCTGATCAGGGAATTGTGCCGACTTCACAACTGCCCCTTACCGCCAGACTTGGATAACTTGGCGTTGCCACTTCATCATCCAGATCCTCCCGCCGCAGTTCACTCACAAGCTCAGCCCATCGACGATAATGAGTCAGATGGTGATGATTTGGATGATGTTGTGGGTGAGAGTGATCAAGAGAGCGAAGCTGAGGAGGATTTGCCTTTAGAGATGGATGATGGAAGAAGTACAAATAAAGTAAGTGTGCTTCTATTATCTCTTTGTCAATGTTTTTTTTCTCTGTTCTGTACCCTTATTAAATGTGATTTTTCATCTTTTTTTACACCACGTGCGTTCGCATTCATTGTGCCCGAAGGACGAGATGGAGGTGGAGCATTTAGCAACATTAGAAAGACTGCGACAAAGTCAACGACAAGATTATCTGAAGGTACTACAGAAAGAAAAAATATTGGCAGACATTGTACCATCTCATAGTCTGAAGGGCGGGAGGGTGGTTGGGGCGAGAGAAGTTTTGGGGGTATTGTTTCTTCTAAAATTGACAGAAGAAGGGGTGGAGGAGAAAGGTCACGATTGTGTGGCGAAATGTCATGTGTGCAATGTTTGAGACTGTGTGATTTATTGTGATTTTTTTCTCTTTCTTCCTTGCACTTAAAATCTCAAAGCAGGGCTCAGTATCTGGATCTGTCCAAGCCACCGACCGCTTAATGAAGGAGCTGCGTGACATTTATCGCTCAGATTCGTTCAAAAACAACATGTATTCTATAGAGCTCGTCAATGACTCGATATACGAGTGGAATATACGGCTGATGTCTGTTGATCCAGATAGTCCACTGCACAACGATCTCGTCATGCTCAAAGAGAAGGAGGGCAAAGATAGCATATTGCTGAATATAATGTTCAAGGAGACGTATCCATTTGAGCCGCCATTTGTACGTGTTGTGCATCCCATTATTTCGGGTATGTGTCTCCTTCAGTTGATGAGGGTAATGCTAAATTGAAAGTTCCACGATAGTTGTGTGTTTTGAAGTATTATTACATTAATTGCATGATTTTGTGAACTTTGCCGAAAGCCCATCAAACATTTGATGTCGGCACACACGCTATTCCTTTATAAATCTCTCAATGCATTTATTGAACAGGAGGATATGTCCTTGTTGGTGGAGCAATTTGCATGGAATTGCTAACGAAGCAGGGATGGAGCTCGGCGTACACAGTTGAGGCCGTAATCATGCAAATTGCAGCGACACTAGTCAAGGGAAAGGCTCGAATTCAGTTTGGACCAACGAAGGTTTGTGTTACTTCTCCCCATTATTATATTTTTTTTTGTCGTCTTGCGGAGAAGATGAGCTTAAAATATCCCTTGTCTTGTTGCAGGTTTTGTCGCAGAGCCAGTATAGCTTAGCACGTGCCCAACAGAGTTTCAAGTCACTTGTACAAATTCATGAGAAGAACGGTAAGACGCGCATTTAATGAAAGTGTAGTAAAGTTGGCGCAATTGATCACATGATTTGGCGCTGATGATTATGTATTTATTCAGATGGCTCAAAGGTGTGGAATGGTTCTTCTAATGTAATATTTTTGTCAATTTTTATGTCGCCAGGATGGTTCACACCGCCAAAAGAGGACGGCTAAAGCACGGGCACGTGGTGTATTTTGATGTTGTGTCAGTTGAAGCGAGAGAAATTCTTGGAAATGTCGACAGACGTATATGAGGGAAAACACAATTTAAAGAACAGAGGGAGCGAGAGAGAGAAATTCAGAGCATTAGGAGGCGAAAATTTGTTTAAATTAAAATTTATACTTGTGTAATTAACTGCAGAATACTTCAATTTACAATGAGAAGTTTCTTTTTTCAATGAACCTATGTAAAGACGTTATCTCAATCCTTTGTCTTTAGATGTATCTTAGTTATGATTTTTTCCAGACGAATAAGAATACAAGAAGAAAATGTAAATGTAAAAAAATAAATTTAGATGCGAAATATTCCTTTTGAATGATTAAACGCAAGAAGATGATACAGAAAAAAGTGAAGAATTTTCTTTGATCACAACACTTACAACTGCATACCATTAGAGAATATCTGGAGTTTTCGATTAAGATGACGTATAATTGATAATGATTTATCTACTTGCTATATCTATTATATCTTCTGAGAAAAAAGAAATATAGAGTAATAGGTATGTAATTCATTATATATTTATTATCTTGATTGACATTGTCACATAAACTGCTGTGAAGAAGTGTATGAAGTTATAGTAATTGCAGTAATGTAATAGTGAAGAAGTGTGGAGAAGTTTTTCAGTTGTCAGATGGATAAAAAAGGAACATAATTTTGAAATGTGAAAAATTAGTTCTATAGAAGGAAATTTCAAAGTTTGCTTTCTTTTTTACGTAAATAAAAAAGATGAAAAGTAACTAATGATAAATAGAGGAAATATATATTTTTGTGAAAAATTGAAGTAAATGGAAAAGATTGATTAGATCGTTTTATTATTTTCCATGTGAAAGAGAAATCTGTTATTTTTCCTACTTTGAAATTCTTTTCGACTTATTTCAATTTGAGAAGAATCACAATAAATGAAATTATGTTAATAACAAGTTTATTTCGCGACAACATTGAATTTTCACGAACTCTCTTTGCAATTACTGACATTTTGGCCATTTTTAGTCACTGAAAAGATCTGAATAATAGTATTTTATCTTGTATTTTTATTTCAAAATTTTCCAATGATCTTCGAACCCATCGCATTTCACAAAAGACTTTGTGTTTAATGGGATTTTTCCGGTTTATCCCAATGCAGAGGCGTCTGTGTCCAACTATGGAAAGTTGTAAGTATTTAATTGAATGGAGCTCATTGAATTTCATGATCAATTGAGATTTTGGTCAGAACTGAATGACATTTGGTAGGTTTTAAATACTGGATAACGTTTAAATGGCGCCTTTTTTGTTTATCACAATGTTGAGAACACCAACAGATGGAGCTTCGAATGTGAAAATTTTCTCAATTCAAAATAGAAAAACAATTGCACTTTTCCCCAATTATTAGCTAATTGCGGACCAAAGACAAACAAATAGACGCTGAGGAAGACACAGAGACTGAGCACACATGAATTGCAGTTGGAAATTCATGGGAAGACGTCTCCACTCAATCCCCATTAGTTATTGCATCATCCAAGTAAAGTTCCATGCATACTGTGCCACAGCATGATTCAGTACTATACCAACAGCGCACACAGAAGTATCCAAGTCTTTCGCTCTTTCGCTTTGCAAAGTGATTTTACCCGGGATTTGAGTAAAACAATCACGTGTCGATTGTAAATCAGGATTAACTGCAATTGAGTTATAAATCTAAAATATTTGGAATGGAAAAGCTTGTGACATATCCGACCTACCCTTTAGAACCGTCTTCAGAGGAAGCATCTGAGCTCCAGTGATTTTTATCACTTTTCGTTGTACAAGTAATTAGTGTGATTATATAATAACAAAGAGGCCAACTTTGAACTCCCAGTGAAAGAAACATTGTGATTTGAAGGCAAATCGAGACAGTAAAACTTTCAAAAGAACTTCCAGAAGTGTTTTTGAGAAGACTTTTTCAAAGTAAATTCCACCCAAGAAATTTACTTGATAGATTCTTTAACACTTTTCCGAGAAGAAAGTGTAATATGTTTGTCGTGAGTGTCGTGAATTCTAATAGTGGTGTTGCATTGAAAAGCTCCAATAGAAAAGTCCTGCTGAAAAACCATCATTTGCATCATCTAAAAAAGAAGCAAATGTTTATTGATAACTTTGTCGGCGGCAAAAATCAATTTATGTTTAACAATATCCAGACGATCCAGACGAACATTATTTGTGGCTCTATTTGTACGAAAAACACGAAAATGATGACCAACAAAATGATGTAAGTAGGCAATTTTGCAGTCACAAAAACTGGGCAATTTTGGGCGCTACACGCAGTCTCTTGTGATGTTGGAAGTGAAACGCGAAATCCATCAAGTTCACCGTTCAATTCCCAACTCGTCCGTCTCACTGCCAAGAGGAGCACTATTGTAGTGAATGTGGAGGGGATGAAATTGGAATTGTTTTGCAAAATATGGGTCAATGACCGTGAGTTTCTCCTTTAGAGAGCTTTCAAGGCCTTTAAATTCTAAATAGCTTGAGCACTCCGCGGAGTCTATTGGCCATGCAGTTTTTCGCAGTGTAGGCAATTTTCCAAATGCGTAAATAGCAAAACCTCCTCTCCGGATAGCAACTCATCCCATAGCCAAAAGCACTGGCAATTTTATTATTTTTTCCATTCTTATCTCACGACAATGGATACATGTTGATAAGAAATTAATCATAGAAAATTATCAAGAGCATTTCCCACTCGAATTCCCCTTCCCACCCCCTGATTCATTTCATCGACTCTCCGTGAAAGTCGGTAATTCCCCTGAACTTCGCTGCGTCCTCATTGGCCGAAAGTGATGTCATCGCCGTGGAACTCGCGTAGAGATTGGCTGGCGGACGCAACAGTGTGCGTAGGTCGATGAAATTCAACCAGTCACGAGATCTGAGCTTCACAGAGGAGAATTCATTTCGGCAGAAAGTTCGAGTGCTGAAGACGTGAGCTTTTCCTTACGCGATACATAAGGCTATCAAAGCAGTGAATTTCGTGGCAACTGTGAAAAATTAGTATCAATCTCTTGTAAAAGAGTACATTTGAGTGCATTTGGGAGGGTTTCGTGTGAAATTTACACCGGAAAAACCGGTGAAAAAGCAAAGTTTCTTTGTGTGAGGCAAGAGAGGTGGCCAATTCTTGGTTTTTCGTCGCAGAGGAGGAGTGAATTTTCAAGAAAAGGCGTTTTCCAGGCAAAAAACGCTTTGAGTAAGTTTAAAATGATACCCTTAACTTGGTAGAATTCGCTAAAACGGGGCAAAATTGGGCTTGTTGGAGAGGTATTTCACTTCCAATTTCACAACAGTATGGCGGCCGTAGTGACGTCACGTGAAGTCGCGTGAAGAGTGCGGCTGGTACGTTGCTAGCTCACTCTCCGGCCGATGGAACGATAAAGAGGGAGAGAAATGGGGACATAATGATACAGCGAAAATGAACATTTCCAAGAAATCCACCGTCTGTATTTCTATACAAGATACTATATGTTGTGTTTCTCTTTTATCTCACTCTTGCAGGTTGAGAGGAATCCGCTCTCGGCTCACTTGTTGGCGTTGTCGCTAAAGGCTTTAAGATTTCATTAGAACTTAACCGCGGATTAATTGTAAGTGACCAGCCGAATGGACCGCCAGGTGGACATCATGGATCTAATGTCCCTTTTTTGCAGTCCCGTTTAAGATGTCTTCCGTACAGAACGGAACAAGCAGTGGCCCATCATGGCGAGAACTCATTATCCTCGGAAACATTGAAGCTCTTCATACCGAGCAACAGTATCCGCAATACGACAACGGCTATCCACCACCAGCATTGCAACGCACAGATCCAGCACAGGGACATATTTTTGCCACTGGGGAACGTCGCTCAAGTGAATCTCGTGGTAACACCAGACGAGCTCGCTGCAATAAGTCCTTGGGATCTGATAGTCCCGAAGCGCGAATTGAGGAATTGTATTCGAGAGGAGGATCTGCAGACGCGTGGGAGTACACAGGCGATAGGATTGTCCAGAGTGGCGACGGATATGGTCATCAGTTCCGCCGCCAGACCCGCGCACCCAACATTCAGCGTTTTGAATCTGGGCAATATAGGTGAAGTGCTGAACACACCGATTGCAGGTGAGCCCTTTTTGTTCTCCAGCAATAATAGTTGGTTATCAGGGTCGTTAGGCATCAATTTGGCAACCTTATTATGGTTATTAGAACATATTTCCATTTCCACGCCAGGCCGACATTAATCATTTTTATAGTCTAGTATCGATATTGCGCTGTAGCGCCGATTACGCGTGAAAACCTCGAAAATCTATAGATAACATTCCATAAAAAGGCGATTTGCAGCTGTCCCAAACATAACACGGGTTTTACAGTGAAAAAGAAAACACATCCAGCACTCCATGCAAAGCAATGCTGACATGTCGCAACATGTTAGCGCCTGAGAAATAGCGCGGCAGATGAAGAAGAGAGACGGAAGAACGGCGACGTCACATGCGTGTAGAGTGGGAGAATGCTCTTCAGCTGACCGGGATCGCTACATTCGCGCGCTCGCACCGTTCTTCGCGCACCGGCTGCGGACTGTGTTGAGGAAGAGCATGAATGAGTCATGAATTGGACATGTCGAATCGTGTTCTGGAGGCTGCAGTGGTGTGTGTATGGTTATTGGCTGCGTGAACGGGCAGATGTTCTATGAATCTGGGCCCGTGTGCGCATCGCGAGTAGTGGGGGATTGTTGGTACGCACTTGCCGGCTCTTTCTACCTCATGGGCGACTTGGTCAATGTGCGAAAGGGACGGAAGTACCGGCCACTTTCACGTATAAATACCCAAAACAAGTGTTTCATTCGCTATTTGTCGTTAAAACGTGAACCAGTGGGGTTTGTTTTCCCATTTTACTCTGTGCCTGATAGTAAATTAATATATACATAACTTATTGGTATTAAGGAAAGTGTGATTCTCAAGCAAATGGTGGTCAGTTCACACTTTGGAGCACAGCGGAAGTGCAATTGCTTCGATCATTGTGAGTTTTAATCTCTGATACCATTAATTAATTGATTAGATATGCAAATCACGGTGAAAAGGGAATGAGATTACATGAGACAATGAGAATACTTGAGGTGTTTTTTTTATGTATAGTATATATGGATTTCAGTTGTCCTGAGATATGATATTGGGGGGGCGCAGCTTTTGGGAGTCGCTGAGGGCAAACTTGAAGACAAAGTGCGCATTGGGGGAAAGATTTGGAGCCTCGAGGATTTGTAATGCGTTTCCATTTGATATTATATAGTCAAATCAGATCAAGGTTAATGCTCTTAAAGAAGATCGCTAGGATATGAGGGATAGTTTTTAAAGAATTTTTTGCAATTGATGAATGATGAAACACTAAACGTTTGCAGAAGAAACTTATTGAACTAATGGGAACTTATAGGACTCGGGTCAACATTCATATATGTGACCAATATAATTCCCATTGATAATGACACAAATTCAATTTACGCACTTAAAAAGGACACAATTTCATTGGGAACTATTCTTCAGTACGACAAAGATGAAAAAATTCTCTAATATTCAGCGGGAATGAGAGTGAAGTGATTGTGACGTCACTCCCCCTCCATTTTGTTCACGATAAAATGTAATTTTGCCGCGAATTCTTGGAATTGTGGGCAAATAGTGGCGAGAGTGGGGATGACTCACATACACACACCCAAACATTTTCTCGAATCGACTAAAATCGATAGGGGAAATCAGTCTTTCACGGCTCCTCAGCCGGTTCACATCTTCACTTCTCCTCCCACTAGCACTCTATATATTTACTCGGTTGTTGTGAAATTTCATATTTATTAGTATTTAATTTATTGGAACGATAAGAACATCTAACTTAAAGACAATTTTTAGGGAACAAATTATCTATTAAGTTTGTGTAGTTTATGTTAAACAGCAAGTGATTTTTATGTGCCAAGAGATTTATTTAATAACATTGCGCAATACCGTGTAATTTGTGAATAACTGTGAAAAAACTGATTTATTTGCCAAGAAAGTATTATCATTGGGCAAAGTAAAAAATAATCTACAAAGTTTGAAAGGATTTTTTCACGTTTTAGTGGATTTTTAGCTAGTTTATCGACATTCTTACCTCAGTGCATATAGAAGCAGTAGAGTTAAAGTATAATTGATATATTTGCAACAAACTCCAAAGACTGAACGAACTGTGATATAAGTGAATATTCCTGATAAGATAGTAGAGAATAGTAGATAAACTCTATCGGCTCTGGGTAATTGTTTTTAGAGAAATTAAGCATTTCCATTTATGGGTGTCTCACAATTCATCTTATCTCCATTTGCGCACTTTATTAACGGTTTTTGTCTTGTCCTTGCAGATTCAGACGCTGAGTTTAGTTTTTCGTCGATTTCTGAAGGGGAGTCGATCAACATTACCAACGCAGCAACATCTACTCAACACACAAGGTCCGCACTAGGACACACAATCTCAAAAATCCGATCAACGCAGTTTTCCAGCAACATCAAGAACAAAGGCTACGACCGACAGATGCTGTACCAGCAGCAGCCCTTCCCGGCCATGTCGCCGGATCCTTGGGGTGAAGTGCTCTCCGACTGTCCAGCCATGGAGGGTCCAGAGTCACCGGGGAGCTCAATGAGCTCCCCGCTCATGCCTCTGGACACGTCCTTCGACTACGAGACCTACTCGTTGTGCGTGGACGGCGAGGAGATCGCATTGCCGCTGTCTCAGAAGGAGGACTCAATGTGTCTCGCCAATGCACACCTCCAGATCAGCTCGCCACAGAAGTCACCCAGCGATCACTCCTACTCCATGAGTGACGCCATGAAGCTGATGGAGGAGTCGTGCGATGAGTATGACGATGGCTTCAGCACAACAGACAACCGAGTGCTGTACAGAGACACAATGATCAGCGATGCCTCGAAAGTGATCAGTTTCATTGACGAGGACACAAATTTGGAGACAGTGAACTACAATGAGATCATGATAAAGAAGGAAGCTGTTGATCCAGTGGACGATTACAGTTTAGAAGCAAAAAAATCAATAGAATCAGCAACATATATGAATAATATGCAAGCCTGCCAATCAGTGAAGCAGTTGAATGAACCTGTGAATAGGATAAGTGAATTATCCACAGTCGCGGAGGATTTAAATTTGTGGAAACCGATTGAGAAGGTTGACTTTGTAAAACCTGAAGACAAAACAATTATTACCTTTGAGGAAGCAGAAGTGCTCACATACAAGTACGTTGAGAAGAAAGTGGAGGACTCTCTACAAATTGATAAGGCCGTAAAGAAGGGCCCCAGCACTAGATTTAGTATTAAGAAGGAGGAGGAGCAGGAGATCACGAAGAAGAAGAGAAGCAACAGAATGCGTCATCACATGAATGAACTTCCAAAACTCAATCTCGGCGGAATTCCGGCCCAAGTGAAATCAGTTCTGGATTATGAGCAGAAGCAGCAGCTCAACACACCTGACATTATTGAGGAGACACTCAATATGGAGGAGGAGACTTTCGATCTGATCGATTTCATTTGTCGCCAGGTAAGTTGTTGGCACTCTGTGAAGATTTTGCAGGGTGTGAGACTAATTCGTGATCGCTTGCAGGATCTGCAGAGTGAATTGGTGGCAACTCCTGTGCCGTCGCCCAAGTCTCCTGAGGAGCCGTCGCCGGAGTCGCCAGCAGCCGATGTCTCACCATCTGCAGCAGTACCTGCCTCGGCTACGTCCATGCCCAAGCGGAAACGACTGAGCGTGAGCCTGTACGAGAATCCCAGCAGCGTCCAATCCTGCCAATCCAGCGTGGATGAGCCCGCGCCCAAAAAGAAGCGCGGACGTCCGCCAAAGACGCACAGCTCTCCGCCCAGTCCGTCGCAACTCAAGGGCCTCACGGAACAGGATCTGCGCTACTGGGAGATGCGGAACAAGAACAACGAGGCTTCCAGGCGGTCGAGGCTGCACAAGAAGCAGAAGGAGATGAGCTTGGAGCAGGAGGCTGACTCGCTGGTGCGACACCATCAATATCTTTTGGAGCGCCAGAAACGGCTGCAGAGGAAGGTTACACTTCTAGAGATTAAGTTGAAGGAAGCTATCCAGTAAATTGTGTTTTTTCTTTCATTAATGTATCCATTTTATAGTGTATGCGTTCAAAGCAAACGTAACTGATTGATGAATTTTAAGAAAAAAATATTACAAAAGATAAAATAACAAAAAAAACATTGTCGTACAACATTGTATTTTAAAGTTTTTTTTATATTACAAAGTTACAAAAATAAAATTTTACTGTACCTACATTTTTTCTAAGAATATTGATTTCTTTGAGAGCAAAATAATCCCATTTAAAGTAACCAATATTGGTATTTAATGGTTCTTGATGTAAACTGTGTAGAACAAGTAGTAGAAACAAATAAAATAAATGTGGCAAATAGCTACGAAAGAAGGGATGTTTTCTTCTAGTTTTAGCACAACGTAAAAGCATTGGTTACAATTGTGGATTTCCAAATTTTTTCACGAAAAGAATAAAGCGGTCTTCAACAAGCGTTTCAGTTTGTGCTTCAACTGCGTTAAAATCACTGAACGTGATAAATGCGACAATCGGCGATCAGAGACGAAGATCTTTGTTGAAAGTTGGTAAGCCAGCTTCATATCCAGAGTAGGTAAAAAAAAAACATTTCAATACTTTATTAAATTTATTTATTGTTTCTGAATATATAAGATGTGAGACACAATACAAAACTTGATTTACCTACTGCCAATATATTTTTTTTCATTTATCGTTATTTAATTAGATAATTCAATTTCAGTATATCTAGATAATATATATATTAACTAATTTATGAGATGGAAAATCCTCTTTTATCTCAAGTACTAAATTTTACCTTTTTGTTATCGCCGAAAAGATAATTTTCTTCCAACAATAGAATAATTATGGTGCAACATAGAAATTTCAAAAAAGAACATTAATCTATTATTGTGTTTGCAAAAATTGCAGTGTGAATCTTTTCAGTCCATTTGCTATATAATATATATTTGTTATGACTTTAATATGTGAAAGAATAGTAAAAATAGTTACGAATCATGGGGAAAATATGTAAATAAAATTATATTCTATTACATTTTCTTTAACTAAATATCATTTGGAATAAAATTATTTGCAACAAGAAAGAAAGAAAAATGCTCAGAATAATTAAAAAGAAAAACAATGCGGCCTATTTACAGATTTATTACACTAATGCTAAAATTCATGTTTTTATTAATATGTCTCGTATTAAATAATTCCTTTTGCTAAAAAAATGGTAGTTGTATTGGGAAAAATGACAACGTTTCTTGCGCAATCATTAGTTATATCTTTTTTTTTATTTAGCTACCACCATTTTCGTCATGTGAAAATGGATTTTCTCTCCCAACGTCGGCTTAAATCGATATTGGATTATTTAAAAAATAAAATCAATAATAGTCTGTGTCTTGCCCACCACGCCATAGTAATAGTAAAGATGTTTCACTTCTTATCTGTATTTGCTTACCACTCATTTCTACACCGTTACAATAATTTACAACAATCATAAAATTATTCATCATTCCAAATACCTACATTTACATCATCGTTCCTACTTAGCTCTCTGAATACGGCATCCTGCTCATCAAATATCTTGCCTTATATGTTACATTACCTAGATTTTCTTTCATTTATTCTTGTAAAAATTGCAATATTCATAAAGGTATTATTTTCTGTTTATATGCATAAGTGAATAAAAGGATATCTAATTTTTTCCATGCTAGCAATTTTTCTCCTCTGCTCAAACCAAAACTAAAGTGGCCCACATCTGCTCCCCCCTCCCTCTCTCTCTACCCTTAAATATTCCTCATCATCCACCTATTCATCTGCTTCGTCATTGAGAAAGGCAGCATATTTGTTGGACATGGATAGATTCTGATCAACGTCATGAGAACACATTCAAGTCCATTCATATTTTGGATAAACGCAAAAAAGAAAGGAAAGAAAAGAAAACCATAAGAGTTTTTCACACACAATAATTCAACAAGAGTGTATGCAAAATTTATATATACGCCAAAATGATGAAGTGAAATCATTAGAATGAAATGAAGTCAATTTTGAGGATGAAACAAGTGAGAGAATGAGTGACAAACTCAAGATGTTTATAAATAGAGTGCAAAATTGTGGGATTTCACGTTAGAGAATATGTTGGACTTACCGGTGCTTCTGCGGGCTTGTATTTTGGCATCCGATCCTCAATGTCACGACCATCTTCTTGAGGCTTTTCCCGTCTCACCGTCTGCGGCCTTTCCTCATTCGCATGTCTGTATCCACCCTGCTCACGATCCCTCTCTCTGTCGTTCCTCTCCCTATTTCCCCGCCCGTCGCGCTCATCGTAGCGATCGCGATACCTGCAAAAAGTGCAATGCCAGCAAATTAGAAGCCTGCGCGCGCGCGCCACTCGAGAGCAAAATGCCTTACTTTGCATCCTGTCTGCTGTCTCTGGGCCTCCCCTGATTCCTCCCATCTTTGTAGTCTCTGTCTCTTTGATAAGAGTCTCTGTTGTCGCGATAGCCGCGTCGGTCATCTGTAGGCGAGACTGGGTGACATATTAGTGATAACTGCCATTAGACGTTGGTAATATTCATAGAAACTCACCAAGTCTCTTTGGTTGTCCCCTCCTATCGTCCGGACTGTACCGCCGTGGCGACGGGCGACGCCTATTGGAGTCGCCGCCGCTATCGTCACTTGTGTCGGCTGGTCTCGTGCGCCAACTGATTATCTCCTCCTTCTTCACCTCCTTCACTTCCCCCTCGGGTGGCGATGACTCATCTTCCGGCCGCTCGTTCTCTTTGTCTTGCTTCGCGCGCAGCTTCTCCTCCTCCAACGCCTTCTGCTTCTCCAGTCGATCACGCTCCATGCGCTCCTCAATCTCACGCTCGCGCGCCGCCGTGTCCACGGGCTTAGCGTCGCCGAAAATCTTGGCCGCCGGCACAGGCTCAGCCTTTGGTGGCGGCGGCTGCTCAGGCTCACTATCTCGCGGAGTCTCCGCCCTCTCCTCCGCAGCCTCCGGCTCTGGTTCCGGCTGCACCACGATCGGCTCTATTGGCAGTGTGCGCGGCTTGAGATTCAACTTTGGTCTCTCACGCACCTCCGTAGGCTCCGGGTCACGCTTTCTCTCCTCGTAATTGCTCCTCCTGCCGCCGTACCGCTCCCGCGGCCCGTCGCTGAAGCCCCGCCTCGGCGGCTCTGCATCCAAATTGGGTCTGTCACCAAGGCGCCAGTTGCTGTTCTCCGGTGCACCAGAGTCACGCTCGCGGTCTCTGAAGCCACCGTAACCGCCCCGCCGACTGTCACCGTCACGATCGTTGTTCGAGTCGTTTCCACGACGCCAGTTTGTCATGTCGCGATCATCGCGCTCCCGGTCGCCGTAGCGATTATTGCGTCCACCGCGCTGCTTCTGGTCACTCTCATTCGATACGTCAATGCGCACCCGGCGGTTGCGTATCGACGGATCTGACATGCTGACGGCGTCTATGAGCTCATTCCTCGTCTCGAACTCAATGTACCCGAAGCCGCGGAGGCGCCCCATCTCGCCGTCCTCGCGCGGCAGGCGCAGCGATACTATGTGGTAGCCCATGAAGAAGTCCCGGATGTCCTCCTCCAGGACGTCGTAAGGCAAATTTGAGATGTACGCCAGGAAGGGCGGCGAGTGCGGCACACTGTCATCGTTGAAGATCCGGCTGGCGCGCGGGGCGGTCGGCAGGGCAATTATTTGGCGCTTCTCGTGCTCATCCTCCTCAATCTCGTCCGCCCAGCTGGACACTTTCCGTGGCATCTGCACCGTGTTCACGCCGCCGCTGGCCGCCAGGAAGTCCTGGAGCGGCACAGCTTTAGCTTTCGTCTTCTTCTTCTTCTTATCTGCAAGAGAGCGAGAGATGTGATATGAGCATTCCGCTGAACACTTTCACGGCCGGACAGTTGCGTGAAATCTCGAGCAGCAATGCTCGCACGGATTACGTCACACACGCAGCAATTTTTGTCAGTTTCCCCAAGAGTCACAGCCGAGGAGAGAAAAAACTTTCACCAGATTCTCCCATAACTTAACCTACAAATGCAAGGTAAACGGGATGCCAATCGCCACGGGCCACTTCCCAAAGCCCCACAAATCGAGCAAAACATCCACAAAACATCGAGAAACTGGTTCGCATTGCACCGTGGGGCCCTCACTGACGTTCGGGGCAAAAAGGCCACGCGGTTAAAATTTTTATGATTCACGTTGCATCCGCAGCTCCCGTCATACCTTCCCTGGGCACCCTCGGCTGCCCGGATTCTTGCAAAAATCTTCACGTTTCGCCACTCCCCCGCGATTGCGTGACACTTTGACGCTCCACATCGTGAATTTGAGCTAAAATTTGAGTAATTTTACACGTGACACACAATTATTGTACTGACCTGTTGTCGCCATGTTGAAAGAGAACACAAATATGTGGTGCCAGATGGTAAAAAGGCACACAAACCCGCATCGGGAATTTTTCCGATTCAAACAATGCCTAAAAATGCCCCCAATCGTGCACTTCTCCATTGTGACTGCAGAGGTCACTGATTGCGAGTGGGCCTAATAAAAAACCATGCCATTTGAGGAAATATGATTTTATTTCGCCAATTATGCAGCCGAAGATGCACATGACAAGCACAATGGGCTTCTTATCGCTTCTTGTGCAGGTGGAGACGGTTCCTGCGGTTCCAGGCAGCCCTGCGGGAGCCTCCAATTGTCTGGGAGTATCTGTATCCCTTGCCGAGACCACGTGAACTGCGTCCGGAAGATGTGAGGCCACGCAACTCGCGGTGCTTGTGCACAGACTTCACAATCCAGTTGATCTTGGGATCACGACGGATTGCCTGCAACAGAAATGATAATTATTCAAATGTTTTTGATGACATTTGCAGAATATTTAGGGGATCCTTCAGGTGTTCATACACTCGACATGGGTTATTTGGAGTGGTGCATGAGAATCATCACTGGAGAAGGAACGAGTGGGATTTTGAGATACTCACGTTGTGGGATGGGTCGATCAAGATGACCTCGAAGTACTTGTAGGAAGAGTCCTGGGCCACCCAATATGAGTTTAGCACGCGAAGACTTCCCAAACGACGACCGACACGTTCCTGCAAATGGAATTACATAAATTACTCTCTCTGTAGACAAGAAAAATGAACAGGGAGATCTGTTAAGTGTTTTCAGACATCTAAGGAAGGACAAAATTATCGTCACAGCAGCTTCAGGTGAAAATCGGTGGTCATCATGAGATTGTGGTGGTCACAAAAGCAAGGAAGTCAACTCACCTCAGCAATCGACTGGAGGTTGCGGTAGGGCTTCATCTCGTTCACACCATGGCTCTTGGGCTTTCCGTAGGTGCAGCCCTTGGGCACTGGGCGCTTCCTGCCACCGCGGCGGACGCGGATCCTGTAGATGACGTAGCCCTGCTTGGCGCGGTAGCCGAGACGGCGAGCCTTGTCCGGGCGCGAAGGCCGCGGGGCGCGATGGAGCTTCGTCAGCTGACGGTACTGCCACACGCGGATGCGCAGCAAGTAGCGCATCACATCGCTCTGCTTCTTGCGGTAGAGCTCCTGCACGTATCTGTACGCTCCCATCCTGTCCGGATTGAGTTAGACCTAGCAACGAAATCAAGTAGATTGATCTGAAGTCACATCATCGGTCTATACTTGGGTTAGGAATATATTCCATCGTTTTTTCAGTCATTGCACTGAAAATATGCCACATACTCCATCATCTGCCAACGCACTACACATCTGCAGATATTTTACCAAAGAAATTGCCACCCTTCACTGGGAAAATACATACCTTTCGGTGAAAATAGTTTCCGTGAGTCCCACGTTGCTCACAGACCACGCAGAAAAGAGAGATATGGCGGCCGGAAGCGCTCCTTGACAACCGCCATTAATGCCCACACCGCGTGTTGCCAGATTGGAATGTCGAAATGTCGGCAAACCAAAACCCAAAAAAACACTCAATTTTTTTCGACTTGGAGCAACCGACACACTTCCACAGAGAAGAAAAAGAACATTTCTGGAATTTCACTTTTTATTTCGTTCTAATTGCTGAGCATGTTTATGCAATTCCTCCCAAAATTGACATAAACACACCACACATCTCTCAATAATTGTCGCTCAATCATATTCATACGCTGCTTTTTTAAGTAAAATCAAGAAAAAATGTTCAACATCCTCCAAGTATTTGTTAGAATTTTGACTCAAATTGCAATCTCTCCAAGTCACTGATCATTTAATCCGCAATTCTTTGTATTCTCTCAATGGCAAGAGATTGCAATGTGAGGCATATAGTATCTAGTGAATCTCAATTATGATGAGTAAATCAACATAATTACATATCTCACAAAAAAATTCTGTTTATCAATTAGTTCATGATGACTTTTCTCGTATTTTATAGCTTTTAACTACAGTATTTATGTGTGTATTATATAATAATTCTTGAAATTTTTAAATTCAGATTTCATCTACTTTTCTTTCATTTGAAATTTCCTACTCGGGGCCGGAGGGAAAGATTCGTGAAAAATATCCGTGTCAACAATAAGAGTTTTGCAATAAATATTTGCGGAATCTTGCATGCCAATTCGCCTATTTCATTTCCCATTACACCTTTTAGATAAATTAGCAAAAAATATATCTGTCATTACTGATACATATAACATATATTTTGAAAGTACATGTTATACATAGCATTAGAACTAACATAACTTTTCCATGGATCTTTCCCTTGCTCACACAGGATGTTCTCTTGAATGCTTTGAGACAAAACTGGATTTTTTCTGTTTTTTTTTTCTTCTCTCAATGTCTCACCAAAACTCATATGATGGCATTATTTATATCCTTGATGTTACACCCCTTTCTCTCCCCCGCATCTGTGCTTATGTTTCTGATGGTGAACACACAGTGTGTCGCTTAGAAAGCGAAGAGCAGCAGGAAGGCCATCATAAGACAGAAGAGACCCATAGCCTCAGACAGGGCGAAACCCAGGATAGCGTATGAGAAGAGTTGCTGTTTGAGTGATGGGTTCCTGGCATAACCAATGATGAGAGAACCGAATACTGTTCCGATACCGGCACCTGAGTGGAGGAGACAAATAATCACAAGCATTAGAGGATGTGAATTTGTTAGAAAAAGGTACAAACAGTGGCGCTAGAAGTGCATTCATCCCTATATTAGGCATTGTGAACGCGAGGAAAAATAGAAGATAGAAGAGAAAGATACGATTAGTGACTTGGCTCTACGCCAGAAAAGATTCTGAAACTCACACGAAAGCATATCTTGTTTGTTTTTATCCGTTGCAAAAGGTCGAAATGTGTCCATTGAGAGATTCTGCGGGCAGGGCTAGAGACAGATTAGTCTGAATTGAGTTTTCACCCTCAAATTTCACATATTAACTTGCGTGAAGACTTGAGCGTGAACTTGTACATTAGACTCAAATTGCCGGTGACGGGAGATTTCAATGTGATCCGGCAGAGAACCACCGGACACAGTAATTTCTGGTCCCCCCATCTCTCATTAGTCGAGTGTCCTGCTAGAACATCAATCCTCCCACAAACCGAGGATCCACCTTATCTCAGACCTTCCCGAGGCGCCAGGGAGCAACTGTGCGTGCTCGTGTGTCAGCCCCAAGTACAAGATTGTCTCTAGCCCATAGCGGAGTCTCTCTCAGGACGCAATTTCGGGGATCAAGTGCACTTCTAGCGCCACAGCAAATGCCGATTCTCGTCTCCCACTCACCAGATCCAGCGACTCCGACTGTGGCAGCACCAGCGCCGATGAACTTGGCGGCAGAATCAATATCACGGGTTGCAGGTGAGGTCTGGAATGACCTGACTTGAGGTAAGAGGGCCACTGGCTTTGTGTTTTGGGCCGCCAGTGACTGGCTCTGGCTGATGACAGCGCTGCTCAATGGTCTCAGGTACATCTTCGTTCCATTGAGAACCTGTCAGAGACAGAAAGGAAGGCATTCTTCAGTGTCCGCATAATTATGTAACCGTCTGTTGGCCATGTCATATTGAAGAAAAATTATGTAATGGATTTTCCGCAAAAATTCTCAGCGAAAAACCCTCGACGAGCTAACATCAATTTTCCACTTACCGCGCTCCGGGCGATGGGGGCGAGACGAGAAGCAGTTGACACGAACATTTTGGACTTCGCTAGTGTACTTTCTGGTACTCGGAGGATCTGCAAAGACACACAATTATCCCGTTAGCTGACGCCTCGACACTTTGCATTGAGCGCAGTTCGGTCCCTTTCTGTGCATCCGGAGAAATTATCAATATTCTCACGGGGTCAGCCGACTTGAGCCGCTGCAAAAGTTACGTAACGCCGAATACGTAACATTAGCGATTCAGTGGAAATGGGGGGCATTTTCATTCGCCGGCCCGGCCAATTGTCCTTATCAAGTCCTTTCATCCTCACGCCAGGACGCTTGAGGCTATACTTTAACGCATTTTGGACTTCTTTCACTGGCAATTTTACGGAAAATGGCCGACACCCTCGGACGGAAAAATTTCATCGGGGGCACAGAAAAAGACACAAAATCTCCATCACTACAGCAGTTGCACACAGTATAGCATCCAAACTCTGCTTTGCAGCAATGGATGATTGAATTTTCACTATTTTCTGCCCAGGATGGAGACTTTAACACAAGATTTTTCAAGAGATTTTACTCACAGAACCTAGAGCGGCAGACTTATCGACGAACAGTGGCAGAGAGTGCTTTTCGGAACTCGAAATCCAGACAACTCACCACGAGCGCAAGACCAGTGTTGCCAGATATCGCAATGGCGAAGTGCCACAGAATACGCTAATTTCTCCCAATTTCGTGCTGTTTTCCACCCAGTGGGGCCCTTTGGACAATCGTAGCACCCCGTGGGAGTAGCGGTGAGGTGCAAATTGGTGCATATTCCCTGAAATAGGGGGCAATTTTGCGGAAAAGTATGCAAAAGTGGTGAAATGGTAGGTTGCCAGATCGGAGTTCTGCCCACAATCCTCTCAGTCGCGGCGCGTGCCATCTTCAGTGTGGTGGAGGAAGTGTGAGCCAGCAGCACTCAGAGGTCCCGCAGCGATGACCTAATTCTTTGACAAATCCGGAGTTTGGTCAATTTTGGCTGCCTGTGGCTGCTGATATTCAGTAGAAATACGTTCCTGGCCACCTCTGGACAATGTGCATAGCACCACAATAAGTGTTCCAGCCGCACCGTTCACCCTAATAGCCCAAAAATGTGCTCGCCCAACTAGGAGGCATCTGTGAAACAAGTGCATTGCATAATCGTAATCAAGGCGCGACATTTTGACGTGAGGTGTGCGCGATGGCCGTGTTTTTGATCAATATTTGTAAGTTCAATGGATGCGGAATAACATTTCCCAATCTGTACAGCCTCATACAGCACATCGAGGATACGCATATTGGTGAGTGGTGCTCCGCAGGGGGCGAATTGTGGTGTAGTATCTTGCGAAATCGGTCCTTGAAACAAAAGTGGACCCAAAAAGAGAGGTTGCTAATCAAGAGCCAAGGCAAACCCCGTTTCCCCAACAACATATCGATCAACGACCACGTAGCGAGTAGCTGAAGTTGGAGCATTTTTCTGGGTATGAGGACGAGATGGAGGAGCGGTGGGGGCCTGGCTGTCTCTTTCCAACATAAACAAATGCCGATGATGGGTGCCTTTTTTGCATGCACATTTATGTGTGAAATCAGCTGAGCGGCCACCACACCCGCCAAGGCGTGAATCCCCTCTAATACCTCTCATGTGTTCTTTCCCGTCTGTGCAGATTACGATCCGAAGGCGATAGAGTTGAAGGAGCAGCAACAGCCACCATGTCTACCCCTGAGTTATGTTCTGCGCTTCATCACGGACGCCGCTCGCAAGGAGGCCTCCTTCCTGGCCACCTCCGGCGCGGACATCAAGCGGAAACTGACCACGAAACATCACAATAGCTACAGCGCCTCTTCCTCGAACCGCAGCAACACACCCACCGGCAGTGAGATGGACGAAGAGGAGATGATGGTGTCCGAGTCGGAGGACAGCAACGACTCGTGGACAACGGAGGAGTTCAGCTCGGAATTCATCATGAGATATGGAAGCCGGTAAGACGATTAGTCACCGCAACAGGTGAACACGCAGACAGACAGAGTCGATAAATGCGCTGTCTCTCTTCTCATTGCGGCAACGAACACACAGGCATTCCGGAAATCAGGGTTCCAGCTCGCTGAACGAGAAACCATTCGCTTGTCCCGTGCCTGGATGCAAGAAGCGCTACAAGAATGTGAACGGTATTAAGTACCATTCGAAAAATGGCCACAAGAAAGATGGAAAGTAAGTATAGAATGAGTGATTTTGTGGCTCATCCTTGAGGTCATGAACACATAGTCTGTAGATTGTATGATCGCAAGTTTCCTTCGTTGCTAAATGGGGCGTCAGATTAGACGAGGGAGAGTGAGATTAGACGGTAGGATTTCTGAAATACAGCACTCGCCCCAATGATAAATTTCTATTTAGTCACACAAGTTGTGTGTCTGTCACGCTGAGATTAGATAATAGCGAGAAATGTTAAACCATAATCTCTTGTGCATGAATTTGAAGCATGTGGCGTGTAATGGAGAGGAATATGTGTGATCTCTGTGTTTCACTACGCAGGGTTCGGAAGGGCTACAAATGTCACTGCGGCAAGAGCTACAAGACATCACAAGGGCTGAAGAGTCACACAGTCCTGGCGCACAACACGACTAGCATGGGCGCTCAGCCGCCGGGATCGGTCTCGCCAACGGGCAGCAACTGCAGCAATACGTCCGGCAGCAGCAACTGCATTAGTCAGGGCACGGGTCAATCGGGCGGCACTCTAAGTGCCCCCCAGCTGAACACCAATGGTTCAATACAGCTGTCGCCAACATCACCGCTCTCCAGCATCACAGTCAGTGGTGGCAACAGTGTGAGCAGCTCTCCGCTCAAGAATAGCTTCGGATTGATAACGATCAAGGCGAAACCGGGCCTCGTTGGGGTGACAAACAAGCTGGTGAAGCTTGTGCCTGAGATTCCAGTCAGTGGTGGCGACAAGATTGGCAAGACGCTGGACGCGAGGAGTCTGGGCGTTCCAGTGACGGCGGCGACGGCCACGAAAATGAGCTTGCCCGGTCTCGTGAACTTGGGCATTTTGACTCCAGCTACCTCGCCAAAACCCCTATCGCAACTACCCACCCAGTCTTCGGTGGCGCAGCCACAGCAGCAGCAGTTGTCTGTCCCGAGCCAGCAGACAGGCCAGGCGACCACGACAGCCACGGCCACGGTGACGGCCGAATTGCTCCCTCTCACACCCATAAGTCCCAACATGAGCGTCAATTTCACAACTCCAGGTACCAGTAAAAGTAGTTCAGACGATACGTAGCCTATACTAAAAACGTTGCTTATGCGGAAGAAATAGTAGTTGATGAGTTGTTCACTGTCCGTGTCTAAGACTTGTGTTATACTTCCTTTCCTATCTATTCATTCTTTTTATAAAAAAAAGCAGAAAACTTGAGCTTCATTTTATCCTAATCTTTGCACTACTATAAGTTCCAGAAATCACCAAAGATATCTTAAGATAATGTCTGAGGCTATTTTGCGAGAAAAAAATGAGAAAGAGAGAAAAGCGGAGAAGTAAGCAAAATTCTTCCATTTGGCTATTTTTTCGTGCTCTGGCTAAAGCGTGGCTGAAAGGAAATACGCTCTAGTTCTTTAGGTGTTCAAATTGGATCCTTTTTTTTGGCAAGAAAGGTGAAGATATTGCTTACCAAAGGAATCTTGTGGTTATTAATGCTTTTCCCCTTTTTTTGTGTCCCAGAATTTTCAGCATTATAGTCGATGGAAAAAAAACTATATGCATGTGTGCTGAGAATGCAAGAAGAATATTTGAAAAGGAAATTATCCCAATAATTTAAATATAACATACAATATGATATATATATATATATATACCTATATTTAAATTAAATGACGCATAAATGTGAGTTTTGATGACATTGCGTTTGTGGATAAGGAAAAAAATTGAATTCTTGAAAAATTTTTCCTTTTTGAGAGATTCATTGAAAGAGAGGAAAACAATTTTAGTGAAAAAAAACTATTTGTGATAATACTAGAAAAAATATGGGTGAAATGCGCAATATTTTTCTTTACCTTTTTTTCTCTGTGCAATTTTATTATAATATTGAATCTTTTTCACATTGCGTTGTAGTGGAAAAGACTAAAAAAAAGAAAGAAAAACTTATCCTTATGGTTACCTGAAAATTTACTAACTGAGGAGAGATGAAATTTAGATAGAAACGACTACACACCTCATCGTCACGTCCCCCTTTTCTTTTCTCGCGATGTATAATATTGATAACAAAACAACAATTCGTTTGCTTTTGCGTTAACTAGTCATTATCAATTGAGAAGGTGAAATATTTATTGAGAAAATAAAAGGCCCCTATACATTATTAGATAATAATATATTATTATATTAACTGAAATATTAATCGTAATCTTGTTATTTGAATCTTGTTTATTATTTTCTTTTTACATTTATCATACTAGTCTAAGCCGCAGTTATTTAAAAGAGGAGAAGAAGATGAAGAGGATTACATAAAATGATTAGTGAGGAGACAAATAAAATCGTAGGATGAGAATTGATGTGGGTTCCGCATAATTTGAGAGGACTTGTAAATAAGAAGGCAAGTAAATTAACTGAATGTAGAGAGCATTTTTTTGGAATAACTAGCAACATAAAATGAATATGCTATATACTCCTCTAAATAGTCAAAACCCAATAGAAATTGCTCAGAAATCAATTGAAATGTAAACAATTATCATAATAAAACAATTAGCACACCAAAAATGATAAATATAACTGATGAAAAATTTCCAATAGAACTGAAATGAAATGTATACACTTGTAATGTGAATATTTATTTTGAAGACGAATTTATATAATATACAAAATGCGAACTGTGGAGGCGAAGCGATGGGAAGAGGACGAGAGAGAGAGAGAGAGAAAGAGTTTAGTTTTGAAAACTACACATTTTCATCTGCCAAATTTTTCATTGTAAATTTACACATGTTAGGCGAATGGCAGTTGTTAGTTTGGATTCTTTTCACTTTATATTCAGCGAAAAAAAATGATGATGATGATTTTTCACCCTTGGAAAACACTAATATTGATAGTAGGAATATTTATTTTGTTTGTACAACATGACAAATTATAAGTTTGTCAATGTTTATCAAGAAATTTTCACCTTCATCGTGAATTGATAAACATTGATAAACTCTTGAGGGATATATTTTGTTCTCTTTTTTATTTATTCAGATCCAGATAATTGGAGACTTTTTATTGGAAATACTTGGATTAAACAGATTGATGTGAAAAAATATGTGCAGAAATTGCAAAAATATTAAATGTTTCCAAAATGGAGAAATAAGATAAAACACAATAAAAAAAGATGTTCACTGTATATCAAAATGTTCTAACCGAAGAAAATGGTCATAAATACGAACAATAGAAATCTGAAAAAAGATGTAATTCTTGTTTATTGTCAAAGAAAAGGTACTATTTGTAATGTAATAGTAGTTGCAAAACCATTGAGAAAAAAAATCAAGAATAAATAAAGAAAAAATAGTTATTTGCCGTGAAAATTACTAAATGGAGTCCATAATTATACTATTAAAAATGAATACCAGTAAAACCTAATAGGAAATAGTGCTGTATCTTTCTGAATAGCATGTAAAAGGAGAGAAAGGGAAAAAAACAATCAATGAAATGGGGGTGAAAAACCGAATCATGTATTATAATAATGTCTGTTTCAATTGCAAAAATAAATGTGAGACAAATACTTTATTTCTCGCTATCGCAATGTTCACTTCTTCGGTGATAATTGATTTATGTAATTCTCCACGGTGTTAATCAACTGCCGATCGTTTATCTTTGATGCATTCATATGGATTATGTAGAGATTTTGGAGGTCTTTCAGCTCGAAGGCCACCAAAGCCGCCTCTTTCGAGAGCCTGAAGTGGTTTAATAATAGTGTTAATAATTCTGCTCACGGATGAAAAAAATGAAGTGTTCTTCTTACCCAGCTCTGATATACCATTTGACCTTCTTCTCCTCTCGACACTTGGACAGATACTTTTTCGCCTCATTGCTGTTCTTCTGCTTTATGCACACCTCCACGAATGGCTCGTATCCAATGGGGCTCTTCTTGATCTTCGAGAACTTCTCCAGCTCATCCCATTGATAGTTTTCTGACATCACTTGGATTCTGAGCCACCAGTATCGCTTGTCCGGCACTTTGTACTCATTCCGTATCTTCTCGGCTGTCTTCAAGTCACCCAGAGTCAGAAGTTGCTTGACAGTCTCATGAAGAGAGAGACCGTAGAAGGACTTTGAGTATCTGGAAAACCACAGATGGTGATTATTTAAGACATTCATTTTGACGAAATTTCACACTCACTTCTCACTGAACACCTTCTGTTGCTTCATCAGCTTTCGTCCCTCTTCGCACAATTCAGCCTCGACGTCTCGGTGAGCCTTCTTGTAGGCATTGGCCGTGATGGACAGGACCATCTCCAGACCAGCCATCTCAGCAAATCCCTCACGCAGAGTGAATTCAGCCTGTGAGGCAAAATCGTCCTCTTGCGTGAAGATATCCTTCAGTGCGGACACATTGTATTGCTGGCAGTACTTCTTGAACAGGTTTTGCGCTATTGGGAATGATCTCACCGTCATCTGCAAATATATGTATTCACGTGAATTCATCTGGACATTGATTGTCCATTATGATGATAAGTACCTGAAAATCTGCTAATTGAGTGGTTTCTTTCAGCTGCAAGAGCACCATATAGACGAGATCTGTGTCTCCTGAATGCGTGGCACTCAGGAGGGCCTTCTTGTTCTCACCCAACTTCAGCAACAAAGGCACTCTTGCGCTAGCTTTCGGCTCCTGATCCAGCAACATGATGGCCAGCTTCGTTCGTCCAATTTCCTGCGCCTTCCTCGCAATGGTGCAGAAAGACACTCCCAGTGCGATGGGATTCCGGAACTTCTCGGCAATTTTCCTCGCCACATCCTCATCATCTGCCAAGGAGCAAACGAGAATCATTATATTGATGATTTTCTGACTTTGCAGTGGTTTTGAGAAACTCACGTTTGTCATAAGTGACCTTGTGAAGCGCCCAGTGTTCCAATATCCTCGATTCTGGCAACTTCAGATGCTTGGCTATTTGTATGGCCAGAGCATAGTGCTTCCTGAACACTAGGCGATCCAGTATCACGTTGGGTTTCAGATGATCGAATCTGAAAGTAAAGAAAATTTAATAGAAATACATATTGAGGATCTTCAAGGAAATTATCTCACTGTCGATACGTCAGAGGAATGCCGATCTTTGCGTGCCGAATCGAGTTGAGCACTCGCAGGATTCTGCACATGAGATTATACTTGTCTGGATTGTGAGATGCACAGAAGGCCTTCCCAAAATACGCCGCCTTGATGAGGCTCTTCTGCGTCTCCGGATCAAATTCATATCCCGCCGCTTCGATGCACTCCGCAACAGCCTGCTCCAGAGTGTCCTTAATCAGGCACAAGTACTCATCCGACTGATGGCTCTTCTCGCGGAATTTCTTGTGCGCCTCAAAGAGGAAACTCGATGACTGCTGGCTATTGATGGCGAATATGTTGGTCACGCTTTTGGGAATCTTCTGGATCATCTCGTGGCATCCATTTGTCAGCACTCGCACGCAGTCCATCTCTGGAATGAGGAAGATGGCCGGATCGTAGGTGTAGGCATTTGAGTCGCCGCTGACTCCAATCACCAGCAGAAGCGACGAGTAGGTGACTATGAGGGCGTCCGACTGCCGGCTGTTCTCCACGTCCACACACCAGGCAATCTGTTTCGGTCGCTCAGAGCGGCCAGTGTCAAATTCACAGTACTTCGTCTTCAGGTTCGACGAACCCATCCAGATGTGGCCAGAGTTTGTGTACAGCGCCAGATCGCGCTGGTTGAACGACACAGCCATCATGATGATCATCTTATAGTCACTCTGCATGGTTATATTTTGCAACATGCACACACTGTCGCCTTGGTGGAGCCTGAAAATCTCCCTGTCGCGCGACACCAGAGCGAACGTGTTCCTTTCTTCAGTCACGATGTCCCAGCAATTGGGATCAGCGATGGATTCTGCAAAATCACAACCAATTCACCAACTATTTTCCATCACATTTCCTTCAGAGCCTTACTTGGCATTTCTGGGAGTTGTCGATTCTTCGGCTCCTTTACGCTGTTCACCAGAAACACCCGGAAGTTTGTCGTCATCACAGCGACTCCTGTGCCGGAGCCGGAAGGGAAAATCTTCGCATCGATCACTTTGGTGTCTTTGGCCTCTTGGCCCATGCTGAATGTGTGTTGGTACACCCCAAACATGTCGTAGATCAGCACAAGTCCGTCGTCTTGGACGCAGATCAACTCCTCGCACTCTGACCATCCCATTGATAACAGATTCCCGCTGTTCCACTGTTCAAACACAAACACAATGAGAATATGATTCACCAGACTTTCCTCCCCTTTCGACATACATTAATGGACGATATCAGGTGTCCGGAGGCGGTGAAGATCCTGATTATGGGCTTCGTGGATCCAGTGACTTTGACAAACTTGCGGAAATCCTTCACAATCGCCATGGGGCCCCCATACGGGGCGGCACACACAATCATGTTCTCCAAGTCAGTATCCGGAGGCCACTCCATGTTGTACAACTCGATTTTCCTACAACATTTCCCAGTAATATTCATGGTTTTCCAGCAAATCAGTAGCTCACCTGTAGGTATTCCCATGGCCGAGCGTGAACCAATCTCCTGTGTTGTAGAGAATGGGCATTTTGATGAGATTTTCACATCAAAACACACCACTAAATTTTTATCTCTGCACGACACTTCCGAATTCTAAACCCAGTAGCGCGCGCCGAAGCATTCGAAGCGGCGCATTCGGGGTTTTTCGAGACATCATGTGACGTCACACGTCAATTCGGTCATGTGACGGATCGATCATCTGCCTGGAGGTTGAGAAAAGTTTTCCCGTGGAAAATTACGTGATTCCCTGAGCACAATGGCAGCATCTTTCGTCCCAATCATCATCTTCACGGCCCTTTGGGGTGTGGTTGGCATTGTTTTGCCCTTCCTCGCGCCCAAAGGCCCAAATCGAGGGTGAGTAAATATCTTCAATGTCAACTCGATGAGTTCCCCAAAAACAAGTTGTCCTTCTCTGCTTCCAGGATTGTTCAGTGCGTGCTGATGTTAACCGCATCCACTTGCTGGTTGTTGTAAGTATCGCGAATCTCTGACGCTCCCGGAATTCATTTTCTCACTTTCCACCCTCTCTCACTTTGCAGCTGGCTCTGTTGCTACATGGCCCAGATGAATCCCTTGATAGGCCCGAAGCTCCACCAGAACACCATCCTCATCATGGCCCGCGAATGGGGCAATCCTCTGCCGGACATTGATTCCTGGAATCCAGATGAGCACGCTGCTGCGACCCACTAAATACCTATCAGTCATTATCTTCTATCAGAAGTAATTTCCATTGTAAATTGTAATTATTATATCGTGTCTGTAGAATTGTGATGAAAGAAGCTTACGTTAAATAAAGGAAACTGGTAGAGAAAGACTAGTGTTTTCTTTCCTGATCCATTTATTCAATGGACTGCAACATCGTCAAGTCTGCGGCAACATCATGAGGATGGTTCCGGAAGAGGGAAGGTCGTGATGAGGCGACGATATTTCCATATGTATAAAATACCCTCTAAAATTCCCACACATTCCCACGATATCACAAGAGACGAGGATGAATAAATCTTATTCGAAGAGCCCGAAGCCCATATCGTCGTCCTCACTCTCGGACTCTTCCTTCTTCTCCTCCTTCTTGGCCTCAGCGGCCGGGGCGCTGCTGGCAGCGGCAGCGGCTGGAGCCGAGGCGGCGGCCGCAGCAGCGAATTTGCTCGGATCCTTGATGTACTCCTTGATGGTCGTGGCCTGCTCGAACTCCACTTCCGTGGTGGCGGCGATGGCCAGGAGGTTCTTGAATCCATTGGCAATGCTGTGCGGAGCCGAGGCGAGAGTTGGATATCCGATCTGCAAGCACACAGCCGCCAAATTGGCCACGCCCGCCTGGAACTTGGCGCGCAGATCCTCCGGCTTGATGTCCAGGATCTCCGGGGAGAAGATGCTGCCGGAGTCGTACACCTGCTCGATTAGCAAACCGTACTGGAACGGCGAGATGTTCAGCATGTTGAGCAGAGCCGCCTCGGAAGCTCCCACTTTGTCTCCTGGCTTCAAGATGGGCACATCATTGATGATTTCAATGGTACCCTTGGAGATCTTCGTGGGGATGGACAGCGCCTGGAAGAAGGAGGTCTTCTCGGGGCCCAAGCCCGTGTTCTGGGCCGGAATGATGACCGCCAGCGGCGCAATAGCACCAGCACGAGCCGGGGCACGCACTTTGCTCTCCGTCAGCTTGTCGCGCACCTCGTTCAGGTCGCCCTTCGTGAACACGAAGCCCACATTTCCGCGGATGTGCGGCAGCAACTTCTCCAGGTTGGCGTTGTTCTCCAAGTGACCGCGGATCGCCTTACGCATCATGGTGTTCTTGCCCATCAGCACGACGCCCAGGCCACGCAGGGACGAACGGATCGTCTGCATCTGGCGGGAACCGACGTTGTCCGCACCGACGATGAAGCATTTCGGATACTCGTCAAACAGTTGCTGCAAAGAAAGTCCCACGTGAATTAGAACTTTTCACAGTCTTTCTGCCTCTTTCCAGTCAAGCTGGCATGAAGGATGAACAATCAGATGATGCGACAATGTCAACAGACGTGAGCCAGGCACTAATGGGTTCAACTATTTCTAGCTTTAGCGCCGGCGGCCCCCATTCGGACGCGTCACAGGATCATCATGAATTCGCACTTTTAGACACTTTATCGAAAAGCAGGACACTTACCACTACTTTGGTGAAGTAGTTCGCCTTCCAACTGGCTTTGTTCTCCCTACCCATCTCTGCTAGTTAGGGACTTCGTGAGAAATTTAAGAACTGAAAGAAGACAAGGAAAAGGTTATTCGCATTTCTCTTGAAAAATAGCATAAATACGGCACTTCTTCGCTAAATCACATTCTATTTCAGTAAATCGATTATTGCCTAATCGAAGTGCATTGAAAAGAATGCAATATTAGCAAGGATGAATCAAATAATTTAGGATATCGAAGAGAACTCACCAAAACCAAACACGTTCTGTGAAAGTGACACACAGAAAAGGCCGAAAATGCGGTGTTGCCGCGTCTTCTCGCCTTTCGACCACTTCGACGAGTTTGGCCCATATCGATTCGTCGATGAAATTTAAATCGTGTGTCGCTCCAACGGATTTGCTCGCTCCGCTATATTTATTTTATTTTATTCACTCTGCTTTATTATGCTGATACGAGATAGTGGATGCAACAGTGTCCTATCCTTGTTATCAGCCCAGCAATGCACACGACGGACCGGCCTCTGGTACACAGTCACCAGCACAGAGGCAATGGAAATGCCTTTCAGCCCTCCTTGGAGAGTTTATCGGTATATTCCATTCATTTCACTTTATTGTTTTTTGGCTCACATTTTCTCCTCCTCCTCCTCCTCCTGTTTGCACTTTTTCTGCCATCTCTCCCTCTCGCGCTGGCCGATAAAAAGCCTGGTAATCCAATTAATGCATAAAATTGGCTTTTTGTGCCTGCTTTCCAATCAGTTCTGTGCTGAATCGCAAGTGAAGTGGCTGGGAAATGCACTCCATTGATCTCTTCTCGTCCACTTGCTACAAACAGAAGACGCGAGGCGAGAGCTATGGTCCCAAAAATCATCCCATCAATGTGTTGCGGTACAAATTCCCGACAAAAGTCCCGGTAAATTAAACTAGAGAGTTTGTGAAGTTGTTGCAGAGTGAGAGCGCATTTCTCGTGTATTTTAAAGGTGATCCTGGAGCGATATCGCAGCGAGAGAGATCTCCCGGACATTGGCCAGCGGAAGTATGTCATCCCACAGGAGATGTCCATGTCACAGTTCCATCAGATGGTGCGCCAGCGGATGAATCTCAGTCCATCCAAGGCGCTCTTCTTCCTCGTCAACAACCGCACGATGATCTGCCTCAGCAAATCCCTGCTGGAAGTGTACGATGAGTTCCAGGATGCCGATGGCTTCCTCTACATCACCTACGCCAGCCAGGACGTCTTTGGCTAGACTCCATCTCTGCCTCAAGCGATCTCTGACCCGGCGCGCGTGAAAAAGTGGCGAAAAAGCGCGCCAGAGCACAGAAAAAAGCCTCCTCAGCCGCGTTTCAGCGGTGATAATAGACATTTTATATTCAATCACAACGAGGGTTATCTCATGTTTAGTTTAGACAGATTAATTATTAATCAATTAATGTTTTAAGTCAGGATTTTTATCGGTTATGTATGGCAAAACTTTCTCTCTCGCCTCCTTTATCACCCGATGTTGGTCGCGCTATCGCGCAGGAAGAACAATTAACATAAATTTTCCATTCAACACCACAACTATACTAGCTCAGCAGTGATAAAAGTGAAGATGATACTGTACTGTAAACAAGCTGCGAAAACACATATTAATTGTATAATAAATTTTTATTCTTTAATAGACTTTATAGACACTTTTTATACCATATTTTGCATATCTTTTTTTCCATTTTTATCATCTCCTCCTCGATAAATGAATTGAACTTGTAAAAGGCTGGGGAAAAAGAAGAGTCAAATTATCTACACAATGTTAATTTGTTTCTTTTCTCCACACTTCTCCTCTTAACGAAATGCTTCATTTTTTTTTAATTGTTTCTCTCACTGCAATTCTCTCCTCGCTTAGCGCAATAAGAAACACTCACTCTTCTTTATTCTGTAAGGTCAAAGCAAGAGAACTGAAACCACACATTATAAATTAACAAATAAAAATCACATAAATTCTAAGAAAAAAAAAATAAACAGGGGAAGAATGAGCGTGGAAAATTCCTTCCAGGACGTTACAAAGAAGTACAAAGTGAAAGATATTATATGCCTATGTACAGCCAGGATCTCGCGCGGGAGTCCTCATATTTACAAAAAGAATATCCGCCACTGATCTCGCAAGGATCTCAATTTCCATTTGGCCTCTGCGAGGGAATGACGATTTGTTGCATGTAAAAAACATTTGCTTATTGAATACAAAAAAACACATTAGAGATAAAAAAAATATCGCTAAATCTACCAAAAAGGGACGAATATTCAAACGCAACTGAACTTCACCCCGTCGTCACTCGAGTAGCAGTTGTGACAGTGAAGCTTGTGATTCCGGACGCGCACGTCCGTGCCATTGAGGCCGTCGCCCAGCTGCACTCTGCAGACGCAGCACTTGAAGCAGTCAATGTGGAAGAAGAGCCTAAGACTCTCGATGATCATCGCGGCTCCTCGACCTGCAATATTTCCAGACAAAGAGACGTTCAATTAGCTTTGATTTGTCAACAAGTCCTTTTTCAGTTTATAAGTGCAATAGCTTTTTATCAATTCTTTGATTGACTCTCGCTAACTGAAGACTATTTCACGCCTTATTAAATTTGATATGAGTTATTTTTTAAACGAATTACTTAATATGAAAATATCTCATTATTCGCTCTGTTAGTGAGAAAGTTTACCAATTATTCCACAATCTTTTCACATTCAACACTCACCCAACTCATCGCCACAGTGCGAGCACTTCTTCCTCCCGCTCACGCTGAGAATCTTCTCCTGAGACTCCGGAGACAGGTTCTGTTGAGTCACCAATTCACCATTGGTCTCGAGTCTGCCAGCGAGAAGAGAGATGCAATTTCAGTAGTGGCTCAAAACAAAATGCATACAATGTGAAATATTGCGAATGATTAACAGGGCATTTTTGTAATTCACATGACCTCGAGTGGCACAGCAAGATTACTTAAGTAATTTAATGGTTGAAAACATGAAGCATTTTTTCAGCTGCAAGTAATCGCAGTCACTCGAGAAAATGCACAGTCGAATAGATAAACTTCAACTTGATGAAAATGCCAACACTTTTATATACAAAATTCCATCTGAATCTTCTGAATTTATCACTTTTCGAAAATATATACACGTGTAGAGACACTCATCCTATATTTTTGAGACTCTCGACCTCGCGAGTGTGTCTTGATAAAAATTACGAGAAAATGCTGTCTTATATCTTTCTCCTCGCATTTGCATATAAATTTTTGTAAATGTCGCATTTTCCATATTTTGCTCCTAAATATCGCTAATTAATGAAGAAATCAGGCCTTCAAACATTAATAATATCGTTTGAATTTGGCGAGAATTCTTACAAAAATCAATAAACAATTCCTCAAGAACCTTCAGAGCAATAATTTGTGAGAATTTAAACTGCCAAACACGCAGATTCTCATTATTCGCCGTGATTTTTCAATTTGACTCGCCATTGAGAAAATGATCACGAAATTATCCAAATTCTGAGAAATAACAGCGCCAAAGTGTTGCCCATGAGAACAAAGCGTCGAAAATGGTGTAAAGCTGTAGGGAAATCACTCAATCCACTCACCGTCTTCGCTCATTCACGCTCATTCTGTTCTGCACCCTCTGCGTGAGTGTCTGGATGACTGAATCGGGCAGTGGCTTCCCATCGCCGCCGCTACTCCTCCTCTGCGCCGTTCCCCAGCCGTTCTGCTGCGTCAAGGTGGGTTTCACGCCCAGCTGCTGGTCGATTCGCCTCTGCTCAGCCTCCTGAATCAGCCAGTGCTTGCCATAGCTGAATCCCCTCGGCTCAGACTTCCTCGCCGCAATCCACGAAGAGTCATTCGTGATCCTTTCGCGCGTTCCCGCCTTGACAAAGTCATTCTTCCGCGGAATCGGATAGTACTTCTCTGTCGGCTCCGACTTCCTGTTCTGCTGCACCCATCCGTCCGTCAGCTTGGGCTTCGGCACGGCACTAAGGGCGTGCAGAGTGTGTCTGGACATGTTCCCGTACACGTGCTGCTGCGCTGGCTGTCGCCTCAGCTGCACTGCGTCATCTCGGCGATTCTCCGCATCACTGGCATCGGCTGACGGAGCCCGGCTGGCTTTTATCGACGACTCCCGCGCCGTCTGGAACTCCTGATGGATGAGATTCGATCTCATGGGCTTGGCAGGTGGTGTGGGCGGAACCTTGCGCTCCAGGTGAATTTGCTGCAGATCCGGCATCGACTGCCGATAGTCCGCCGGAATGGGATAGACGGGATGAGGTGCAGAGACATTGGCGAACTGATTCACTGTCACTGTCGACTGCACACTGTTCAGATCCTGCAGGGATCGTCGATTTGCCGACATAAGCATCTTTGTACCGTGATCGAGCTCCTTTCTCGCCAGATTCTCCCTCAAGAGCAAATTCTCACGCTGACGCTTCAGTTCCTCCTGCTCCAGCTGAAGAAGTTCCCTCTCGACGCGCAAAACCTCCTGTAGAGAGACACGGAAAAAGTCAAGGAATACTTCTAAAAATGGGATGCAAATCACAATTCTCACCTCTTGTTCTCGTATTTGCTCCTCCAAACACCGCATTCGCGATTCCTCATCAACACCACAGTGCGTCAGTTTACTTTCTGTCTCAGTAAATCCGTTACCGGTCACCGTCCACTCCTCAGGCCCGTTCCGCTTGCTCTCGTGGAGAAGTGAATCGCTGGAGCGGCGCTTCTCCTTCTCCTCCATTAGCACTTTGATGATCTCGGTTTCTTTCTGCGCCAGATAGTCTTCCTGCTCTTCCGATGAAGTAGTAAAAGGCTCACTACTCTGTCGAGAATGATTCTCAGACACGCCAGAATCGCGACTATCGCCTGAAACATTCACAAGAGAACATCTCATTATTCACATTCTCTGGATCGCATGATCTTTATTGTTTATTTTGCGAAACTCACCCGTGTCGGAGCTCTCGTAGAGACCCGTCTTGAATAACACCTGCTTCTCCAGGCGACGTTCCTCTTGCAGGAGAGCTGACATATCGGGTGGCGGAGCCACAGACAATTCCAGTGAAATATCATCCTCAGTGGATCCCTCGATCCCCAGGAAACTCGATCGTTTGTTGCGAATCTCCTTCTTAATCCTTCGCGTAGAGTTCATTCGCTTCATGGCGTCCTAAAGAAATAAACCAGAGCGTGGATTTAGTATTCATGAAGTCATTAACTTCTCAAAGTCTAAATTGAATTCACATAAAATCACATTCTATTCAGGAAAGTTATCAGAGCATAAAAGAAATCTCAATAAAATGACTTGATACTTTGCTGAGGCATTCAAATTGCGGCTAAAAGTGAAGGTGAAGTGTGGATTAGAGAACTCACATCGGGTTTGACGTCTTCCTCGTACTCCTCGTTGCCTCCCTCGTCATCTGTGGCGTCATCCTCCACTGGAGGCGGCGGCGGCTTCTCTTTGGGCGGCTGGACAGTTGGGGCATCGGAACTGCTGACACTGGGACGACTGGCACCCATGAAGATCTCCACATTCTCGTACAGAGGAATGGGCTTCGACTTGGGCACCTCGTAGTACGGCTCAACGGGCTTGGGCACTTGATAGTAGGGCTCCTCCTCGTCCTCCAGGTCAATTAGAGTCTCCTCTGCCTTCGACTCTGGCTGCTCGACAACATCATCGATGATTTCATAGATCGGCTCGCTGGCTTTCAGCGCCTTCTGGATCTTCTCCTCGCTGATTGTCTTCACGGCGTCCATTGTCTCCTCCGCCTCTGATTGGCTTTCTGGCTCAGCTTGCGATGCAATTGGCGTCTGCACAAGCTCATCAATCAATTTCTCAATCTCCACTTCATTCTCCGCTGTGCCACACTGATCACCACCATCGATGGCCTGAAAAGCGATATCCAGTGCCTCCAAGACCTGTATTTGGAGCACAATTGAGTCACGAAAAAATATTTATTAACTTCATTACTACACGCATTTGCAACCACTCAAAGCATTAAAACTCATTTCGATTGTAATCTCGAACCCAAAAGAGCCACAAGAAGGGAAAAAGCACTACTTTTATCTACGAAAAAAAGCGAAATACAGTGGGAAAACGTACACAATTAATTCATGAATCAGAATAGAACCAGCAAGGGGAAAATGATAGAGCATGATTTCACTAAAATAAAAAAAAAAACTCAACTCACAAGGGAATAAGTTAATGAGGGTTAAAGTGAGCGTTAACACACAGATTCTCTTACCATTAGCCTCCTACATGAATCATTTCACACTCAGAGATGATGATAGAGAGGGCATTAAGGTTTACAGGTGAGAAGTACAATCAATGAACATAAATTAATTGAAAAGACAGTTTATCGTCCCAATATACAGATTATATTATTCACTTCATCGCACCTCCTTCAACTTAGAAAAATGAGAATTATAAATTAATCGATATAGTTTTCCTCATTACTTAATGATCGCTCCATACAACACATATAGTATATTTTTCATGGTGATATTTTGTGTAAATATGTTTGCCTTTCCTTCAGTTTTCTTTTGTATTCCACTAAATAAATAAATGACGATTAGAGATGGAAAGAGAAAAAATGAAAATAAACTATGAGCTAAAACACAAAATTAATTTCCTGACCGTTTCACATTTGTTATACACGATGATATAACAAATAATTCAGAATATAATAATGTTGTTAATGTGAATTCACTATTATAAATATTTATGTACATCCACTAATTACTAATCCGATAAATTTTGATTTTTGCTTTCAACAACGTGTTTTTCTTCTACCGATTTTTCCTATCTCGCCACTAAATTCCAAAAACTCAAAAACCCACGAATTTCACTGGAAAAAAAAACTGATATTTCTCCACCAACTTCAGCAACTCTATTCGGGCAAGTCTGTAGCCGCGAGTGTCTGTGAGCAACTGCTCAGGTAATTTTCATGTGATTTTCTCTCAAGCTGCAGAAATACGTAAAACGAGAAAAACATCGTGCAATTGAAGAAGAATATTGGAGGCTTTTTTCGGCCCGAGTAAATATTGTTTGAGAGAAAACCGTAAATACTCTTTGCGATAGCAGGTGAAGAAGAAAAGGAAAAAACGCCTTTGAATTCTGTTATTTCGCCATTAATGGGTGGTTGGGAAGTATATAGCTATTCAGGGAGTATTTTCCTCAGCGCAAAGAACTGTGAGAGCGCGCGAGACAGGTGGAAAAAAAATTGAGTAACAACAGGTGATTGAGGAGATTTAAAACTTGTAAAATTCTTCTCATCATTCACACCTTATTACAACGTCTCTTCTATTTCTATTGCGCTTCCTTGCCTTTCTTCTTCTCGCTAGACTCAACATTGGCAGTGATCTTATAGAATTGCATGATAAAGGCTTAAATTGAAGCACCTCTAGTGTGGTTTTCTTTCATCTTCATCTCTCTTTCTGTGGGTAATTTCACGTGAATCTCTTTCTCTCTCTCACAAGATTCAACTCGAAGATCTCTCGAGTCAACCTTCACAAGTAATTCACAGAGTATAAATTAGATTTTTTTTTCTGCTCCCCTACCAGAGATAATGCTCTCATGCTGGAGAGATACAGCTGTGATCTTACTTATCAACACTGTCATGAAGGTCTTAATTTATAGAATTTTACAATGTGATGTATTTCTCAAGACTTATCAAGAAGCTGGGGAAATTAAGAACGCTGCTCTTGTTTTGCCACATTATTTACTGATCCAATTTACTCAATTCCTCATCCAGTAAGTTACTTATCTCGGAATTAAGAGTGTCTGGAAGTGACTCCTGACAATCAACATGCATGGGGGACTCTATGGCGGCGGCATTTGGCAAAACAGTCTCATCTTTGCTCAAACTTTCACTGTCATTCGCATAGGAATCAAGCGGAACGTAGAATGTCGCGGTGGGAGTGTCACTCGAGGGAGATTCTAACAGATTGTTCCTAATAAAGTCAATAATTGTCCTCGTCGGACTCTTGGGACTCTTGGGTGAGGAAGGACTTGACTTGGGTGAGAGATTTTTCAGTGGGCAATTCTTGTGGCTCAGCACCGGACTATCGATCTGGATCTTCAGGGGCACCACGAGATTTTTCACCGACTGATCGGGGATCATTTCTGGCTCAGGCAGTGTCTCAATGGGACTGGCCACCTCAGCCACGGGCAGTGTTAGTGTTACAGTGTCAGTCTCCTCAAATTCTACCTCCTCCACCGTGGATTGTTTAGTGATTTGGCTACAGCTATCCTGACTAGCGCCCGAAATACTATTCACCAAATGTTTAACGTCAATTATGAGCTTTCCCTCGCACACCAGTGATTGAGATGTTTCAGAGACACTTACACTCGTATCTTGCTCTGTGAGATCAGACGCACAGTTGTCGTCGAACAGCTCATTGCTCGTGACTTCGGCGGGCAGGAGTGTGTCATCGTGATTGACGTCCACTGGCGTGGGATCACTCTGCACAGGCGACACTGGAGTGGATTCCACAAGGGTTGACGGTGTCAGATCATCTTCTGTCGGCTGCACGGTCTCCTGCACTTGCTGACTTTCGCTGTCTTCGCAATCCGGCTCCAAATCCATGGGAACGACACTCTCTTGGGGCGTCTCCACGCACTCTGGGGCAGGAGTCTCGGCAATTGATTCATCGTGCACTTCCTGCTTCGCACTGACCACTGATGACGCCGACACGGCGGAATGCAGAGACGTGAGGCGATCTTTCAAGCTCACAACTGGAACATCCACTTTCAGCGGTTTCTCACCAGTTGTCTTCTTTTCCTTCTCCAAAATCGACAATCGCTCTTTTATACTCGACAAATCACCAGACAATCTGTTGGCCTTCTTGCTGCCATCCTCCTTCTGTACTTGCTCGAAGCTCGACAGTCGCTCCCTGATGCTCTTAGCATTGGAAAAATCACCAGATAAGCGCTTCTGAACTGTTGACTCCATTGGCGCTATTGTCACAGCAGCGGGCTTGTCTTTCTCAAACATCTCTCGCCTCTTCCCAATGTCGACCTTGGGCAGGTCCTTCTTCGCCACATTGCTCCCCTCTGCGGCGCTATCACTGGAAGACTTCAACTCGAAATTGATCAGACGCTCCTCGATCTTCGTCACTGACGGTCGCTTCGGCACGAAAGCAGGAGCTGACACTCCATTCTCATGGCCACTGCTCCTCCCCGAGTCCAGGGAGGAAGCCCTCTCGGGCGTGGAATCCTTCGAGAAGCGCCCATTGTTGAAACCATTGAAGCCAATCGACTGCGCTCGGGATATTCGCAGCTTGTAGCCCTCAATTGCTCCCTCGTATGTGTACTCACAGGGATCTGGAGAGCTCGCCGGCGCTGTGCTGGAGGATGTGTCGTATCCCGGACTCGAGACGTAGTCCCTGTGGTTTCCATTCTCGTGATTTGAATTGTTCTCCACGTCCGAGTGTGACTTTTCCGTATCCTGATTGTCACTCTGCAATGAGAGAGAGGGGGAAAAAGATCATTATAAAAATAAAATATATGCAAGAGTCTCATGTGGCCTGTTAATATTGCCTTTCCGCATTCCCCAAATGATCTCTCTGTGTCGTGTTGTAGATCCACAAGAGAAGATCTCTTTTGCAGATGCCGCCGCATGAATTAGTCTGGCGTGACATCCGGAGGAGGGAAAAATTCAAATAAATTTTCAGCAAAACCACCGTCAAGGTGTTGGGAAAAGTGGCGACGCAATAATGTACCTCAGCCACAACAATGTATTTGTGAGCATTTGCAATTTAATGCCTAATTGGAGTAAAATATTCCCTACCATTTCAATTGAAACTCCACGGAATTTTATCACATTAACTATCATTAACAGACCATGTCACGAATGATTATCGCTCTCGATTGATCTCAATACCAATTATATTTCCAACGCAGAGCCAGCGAGACCGCGAGCGTCATAATTGGGCGCGAATGCTCAAAATAGTGTTTTTCACTCAATGGAATGCCTGAGCGCATCATCGAGCAGATAAGATTTTTCGGTGAAAATGAAATTGTAAGAGCGGGGCAAAAAAAATACCTTTCCGTTAAGGTAAAAGCAACAACTTACGATCACACTGTGATTATCAAAGTCTTCAGAGAGACTGCTCTTGCCACTTGCACTGCTCGTTCCAATTCCCAGATCACTAAAATCATTTGCATCATCCTCATTGTACACGGCCAGCGGCATTTTTCGTCTAGTTCCTCTGCAAAGAGAAAGAGAGAGAGAAAGACCACATAAGTTGGAGAATTTCAACAGTGAAACCACTTGGTGACAATCTTCTTCACCTCAGCAGTCTCGCAAGTGAGAAAAGGCCATTTGATACTCTTACAACGAGCCGCCAAAATATGTCGCATTAGAAATTTTTCCCGCAAAAAAAAATTAATGCTGCTTTTAATATACAACTGCTCTCAGGTTAAAGGCCAACCAGACTTCTTTTCCTCATAAATAACATTTCAAGTCTAATTAATTCTGATTTACAAAAGTGGACAAATGAGTCAAACAGGCATCAAATGAGGTATACATTTTGTTAAACATAAACATGTAAAAAAGACAGCAATATTGCGGGTTTTTTTCTTCATCTTCACTGAACAAATATGCATATTAGAGAAATCTCATGTCTTTCAGCAACTCCTCATCGATACTCCAATCGCGAAACTCAATCAAGGTTCATCTCGGCAGAAGCACTTTTCCCTCTTTGTGAAAATCCACACGCTATGCACAACACTCACCTTTCCTCTAGCATTTCGGAAAACGTCTTGGACTTTCTTCGCGTTCGCTCGTGTTCCTCCAGCTCCAACTTCTTCACTTCAACAACTCGATCGATAATGTGTTCCACTCGTTTTCGACGTGACGACTTCCAATTGTCCAAATTCTATTATTAAGAGATACACAAGAAATCAATTAATTACAATCGATAAATCATTTTACTCTCAGTGACAAGAGCTAACGCATTTTCAACTCATGTGGCACACTTTTATCGCATGTGTCACTCTCTTCTCTTTTTCCCTCTCAATAGGCAACTTTTAATTTCTCGATCGCACCGCCTAATACCCATGAATTAGTCTCTCTCAATGGCTTGTTGGAGCAAAATCTAATTTAACGCAAATTGTCACTTGATTTGCTAGCACGTCGTGGAAAATATGCAGATCATTTAAATACCCATTTATTCCATGTCCATGCAGCGTTTTCTCCACCCTTGGGGCAAAAATTGATCAAGTGAATCAAATATCACACTATAGCTCAAATTGAAGAGACCCCATTTGTGCGGAATCGTGTTCTCGAAGCCCATGTTTTTCATATTGCCATTTTCCTGCGTGATAACATTCCAAAATATTCGTCATGCAGAAAGAATCGTGATACTTGGATCTCGCAAGACGTTTCTACGGCATTAAATTATCCACAAATGCACATGATAATGCAGACGCCAATATTGACTTCCTTTCAATTTCTACTCATGTCTCTCTGTTTTTCCCATTTCAGTTCAGAGTTGATTTACTTTTACATTTCTGCAACCATTTTGCAAATCCATACATTCAGTCTCTTTCTGTATCTTGTAAGAATTTTAAACAGGTTCATTATTTAATATAAAACATACTTATCCATAATTGACCATTTAATGTTATCGAAAGTGCACGAGGACAAATATGGCGAGTGGGTGAGGCCAAGCAGTCCTCAATTCGCGACAACGACAGATCACTTTATGGGGCGTCCGATTTCAGACTGATTCACAGTTAAGGATAAACAGCTAATGTTTATTCATGCACCATGCAATCCTTCCAATTTCATAACGCACAATTCAATTGCTATTCTTGGCATTCCACACTCAATCGAAAGTAAATCAGATACTGGTATGCAAAGAAGTAATTTCAAATCAATCGCAACGTGATTTCACTCCGTGGCCACGGAGTAGAAGGAATTCTTTCATAAATCATATGTAAGAAAATTACTTAACGGGATTCACCAGACTTGTTAACCGTTTTATAATTGGTATTTTCTCGTGTGTAAATACCAAAGAGACATACCAAATAAAAATTCTTTGGGCATTTTTGGTGCCAGTAAATATATAAGTTCAGGCAAACATGCACTCCATTCGAGGAGATGATTTAAGTTCTATGCTTTCTCTTCTACACGATCATTGCGCTCTCTCTCTCTGTCCCTCTCTCCTCGGATTCCCTTATCATTGCCTACTCTCTATTTAATCTGCTTGGTAATCATGCATTTTTCTCAATTATCCCTCTCGCAGTAAAATTGAAAATTGTGCACTTCGCTCTCGTTACAGACACTTTATTAGAAGCAATAACAAGAGCATGAGAGTGAAAGTTATATTTCACGGTGTATTTTATGCAGAATTCTTCAGATTTTATTTATAAATGCTCGCGCATTAGGCTGGGGAGAATGCCTCAGCATCGGGTGGCTTATAATAGAGTTTTGAAATCTCACTACAAACGCAACGTAGTGCAAACAAATCGTTCAGCACCTCGACTAATTGGCATTGCGCATTGTTGGAGGATTCATGAGTTCTTCTTTTATTATCTTCCTGCCCTGTCTCTCACCGGCGTCTCAATGCACAATGCTACTTTCTTGGAGGCCGCGCGCACAGCCGATTGTGCGATGATGAGGAGTCTCTCTTCATGAGGAAAACGCCCAGCTATCTCTCTCCTCACAGACAAAACACTTCTTGTATGCCACGAGATATTCTAACTCCGGTGCAAATTCTTTGCCCATCGCAAATAGAAATTCCTCTGGGGCGCTGGCATTGTGTACTTAATGTTACATTTTAAGAGTATATATGTATGTAGGCTCGCATGTAGATAGCGTCGCCGGCACACAATGTCAAGATCAAGGCTTCGCGTCTCGCAAGATTAATCACCATGGCGGAAATTTATCACCGTCTATCGCAATTAATTCAACTTCCTCTCCTGCCAGATATTGCATTTGGTCTTTTTCTGGGTCACCTCTCCTCACTATATGTACACCTTCCAGTGGTCTTTTCTGCTCCCCATGCCAAACATTATACACACTCACACACGCCACATCATTATGTTACGGGATCCGACAGATTGGTTCTCTCTTGTGCCGCGATTAACAACTTCATAAGATTCTCCAAGCTCTTTCAGGCCTCCTCTCTCGCCCTGTCAGACGCCAATGACGACGACCTATCCAATGAGTCAATGCAAGACAGAGTGAAAACACTTCCTCAACTCAAGAATTTCTCCCCGCCGGCCCCGCACACTCCTCGAGGTCGAAGCTGCGCACCAATAAATTCATTTCGACACACTCTCCGAGGACATGGAGGCTTCCCAGAAGTGCAGCCGACCAGCTCTTCGCAACCGGCCTCATTACCAACACGCGCCCGGTGAGAGAACAACGCCCTCATGATCTAGCATTCACTCATCTGCATACCACAAACTGCCTCCTCTCGCGCGGGGTTCCGCGGCAAAATTAGCGTTCCATGCAAAAATCTCCATCCATTCGCATTCCCCAAAGTTTCTTCCCAGAATATACAATTAATGATTTAGTATTCAAATTGCAATTCGAATATCGCGGCGCTCGTCGCGTTCTTTGTCGAAAAGAACCTCATGCCTAAATATTACGGGATCGTGATTTCTAATCCGCGACTTCTTTTGCAGATTTATAGAGAATTGAGGTACAATACCACGCCTCTCTGTCGAAATTCGGCGTTGGAATTTCGTAAAGTGATCATGCAAAATGGGTCAGTTTCTAAGAAGGTTACGCTGACTCGGCAATGGCAAAAGCTTCAAGAATGCATTACACTGGACCTTGTATTATGAAGATACAAATAATGACTCTCTCAGTGACACCTTAATTCTCATTTCTAGCTAAAATTCACCATTTCGCAAATATCTTATGTTTTCCCGCATTTGGACATCAAACGGAAAAATTCAATAAAAAACCATAGAGAAATCTGAAAATTTGTACTTGAAGCGATGCATTTAAAGGTCTTTTCAAGCCCAATTCTCGTTAAAAATTTCACGGCTTAGAACCGTCAAAAATTGACTGTAAAACCGTTGGTGAGCAAAATGCTGGCGTTTCTGGAAATGACCCATAAAACATCTCCACAAAAACACTCATAATCCTGTACACTAAACGTGAACTTCACCGATTACAGCACTTTTGTTCATCCCAAATAAATCATTTGTTTTCAACTCCACCATTTCCCATATGTGATTCCCTGGAAAGTGGTCAATAAAATGTAATTTTTAGAGTTTGCCACCATTCTCAAGTTTCATTGGGAATATCCCCAATTAATTAGACACTTTTTCCTCGACTTCCCATGGCGAATTAGAATGGGGCGAGCGAGAGATCCTAGTGGATAAAAAAACAATTCAATTAAATTAACACGATTGACCATAAATCGCTTTAAGGTTCTTATTGATGTCAGAAGCTCTACACAGTTCGTCCCAATTTCCCATTCTCCACTCTTCGGCTTAGAGAGTATTCAATTTGTATTTAGCTAATTAATTAAAATCCCAGAACGATGGCATAAATTCTCAATATTCACAGTGCGAGGAGTGGACAAAAATGGAATCTATCTGCAAGAAGGTTTTCAAGATAGAATTTACGTGACATTGCTACTAAATTGAGAGAGATCTGAGAAGAGTTATTCGCCCATATATCAACTATTTCTATCATAAACAAATAAATTGACATTGTGATATTCTAATACATCCGTGAACAATAATATGGCGAGTGAGAGAGAGCATTTTCGCATAAATTTCCCTACGCATTTCTTACACACTGTCCACCACGCCGGAGACAGAATCGAGGCTAGGAAAGGCAAGAATAGGGAGAGCAGGAATATTTTCAGTATTGAGCCATTCTCCACCGGCGTGTGTAATTGTGTGTTCTCTCACTGCAGCAATAAAGATCAGAATTTATTGCATAGACGCAAATAATGATAATTTATGTGTTAAATCGAGAGACGCCATCCATAAATATCCCTCTCTCTCTCTACAACTATTTTAATATCGTACCCCCCATTATATAGTCACAGGCTGTTTTATTATTCATTGTTGTATATTTTAAAACTTACGCATTGCCAATCTTCGGCGTCCTCCTTCTTCACTTCCTTGACCTTCTTCACCTCTTCCGCCCGTTTTAGCTGTTCTTGGGCACTCTGATACAAATTGCACGGCTTTATCTTCACAAATTGCATGGGATTGCATGCCGGTTTTGGCGGAGCAGCTCTTGTGGTTCGTGCTCTTTGGACATAGTCTGTTGGATCATGTGATGTCACAGATATCTGCAAGAGAGAATGGCAATGGGATTAGCCGAGGACGGCATAAGTAGCTAAGATATATTCTATATTTCACTGAGGCAAATATCTAAACAATTGTGCTTCTCTGCGGAGTGTGAAAATTGCATAAACTATGACCATCGAAAATACCCTCAACACTTTTACGGTTGCCACTTGACCGAAAAGCCACAGAAATGCACATTTCCGCCTCCACCTCGTATTGATTCTTTTTTCTTCTTCTTCTCCTGATGTAATGCAACTGTAAATTACCCAGTGCATTGACAAGGAGAAAGAGAGAGAGAGGGTGATCTGAAGAGGAAGTTGGTGAATAACATTTCGGTTGTATGGCGTAAAAAGGCACACAAATATTGGATGCGAATTGTGTGACTCCATTTTCGTGACTCTGCACTTTATTGGGATCTCCCCTTGCATTACATAAGATAAAAAGTGTCAAATCCCCTGCACACCTCTCAGTACCATTATATTTTATTTATTGGCCATTGAAGTTCAGGGATGTCGCACGATCATCTCGCGCTATTGCCTCTCTTTGGCTTTATCAGACACGGCTATCTGCCTTCTTTCCATCTGGCTCTTCCACCGTGTGTCTCTTGTCCCATGCTCTTTAGCAAGACACTACAATCACCGTATCCGGGAGATTGGTCTCAGAAGAGGCCCTATTTCCTTCCCAAGCGCACAACACTCCTCACGCTGACGTTTATCCCACTGTGAATTTCTTCGCTCTTTCGTAGGAGACACCAAAAAAGGTACAGAAAAAACCGGCAAAATGCACTGCAAGAGGAAGTCATCGTAAGATACACCAAACAGATGGGTTTCTGGGTCAAGATGCAGCACAAAACAAGGTAGTAGCTGAGAAAAAAGGCATTGACGATGTAATAATTGTACACTAAGGCACTTCTTGTCGCTGAGTACATCAAAACATCCATTATTTTTGCTATTATTGCCGATTACTTCATACAAAAAAATATATTTTAGCACCGAATTGGCACCACCTACTTTTGCACAAAACATCGCGCGCCAATATTGCATCAATTTCGTAATTGTGCACAAGAGCCGTTCTTCGACCTTTATGTCTCTCTCCCTTGTCGCTTTCATGTTTCATCTCCCCAACACCTCACATAGTTGATTGAGGAGAAAATCTCTCTGGCACTTCCTTGTAATTTGATACAATTTCTTCATTGGTTCTCTGGCCATTCTTTTCTCTGCCTTTTCGCCATCGACTTCTTGCCACTGTGTCAGTATCTTTTTTTTAATTACTTCAGACACCATATGTTTCGCCTTTCTCGCTCTCAAACGCCCTATTCTCTGCCTCCAAACAGTTGCTGTGCAGTGCATTGAAGTCAATTGGCCCAATTGCACCATTAGTCACTTGGTCAGTGTGCCCGAGACTGCTGAATGCTAAAAACCTCATTTCATTTCACATCAGCAAATCGGCTGTCGAGGGAGGGTGAAAAAGTCTCAATTGATTTGGCTAAAAAGTGAAATTTATCCACAATTATTTGCCATTCAGTGCACTCGTGCCCATAGACACAGACTTCTGTATCAGCACGCCAATTTCCAGCCGCACAAAATCATGACTATTGCATCACACAACAAAGGAATTAAAATAAACAGTGCAGGAGAAGTTGTAGAGGTAAATAAGGCAAAAAAGCACATCTCAAATCACTGAATGAAATGCAACGAAGGAGGAAAAATGTTATGATATATCAGAACAGTGCATGGTAATTCTCCTATGTTCAGCAACAAATTTCACGTTCATACACATTGAGGTAAAATGGGAATGCTTTTCTATGTGGCAATCATGAATATGAATTTCATTTTTTACTCGCCTCAACTCCACCGACAATATTGTATTTGTACACCCATCAAAACGCAAATTCAACGTTGAGTTGTATAATATGCTGATCGCATGCATAAGCATAGAATCAATTTCAAATGACATCCTCTCACATATGCAGAAAAAGCTGCTGTGAGCAGCGAAATGATAGTGAGGTAAGGTTCAATGAGGAATTTTGCCACTCAACAGTCCTATTCTTTCCACTAGATTACAAACATACCAATAGAGTCGGATCATCCGACCGTATTTCCTCCCAATTCAAATGTCAATGGTACTTTTTAATCGTGCAATGCGAAATTACTGCTATTGCAATTGATAAAGAAAATATATAAAAGAGAATAATTTTGATAAAAACTCAACTTTGCACTGCTTTTTCAACACTTGAAAATTAAGGATAAACATAGATTTTTATGAGACACTTAAGCAAAGGCAAATACTTTGGCTTTATGCATTCATTCAACGCATTATCAACTTAAGTGTTTGTTCACGTTTCTTGTGGGTAAACATACGAATCTTCCTTAGTAAAGACTTAATGTACGCTTATCAGTGATTAATCGCACACATTTTCCTGTGCGCTTCCACAATTCTCAATCGCGGCGCGCGCACTTTTTAGCATTGGTCGAGGTGGCAAAAAATCACAACAATTTATGGTCTCTCTTTTTCGCTAATTCCGCCACACAAACGAAAATCCCTGCCGGTAAAAAATCACCCGAACAGTGACTTTCATCATCGCGGGAGTTGAATGATCTTCGCGCCGTATTTCAACCTCTACAGAGCACAATTGCCAACAAAGGTAAACATTGCAAGGAATTTGCCGTAATTACCCGGTTCGCTGAGGAAGGTCCTTTATTATTTTCACCATCTGTTGATGATTTTCGCTCCCTAATTCCATTCGTGCCATTTGTCGTTGTCACCGTGGCCATTTTCGCTGGACTCGTCGGCGACGTCGCGGCAATTTGTTCACTCTCCGATGGCATTGTTAGCTTCTCTCCTTAGCACGTCGTTTTTTTTTTCTTCTCCTTGCTGTCCAACCAAATCCCTCCAACTGTGCAAATTTCCGGTGATCGCAAGAAGTTGTGAATGATGCGATCTCAATCAATTTGCAGTTGCATCAAGACAATTCCCTTTCAATTCTCCGTGTTCCACATTTGATAATTGATTACCATGTTCCGCCACTCGAATCGATATGTTTACTAACTCGTCTACATGGACAGCCGATCATGTCATCTGTTTGGAAAGAGGAGAGAAAGAGAAATTAATTTTAGACTGATGGTCCAGTTGAGGTTCAAAATGTAAAGCAAAATTGTCACACATTAATAAAATAAATATTCATAATTTCATATTTTCTCTCATGGTATGTCCAATGCAGAGATCAGATTTTCAAAGTCTGCCACACTGGCACACAATATTCGTGTGGCATCGTCAATGCTGCACGTTTTTAAATGATATATTTATGTACATCGAAGAAAACACCCAATCAATTTGCAATTAAACAAGTATTTCTCTAGGTTTTTAGGTGAATGAAAATTTTACTCTGGCTCAGCAACTTTCTGTCTCCGCACGTTATATCCACTCATGTTTCTCCTCATCTCTCCACATGTGCTTAAAATATTTTTTTATTTTATTTTTCTATATCTCTCTTTTGGACTTCACTGAGTCGCAGAGAAAAAGAAAGAAAAATAAACACTATACTTCGACGTCTAATCTCGACAGTACGCCACATTGGCTAAATTAGCGGAATAATTGCTCATTTTCGAATAGAAATCGAAATTGCTCTAAACTCAATGGCGTATAAGGGATAATAAGAGGTACATAATGTTGACGAGAGTCACACTCATTAAGCCATAGAGATCGTGGGCTTCGTGCAATCAAATGCATTCTTTTTCACGCGCGCGCGCCACTCTCTTGCAAATCTCGCAATGGATTTCCTTCGCAGAAAACATGCCTCAACAATATAATACTCCTTTCCCACACTTTATCATTTGTCACACAACCATTAAATTGTCCCATTTTCCATCCACCAATTATCATGAGATATGCTGAATTACACTTTTTACCGTCAATGGCTCTCTTTCGCCTCCCACAAGATAATCTCTGTCGTCTACACGCTTTTCTCATGCCTCCGCAACAAATGTGTACCTTTTAACCCTCACCATAAGCTTTTGGTCATTTATAATCCATTACATCGCTCTTAATTTCACATGAAATTAAATATATGAAAGTGAGCATGGTGACATAATGGATTCTTACTCTTTCTCTAACACCAAAAATGTGTCTCTCAATGAGTGCTGCTTTTTTTTACCAACAAATTTGGCATAAGGCTTAACAACACTGTGTAAGTCAAATTCCACGCAATGTATCCCCAAAAAGATTTGATCTCTTTCGCTATACACCGTTGTCTGTTCATGCATTCAATTTTCTTGCGGTGAGATATTGGGCGAAAAGGGGAAGAAAATGGTGTGTACCTCACGTATTTTGAGAAGCAGGAAGTCTTTCACAAATTTTACACACATTCTCCATGTCATGCTGCACTTTACAGCCAAATGAATTTGCTACTCCGCGCAGTGAGGATACAAGATGATAAAAAACGTACGCGGGAAGAGTAAAATATTGCTCAAAAGAGGAAATAACATTGTCGACAATTTAAGAATCTAACTCAAAATCGTGAGAATGTTTTGGGGGGCAGAAAGAGGGGCCCCCAGAGAGTTGTTAAGATGAAAAATAGTTTACATGGTTCACTGAGGAAACAAAACCGCCTCATACCTTGCAATCTAAAAGTCTCAGCATATAACTCTTGTTTTTCCTCCCTGCATTTTCCATCCCATTTTTCCATCATCTCACTCTCTTCATGCTCTCATACATACATACATCATAATTTATAGCATGAACGACATTTGTTATTTCGCACATTTTCAACGTCAAATTACACAACAATCCAACCACAATATCATCACTTTTATTATTATATCCATTCTTTAAGCGATCCTCTTGTAGTATTAAATTTATTCACAGGCGGAAAGACAGTGAGAGAGCATGGCTTTCGAAAATTTATTGAAGCACGATCATAAGTGTGGATTTTTTCTGCTGTGACCTCATATGTCTGCTTTGGTTCAATCCCTGACAAATTATGTAATTTCAAAAAGGTTCTTTTTTTCACCTCTTCCCACTTGAGTCTCAGATGAAACATGTTTGATATGCAAGTTCTTTCACATGACGCTTCTCAAACCTCGTCACTGTGGAATGTACATTACAAATATTTTCATCAGAAACATTTTTTTTCTTCTATCTTTTATATTATATTACCTCTCATTATTCAGCAAAAATCCCATGGAAGTTCACGTGTGATTGAACAACTGTACTTTCCAGTGAAATGATCATTAAGAAATGAGCAGAAAGATCGATAACAATGCGAATGATTAGAGTGAAAATCCCAGTAAATTGATTATCTATGAACGAACACATTTCAGTGAAAACATGAAAAATTCACCGAAAATTGTGTAATCATATAATTACTATTTCAGGAAGTAAATCACTTTAAATCACTTAACATGCCTGATGCACTTCCAGCAGACGAAATAGTTTGAGAATCAACGGTCGTGGTACTCAAACAGTATTTCTCACTCTTTTCTGTTATTAAATATGTAATGCAATACAGCGTATAAGAAGATTGTGGTTTAAATTTCATCGGCGGAGCGACATGCGATCATTAGACTATCGTTGGTATGAGTGAATGAACCTCCAAGGAAATGATATCACCACATTTTATACACCTCAGGCCACTAATTTACCACTTCTGATCGCGAAAATGCCTCAAAGAAATGGTTACGCACAGATACCATCCAGCAATCACAATGAACACGGATCACTGGCTGATCTTACGCTTGTGTGTCCCACGATCGGGAAGTCTAGCAATCTTATTGTTTTTTCTGCACCACCTCTAGCGACCTCACCTAATTTTACTTTTAATGCTCTTATTTCTCCGCGCTTAAGGTGACAATTTCACTGCGATGCGGCATCGGCAAAAAAATCGGAGTAACAAATGACGGATGTCACAAATCCGTCCTACTTCTTTTCCATTCCAACTGCCAATGCAAAAAGGCATGGAGATTGAGTCAACTCTAGAGTTAATCAGAGCTGTTGTTTTTGCCCATTTCCTCGTGAATTCTGCAATAAACAATCTTGGAAATTGATGGAGGTGAAAAAAAGTCTCCTTTCAGTGTTGATTTAGTGTTTTGTAACACAAATAGCAACATAATGTCTTTCGCAGAGGAACAATTATTGTGTTTATCTAGAGACTGTGTTTGAGGTGGAAAAAAAACTGACTTCTGTGTACCTTTTACCATTCCAGAAATCCCTCCCTCAGAAGCCTGTAATTAACGGCAATGTGTTAAACAAGATTGAAATTTCAATTGAACTGGGAAATTCCTGACTGCAGCTTATCGCTCCGCGCAATGTGTTTGTCCATTCTATCGACTTGCACATAGTCGGCTTATCATGGTAATTATACCGCAGTTGGTGAAAAAAAATGTTCACCCAACACCGCGATAAATGGTTAATTGCCAACATACCTAAAATAATGCTCACCCAAGAGACCTTTCACCGAAGAACATTAATTTCATTACTAACAACAACATTGTACTTTGCATCGCCAACAATCATCAAATGTCAGTGCGAAAATCTTACCGGGATAAATTCCATTCGGATGTGAACACAGCGGAAATCAATGGCGACTCTTTCCCACTAATTCACCGGGGCCAAACGCTCAAATCAACACATCGCGCGCGCGAGAGAGAGAGTTTTGCCATGTCTTGCAGAGCCATAGCAAAAGTGCAATGCAATTACCATACAAAACATTGATTGGATATCCGCTGATCGATCACTCATTGTCCGACTCTTATTTCATAAATTCGATCTTGAAGCTATTACGGACTAGAATTTACTTTCTCTCGTGATATACCCATCCGCAGTGGTCTATTGTGTTGCTGTATAATTACAGAAATTATCATCATTTTGCTACTTGTTGGCCTTTTTTGGTGGTCAAACGCCTTTTTTTCACCATGTGTTTTGGCACAGCATGAAATTTCATGCCATTTTTAATTAAAAATTGCAACATTCACCCCAAAAAGAAACACATCGCCGGACTTCAGTCTTGAAAGGCGAAACAAACGAAAGAAAAAATCTATTAGAAGTATATAATTATTTTTTGCCTCCGCAGTTTCATCTCTCCACCGTATATGGGGATTGTTCTGTAATGGCATCAAAACAGCAGTAGTTGGGAGAATGGATCTGTTTTCATCTTGCTCTGCATCATCCACACACCGCGAGAGTCAATGTCTCAGGCAAAATTATACACGGTGTATCTTGAGTTATTGACGACCGTGTGATTGTGTAACAGCGAATATATGAATTATTAAGAGATCTTGTAATACAGGTAAAAGCAAAAGTGTGTGTTTACATTTTACAGTCAATAGCGAATGTCGCTCATTTAGCTGTAAATACCGTATGGAGTTTTTTCTAATTTTGCATCCCACTGTATATTTACCGCGTACTTTCATCTATTCACTGTTGTTTTTTCCGAACGAAATATTTCATCATCGTGTGCAACTCTGATGTGGGAAGATCAAAAACAGCTTCATTCACCTTTTCCACGTATTTAATGAATCAGAGGTGAAAAAAACACGTACAAATCACATCCAAATTGCATTAAGTGGTAATACACACGGCTCTTTTTTAAGGCGCACAAGAAAATACACATAGTCTCTTTGTAAGTCAACAGAATATATTGTGTCTTTGTTCTGAAATTATTCACACTTTCATGACAATGTAATTGCCTCCTTTCTGATAAATAAATTATGTCGAAAGGAAAACACAGCCGCATTAATTTCATTTATGATCGCCCTGGAAGTGCAACAACACTGATTGTACATATTTTCGAGTTTACTGTTTCTGTGTACACATTGAGAATGTGTTTTTATACTTTTACGATTAAAGATTTCTGTTAATTGCATACGGCACGTTAGAAGAGCCCCGACATTTGGAAGTGAAACGATCAAGATAGTCACATTAGAGGTGTATCATGTACATACAATTAAATTTTAATTAAGAAAAGCCATTCACAAGGAGACGGAATGCCGCGATAACATTGTCAATACGTCGCAATCGCGACGTCTCTTCTCGAAATGATGATGACACATGCTGAAAGGTATTGAAAAAAGTGCTTCCCACCG